AAAACTACACAGGTGAATATTATTAGTTTAGGTGATAAAATTGGGCAAGTAAAAATGGGGGATGTGTCTGATTTATGTAAGAATGAACTATTGACATTATTAAAAAATAGGGAGGCATGTTTTTCTAAAAATGATGTTGATGTAGGTTTCACGACGATAGGTAAAATGGAGATTAAAACAACAACCGATGTACCGATATTTCACAGACCCTATCGATTGTCACACTCAGAGCGAAGTTTGGTGAGAGAAAAAATACAAACACTTAAGGAGGCTGGTGTTATCCAAGATTCAGAGTCCAATTACGCTAGTCCAGTGGTGTTAATACCAAAGAAGACAGGAGATGTGCGCATGTGCGTAGATTATCGTGCTCTTAATGCAATAACGGTAAAGGACAGGTACCCATTGCCGTTGATTGAAGACCAATTGGAGAAATTGAGTGGCAAAAGGTATTTTACTACCCTGGATATGGCTCAAGGCTACCATCAGATGGCAATGCATGAGAATTCGGTGGCAAAAACAGCATTTATAACACCTGATGGTCACTACGAGTATTTGAGGGTTCCATTTGGTCTGGCCAACTCCCCAGCTGTATTTCAACGAATGGTGGACAGAATGTTGGGTGAATTGAGACACAAGGAAGTGCTAGCATACATGGATGATATCTTAATACCTTCACATGGAGAACAAGATGGTCTTAAGTTATTAAACGCTGTGTTAAAGCTAATTGAAGAGGCTGGTCTGAAGCTGAGATTGGAGAAATGTTCATTTATGCAGAATGATATTGAGTATTTGGGACATGAAGTATGTGGTGAAGGCATAAAGCCTGGAAAACGCAAAATACAAGCTGTTCTTGATTTTCCTTGTCCGACAAATGTACGAACGGTGAGACAATTCGTTGGATTGGCATCTTACTACAGGAAATTTATCGAGGGATTTTCTGTGATTGCCAAACCGTTGACCAGTCTAACAAAAAAGGATGTCGCGTGGAAATGGGGAGAAGAGGAACAAGGTGCATATGAAAAACTGAAGGAGTTGCTAAGTCAAAGACCAGTTCTAGCTACATATATATAATCCTCAAGCTGAAACCCAGGTGCATACTGATGCCAGCAAACATGGACTTGGTGGCATTTTGATGCAACAAGTTGGAGACAAAGATTGGAGACCAGTAGCATATTTTAGCAGATGTACTACCACTGCTGAACAGATGTATCATAGCTACGAGTTGGAGACTTTAGCTGTCGTGGAGTCAGTGAGGAGATTTCGAACATATTTGGTGGGCATTCACTTCAAAATCATCACTGATTGTGTTGCCATAAGATCAACTCTGTTGAAACGAGATTTGGTGCCTCGAATTGCTAGATGGTGGTTGGCAATACAAGAATATGATATGGAGGTTGAGTATCGAGCTGGAACCAAAATGCAACACGTGGACGCTTTGAGCAGAAATCCACTTGAATTGGAGCGTTGTATTGAAATAAATTTGGTTACCATGAATGAAACTGACTGGTTTTTGTCGGTGCAATTGCAGGATTACAAAGCAAAGCAATTGGTAATGACTTTAAACTCGAATATTGCTGACAGAGAGACCCAGAAGTTATACAAAGTTAAACAACAACGATTATATCGCAAGACAGATAATGGAGATCGATTGTATGTACCCAATATGGCCAGATTTACGCTGTTAAGAAGGTACCATGATGATATTGGTCATCCAGGAGTCGATAAATGTGCAGAATTGGTAAAAAAGGAGTATTGGTTTCCCAAAATGAATAAGTTCATTAAAAAGTATGTTCAATCGTGCATAAGATGTGCATTTTCAAAAGGTGACTATGGAAAAGGAGAAGGATATTTGCATCCAATAGACAGGAGGCCAGTGCCTTTTGACACTGTGCATATCGATCATTTGGGCCCATTCATGAAGAGCACTAGGAGAAATTCCTACTTGTTGGTGTTGGTGGATGGATTCTCGAAATTTGTCATAGCAAAGCCAACTAGAACAGTCAATTCAAATGAGACTATTGAGAAACTGATGGAGATATTTGGTGAATTTGGATATCCCAGGAGAGTTATTAGTGACAGAGGTTTGGCTTTCACTAGCAAACAATTTAAAGCATTTCTGGAGGAAAAATGTGTGCGACACGTTTTAAATGCTATTGCAACTCCTCGGGCAAATGGGCAAGTGGAGAGAGTAAATAGGAGTTTAATACAGGCGATCGGAGCAAGTGCCTCTAGTGAAGCTAGGTGGGACGAAAAATTACCAGAGATTGTATGGGGATTAAACAATACAATAAACAGGAGTACGAAATTCGCACCTAGTGAATTAATGTTTGCACATGGAGAAAGTCGCGGTTTAGTTGTTGAATTGGAGACTGGAGAGCGCGCTAATGTTGGAGAAGGAGAACAGGCAAAGGGAGGTGGTAAAACTGCAGCGACCACAAGAAAATCAGGAGATGCTGGAGAGGAGAGCCTGTCGGGTGCTGGAGGTAGCAAGGAGACTATAGGAGGCAAATCAACTAACACCCAAAAGCTTAGAGATGACGATCTCGCACAAGCTGTAGATTTGCGACAACAACTAACACGAAAACGCGCATTGGCTGCAGAAAATATACAAAATGCTGCTCATAAGATGAAAACTGCTTATGACAAACGACGAAAAGTAGCTATTAAATACAAAATTGGTGATTTGGTGTTATGGAGGCATGGAGCTACGAATAAATGTCAAAAGGGCCTAAATCGCAAGCTTGCAAATAAATATGATGGACCTTTCAGGGTGTGCAAGGTAAACAGCAATGACCGATATGTCATTGAAGCCATAAAAGGAGTAAAAGGCTACAAAAGGTTCAAAGCGCATGTCGCAGTGGATGCATTGCGTCCATACAATAGTGTTAATGATGTAATGAGTGATTATGAGAGTGAGTCTGAGTGAATGTGGGGCCCCCTTGAAAGAATGTGTGTGAGAATGTTGTATGTAATGATTCTGTATTATTAATAAACTTTCTTTCCCTTTCAGGAACAAAAAAAAATGGTTTGTGTATTACTAATAAACTTTCTTTCCGTTTCAGCAACAAAACAAAAAGAGAGTATAGCTGGAGAGGTACTCGCATGAAGTAAATTGGTGATTGACAATTGAGTAGGAGAAATTGTCTTGAGACCAAAATAGGAGTGACATATGGAGCACTAACAGTAAATATTACGGAGCCCAGTAGCACCTAAAATCGGAGACTTCTACAATATTTAGGTAACATAGGTGGTGGTATAATGAGGACATTATTATTTTGCAGGATGGCCGAAATGTTAGACGTAAGTTTAAAAAGCCGTACTAGGTTAGGTGGCCACTGGAGGGCGCCACTACTCGGATGGTAAAAACGGGAGCTGCCATCCCGACGGAGAAGAAGAAGAAGAGAGCGTTGTTTTGGAGTAGATAAGCTTGGTGTCATTTTTAATTTTAAAATAAATTAAAACAGTTTACCGGTCATATTATTTAAAATACCTGACAACACAATATTGTTTTCTTGATGTGTACCTATTGTTTGAAAAAAATAAATTTAAATCTTGTTAACAATTAACCATTATAAATTGCTTTATAGGTAATCTGTGTGACAGATGTATTTTTTGGACATATTGTCAGAATATTATTTTTTATTAAAAATTTAAACTTTTCAATTTTAAGACGTCGTTTTACCTTCAGCAAAAAAATACAATTCATTTCATTAATTTTTATTTACCCTTAATATTATTAGTATATTATGTATCAAGTTATTGATGAGTGTATATATACACTCATCAATAACTAGAAGAGTTTATAAACGAGGTGCATACTATACTTTTTCTACGACAAATACTTATTATCTTTAAATGATTTAAATCAAATATTTGTATAGGGCGCCATCTATGAAACAATAGGGGAATCTTTGTATCCCGTCAAATGTCATTTTTTTTTATTTTATAAACACAAATTATAAAGGTTATAAATCGAAAAGAATTTCTTAAAAATTGACAGTTTTTCACAGTAAAACTAAAGAAAATGTTTTATGAGCACTTTACAGTGGAGTCCAAATCCAAATTTAAGTTATAGTTTACTGCCGGCGAAATTAAAAGGTCAGTACAATGTTCATATAATTTTTTCAAATATTGGCGTTGAGAAACTATTGTATTGTATTTTGGTATTGAGATAATAAAATAATTTTCACATTTAGTATTATTTTACAAGAAAGGCACTTTATTTTAACGATTGTATGACATTTGACAACTGTCAACTAACTTAAATCTAACTTCAGCCCGTGACTAAAAACCTGTTGCTAACTTCAGCCCGTGACTAAAGCGCCATAAAGCCATAAAGCCACAACTTGTCAATGTGTATTTAAATTTTAAAAGGTCACTTAGTGTCATGGAAACATGTACGATAAAGGGCGTTTTAAAGGTGGGAGTAGAAAAAAAAATTTTGTTTTTAAAACGTATATTATAGTAGGTATTTTTTATGAATAAAAACCTAAATGTTTGTATTAATAAAGTTTCATTGAAATTTAATTAAGTAATAATTATTATTTACCTATTAATTAGTGAATCATTTTATATACCTATATACATAGGTATAATCATTATAGGTGCTATAATAGCGTGATTTGTAAATTTATTATTCATGAAAATAACGCTTTAATTAGCTCATTCAATGAAACATCCCTTGACTCAGGGTAAATTCCAAGAATTTTGCATTGTTGTCACATTTTCATCCACCCTTTTTAAAAACAAAGTGAAAATGCTGTAAATACATATTGTCATAGCTCAAAAACTTTAATAATGGCATAAATGCAGTTGTTTACAATATTTAGAATATTTTTAAGGTGGTTTTCTTTATATTAAAAGGCGTAAATTTGTTATGCATTTTTTTATTTTCCCTTGTTTCGTGTAAATTTAGAGGCTTGGCAACGTTGTGTGGGATGACTAAGCAACGCAGGCATGTCGACGTCTGCGTATTGTTGGTTGTCTACCGGCACAGGCGCCACAATTTGAAACCCACGTAAAAATGTAATTGTTATTCTCGGTAGCGCAGTCAATCTGACACAATTACCCAGCAATACGGTGCGTAGTGTGTGGAAATCCGTGAAAGTGTTGTGCACCGAACATTGAAAACACGAAAAACTTATAAGGGACATCGCGACGCAATTTCGCTGGGATCTCACTTGTTGCGTATTGAGACGTAATTTCGTTTTAGGTGTCGCCTATGGGACAAAATAACAATTTACTGTAAAAAAGTGTGTGAGATTTATCGCAAATTTAAACAAAACGAGTTGTGTTCGGTTTTTGAGTTGCTTACACCTCAAAAAAATATTTTATTCCTATTCGATAAATATTGAGAATTTGTGGAGGTGGCACGCCCCCTAGCGACCATTGACCGAACTAGATCAAATACTACTCGAAAGTGGACGAGTGTTGAACGGCATGAAGAAAAACGTCAAATATGGAGTAAATGTGAAGTTAAAGTGATTCAGTGCGTAAAATAAGTGCAGGAAAGATGTGCGGCTAGGTGCGGGTGTGATAAAAATGCATCGAAACAGTACGAGAACTTTGTAAACAAACTTAGCAACATTGCCGTGCAAGATGGCTGTATATTAAGGACCTCTTTGTCCGTATGTCAGTATGAAAGTTGAGCTGTTTGCCCAAGGAAGGATAGAGAGGTGAGCTATTGCATTCGAAAACCTAGATTTAAAGCATTTCAACCTGAAATCCTGTTCGATATCGTAACAAACGTTTACGACGGGCGACATTTTGTAATGTTGCCAGCTCCTCGCAAATTTACAGCTTCTGGTAATATTGGGAAGAATTTCGCCTTTTTTTAGCAAAAATAAGAGGTGTATTTTTTAATATTGCCCAAGTATCTAATAGGAAACATATTTTAAAATGTAACTTGCCCTAAAAGGACACTTTTAGGTAGGTATTTTATTTTTAACTAGAGCAATTGTTTGAACTTTTTGTACAGTTCTACAATATGTCATAACAATTTAGTATATTTGTATCAATTTTTAAGTTTTTGTCCTAAAGTATGTGGTTGCGAAATTTTACCGTTGGTAGTTCCATAAGTACGGCAACACTGTGTTGCCTCATCGTACACAAACCGCTGCTTGCTCGTATTTTACAAAACTCCAAATCCAATCTTTGCCCGCTTATTTAATGACTTATTAATGCAATATCGACGCTAATAATCTGCTGCTTATTGCTTATTGCAAAGGCTAAGGTGAAAGGTCAATCTTATTATAAACAAACAACCAGTTTCGTGCAATATTATTGGTTACTGTATAGGGTGGTCCCCTTTTTAATTTATATTTTTATGCTTCAAATTAAGTTTTTTTTATATTATTCCTAGTCCAGAACAACTCGTTGGCACATAAATAACCCAACTTTTTTAGAAGAAACCTAACTTTTGTATAAAAACTTGGACACCCTGTATGTCTGTTCTATTTCGATAATTTTGAGCAGTGCATTTGGAAAAACAATTTCGTTTCCAGAAATAACATTTGTAGTGCCAAATGTGGGAGTAACTTCGGCAAATATGGGAAATAAAATAACATGACATGGCATTTGCATCCAATACGCACATAATTGCCCCAAATAAGCTGCTAGGTTTTACATTATTGCCCATTGTTTTTGTTATTTATTATTTTTCAAGTGAAAAACAATGGCAACACACTATGTACAGGTTGTTTTCATTAAAGGCACATTGTATTTTAAATGACATGGTTTTGTTTCATAAATAAATCAGTTATAAGAAATAAATGATAATAGTTTATAAATTATTTTAAAATATGTAATAGGTACTTTTTAATTTCCTAAATCTACCTACTTATATGTTTTTAAAACGTATACCTACATACCTCTTGAAATTTTTTAGTTTTAAAATGTTTTAAAGATAAGTAAATTTTATAAAAATAACCTATTTATTTAAGCGTAATTAAGTACGGTACCTATGACGTAACTTTTGTTCCACAAAACTGAACCATCAAAAATATTTAAAAAATCACTGTTGTACCTATTTTGTAAACCTAATTTAAATGAACTCATAAAGCATTCATTTTTAAAAGAACACAAGTTCTTGTAGGTAACCTTGTTTTATTTTATACAATGCCATCATGTTCAGGCTAGGCGATTATTATTCACAGATTATTCAGTACCGTTATCCATTATATTTTTTTACACAACACCAACAAACCTACATTTTTCGTAATAATTATTGAGACAAAATTAATGGAAGGATTTTACCGAGATTTTACTATTGTAGTATTATTTATTTTGCAGAAGTGTGTGAAAATATCCAAAATTTAGTCTAGAAAAATGAATTTCTTAAACATTTAAAAAATTTCCCAAAATATAGATATTACCAAAACAACTAAAAATCATAGTTTTTTTAAATATATAATATATATGATTTTTTAAATTGGAGTAAATATTATATAGGTAGGTACCTTTCTACAAAAAATTTAAAAAATATTAAATTTTATAAAATAAACAAGATTTTACGAAATGAACCATTCTAAAAATGCTATTTTTACATCAAGAACCGTTTTATCTATTCTTATATAAAAATAACCGTAATTTTACTTCTGAACTGAGTTAGCCCGTTAAAAAGTAATTAACATTTCGTACATTCGATACAGTTAATTTTGTAAAAAAAAATTATAACCCCCTCAAAACCTACATGTTTTAAAATTTAAAATTTTCAAAACAGCGCAAAAACAACTGATCTTGTTATAACTTTCTAAATTTAAAACTTTCAAGTAAACAAATGCCTGGAAAACAACCAATGTAGGATGGAACCGCGACGTTGACAGATCTCCTTAAAATATTGTTTAAACAAGTTTAAAAAAATGAACAGTTTTTCCGAGTTTTTCTTATTAGGTATACATTTTTTAGTGTGTAAAATATAAATGTAATTGTATATTACTTTAATAGATAATTAAATGATTTTAAAAAATAATGAAATAAAATGGTTATGTACCCTCACTTTTTACCAATTTTAAATGTTATTATAGTCGCCTTCTCCCAATTTATAACCGGATTGGTTCAAATCACAGGGAATATTGTTGCCTAACAACGTGAATAATGAGTTCATTATTCACGTTGTTAGGCAGAGAATTTATAATGTTTATCATTACTAAAAAAAAACAATATTGTGCAATATGAATAGATAAAATTGTTTATTTAATTTATTTTTTTATTTATTATAATTTTTATTATTTGTTAAAATTAACGATTTGGCAACATTGCGTTTTGTTATTATCGCTTGCCCGGAAGGCATTGCGCGTTTGCCGTTGTCGTCGTGTCATGTTAAACGTTAATTGGCCCTTCGGCCGAATTCCCCCCTTTTGCGCCCCCTATTCGTTTCCCCCCTCATCCGTTGCATGTTCAATTAATTTTGTCAATTAATAACCGGTTTGATGCACTGTGTTTACCTCGCGACGCGCTTTGGGCCCTATTTGACAACATTGCACAGAACAGAAAATACGTTGAATTTATGAATGGGCAGTTTTAAAGAATGGAATTCACAATTTAAATAATTTTTTTGTGGTAAATTGAAAAAACTCTTTTTTATAACTGCTTAGCATAAAACTATATTTCTATGTATCGGTATCTTTAGCTTCTATGTATTAGCTACATAGTCTATTTAATTTTTGGACTCCCTACCTCTTTTTTTACAACATTTTAATCAATCTACATAGTAGGTATATTTTTGTTCGAAAACTATTATCACCATGGATAAATTGTATTTTGGGGGTAGAAAAAGTGATTTAAAACTTTTTGTACCTTCCCCGAAATAGCAGCAATATAAAACCCAAAACTTAATAATAAATCGCTACCTGCCAGTGCTGGCGGGACGGATTTGATTTGATTTTATTCTTGTTATTTTATTTGACATCTGGTAACCACCCCATATACCTGTTCGTACTTGATATTTTCCGTTTATTCGTTTATTTTCACATTTACCCCAGTTATCGTTCGGTTATGGTTCGACATTTTGCGAGTGCCAAATTTCAGTAATGTTTGCCGATTTTACTTCTTTCATGCTCAATTTCGAGCAGGACCTCGCGAAAAGCGAGGAAAAAGTTAAAGACGAGGAGCAAGCCAAAACTGAAGAGGTATGGGACACAAAATACAACAATTAATTTTTATTTTCTTTTGAATTGTAATATCGTCTACTCTGGCATGTGTTTGTGTGTGTGTGTTAAATCTGGCACAAGGTCACGCCATTTTGACCTTCTGCATCAGAGACAAGGTGTCTTTTTTTAATAAATAAAACGCTTCGACACAATAATGTTACATTGGAGTGACAAGTCAAGTCGAAATTCTAAACATAATTAATGCAGAAGGTTTTTTAATCAGTTAGTTAGTTTTTGTTAAATTAAAGTAAATTTCAAAAGCATATGAGGCTAAAATGTTATGGGTCATTCCATCGTTTCGGGTGTTCAACCAAAGTATATATTTTTATGTATTTAATATTTTAGCAATTAAAGTGCCTTATTTTCTATGTTTTTAGTTGTTTTATCTAAATTGTTAAATTAGTACAGTTTGGCATTTAGGATAACGATTTTATAAGTCAGCGAATTTTCTTAGGGAAACGTTCCTAAAAATTACGGGCCTTCAAAATGTAATATTTACTAACCATCTACCACATAATCACCGTCACAAATAACGTTTTACTATTTTTTATATAAAATTTTACTGTTACTGTTACTATGGTTCTGTTTTGGGTGTACAAAGTACAAAAATTAAACACTTTATATGGACTAAATCGGTGTTTTATTAGTCTATAAGTACAAAATAAGTACGATTGATAAATCGGCAAAACGGGTAAAATCGTTATTATTGCCAAAAATCGGTAGAAACATAATTATTGACGTATTGTATTGTAGTATTTGGTATTTTGGTAGGTCCGAGCCTTAAAAGTATTACTTATACATTCTTATAAGCAATACACACATATATCGACATATGAAAAAAGTTGTAACACCCGAAACGTTTTGGGTGTTACAGTTTTTAATCAAGAAAAAAACATATCAAATTTGTCTTTGGCTCAGATATTAGTTGGTATTTTAAATCATTACCACCATAACCTTACTTTTACTTAAAATTATTACACTAGGTAGGTAATCAATCTGTAAGGTATAATAATAAAACAATTACCTGATTTTTCGTTTCGGTTGTTACAGTGTCAAATTAACAAGAAAACACTTTTTTCGTTTTTTTTTTTGACGCAAATTATAATTTGGAATGTTTTCTTCCAAAATTCATCAAATTTAATGCGAAAAGAACATTTTTTTTTCACCCTCAGTATCCGATACTATCGTTTTCATGGAATGACCTTTATAATTAAACCGACCAGATTCTGTCAAAAAATAGCGGGACATTTTGTCTAAATTAACCTTAATTATAAAAATGACAATTAACAATAATTAAGTAACGTGAATTTTACAATTTGCATTGTATCATTATGTCAATTTTATAATTAAGGTAAATTCATACAAAATGTCTCTATATTTTTTGACAGAATCTGGTATTTTTACTTATAATAATATCAAAAAAGTTGTTTTAAAAAGAAATCTTCTAAATCCAAATTAGTTTTCGGTATACTACAAATTCTTTAGGGAATATTTTGATCTTAATCTTATTTTTTTTGTCATTGAATGACCCTTATAAATTATTATTATTATTATGACCAGATTCTGTCAAAAAAATAGCGGGACATTTTGTGTAAATTAACCTTAATTATAAAAATGACAATTAACAATAATTAAGTAACGTCAAATTTACAATTTGCATTGTATCATTGAGTCAATTTTATAATTAAGGTAAATTCATACTAAATGTCCCTCTATTTTTTGACAGAATCTGGTCACTTTACTTATAAAATAATATTAAAAAAGTTGTTTTAAAAAGAAATCTTCTAAATCCAAATTAGTTTTCGGTATACCTACTACAAATTCTTTAGGGAATATTTTGATCTTAATCTTATTTTTTTGTTAGACAGTTTTAAGTTTAATTTGGTTCCGAATAATTTTAAAACTGAAACGTCGACATTTTGTAAGACCTAGCGTACATTTTTCTTACAACTTGCTATTCGCAGGGAATGCATGACATGTTCATCTCATCCCAACAACAGCTGGTCTCGTCGAATAGCAACAACGGACAAGTGCAACAACATAACAACGCGCAGCAGCAACAACAACAACAACACGTCACCCAACTGCAGCAGCAGCAATCGAAAAAGCGCAAAACAGCGACGCAGTTCCAGCAACAGGGCGAATTCGGCGGCAACGGCACCGTTGCCGCGACGACCGAGGGCGTTTACGGGATCGCGGGTAGCGCCGGCAACGTCGCCGGCTTCTGCGCAGTAACGCAAGCGCAGGTTTTCGGCTGCGCGAAGTCAGATGCGTTCGGCAGCCCGGTCGCGCAGCAGAATCAGCAACCGTTTGTTCGCGCGTCCACCATCAAGCTGCTAGACACGTATCAGCGCTGCGGACAAAAGGTAAGACAAAAAGAAATTGAAAAAATACGTCGAGGACGCATTAATGAATAAATAAAATGGTAGAAAAATAGAGAATGTAGCTCGTAGTTGGGTAGTTTGTTTTCAGTTGTTAATGTTGTGTTTTGTTTTGCACGAAATTGGTTTTATGTTTTAAGGTTCTGGTAAGATCCAATATCATGTTATCCACGGTATTCGGCACATAATATAACAGATTATATAACAGCTAGACAATATTTTTTTATGAAAAATTTATTCACCGAATATTAAGATTATTTATTTATTTTAAAATTATTTTAATTATATACAGGGTGTTGCACATTTACGAAATAATGTTACATTGATAGTTTCTAAGGAACGGCAAAAGATATGGATTTAAAATTTTTAAAGCGTTTATAATCCAATTAGGCCTATTTTTCCAAAATATTTTAAACGAAATGCCACTTCCGGCTTGACCGGAAGTGACGTCAACTTTGTTATTTTAAACGGAACACCCCATATATTTTTACATTTTTAAATTCTACATTAAATTACTGTACCATGTCCTATACCTAGAGTTAATAGTTTTGGAGTTATTAGCTTTTTCCGTTAAAATATGACAAATGCGCGTCAATCAAAAATAGCCTATAACTTTCTTGCCATTAGGTTTGCAGAAATGGAAGTGGAATTTTTGGAATCTTAAAACATTGTTTAAAAGATTCCATGTCAATTTCCTAACATACCGGGTGTTACATTTAAAATAAAAAAGTTATGAACGTTTCAAGTTAGCCCAATTTGCCCTGAGGTTTCTCGGGTAATTTGTTGAAAAATGTTAAAGAATTGACATGGAATTTTTTAAGCAATGTTTTAAGATTCCAAACATTTTACCCCCATATCCGTAAACTTAATAGCAAACATCTAGAAACTATTCACTTTAGGTATAGGACATGGTATAGTAATTTTTCTCAGAATTTTATGTAGAATTTAAAAATGTAAAGATATATGGGGTGTTCTATTTGAAATAACAAAGTTGATGCCACTTCCGGTCAAACCGGAAGTTATATTTTGTTCAAAATATTTAAAAAAAATAGATGGATTATATACGCTTTTAAATTTCAAATCTATATTTTTTCCGTTCTCCAGAAACTTCCAATGGACCACGAATATGAAACACCCTGTATATCAAGTGGTGTTTTTAGGTTGTGATACCACTATAGATTCAAGAGCAATGTATAATCGTCAAACTAAAAGATCAAGATTTGTTTCCAACATATATTTAATATAAGATAAATACAAATCTGTTGTTTTATTAAAAAAAATCAAAAATTAAAACCAGAAATATTTTTTTTTACTTAAAAAAAATTAAATTGTTATTTTCTTTAAGTATAATTTTTGTATTATGTAAAAACATAAAATATTTGAAGAAAAAATGACACGTTTTTTAACCTTTATTTTTAAAATCTGTTAAAATTTTCATGGGAGGAAAATCGTGTTGTATTATGTTATGAGACACCTTGTATAATCCACATGACATTAAAAAAATAAGTCTGATAAATAAGCAGGTAAAACGTGACAAAATCTGACCCCCATTGCTCCTTACTTTAACGCACGAGGCAATTTCAAAATCTCTCGCTTCCGTTATCATTAAATAATAAATTAGGCACAGAAATGAGCAAATACGACGAAATTTCACCAAACATTACAGACCCTATCTCTCTTACGTATTATGTATTCCAATTTTAACCTTGAAAGTTATTTCGAACATCTTGTTTACTACAATTTACAGAAAATATTATTTTTTGCGTACGTTTTGTGGTTTAAACGTTATTTATTTATAGTTATAATTATCTCGGTATGTATTGTTTATGACATAAATTGTTTTTGCCTTATCAATTCACCTTTTATTTGTTTTTCATAAAAATACAGTAGGTATTTTAATTTTTTCTAAACACGACATATTTATTTCAAAGACGTCAACTGGGTGTTATTAGTGAGTTCTGTTATCTGCCAGCTTAACTAATAATAATTCCAATGCCAATATTCATGATAAAAACTCGTTTTCTAGCTAACAATGCCAAATACAATAAAATTCATCGCTTCATCGAAATACACAGAGTAGGCTTTGATACAATTCAACCAACGAAATTTATTTAACTTGACAAATCATCCTAGTGGGCTGCTCTGAAACAGCCAATCAAATGTCAACCCCTTCATAACCTAACTTTTAAACGTAAACGTAAACCGTATTGCTGTGGTTTAAAACAGTGTTTATTACAAACAAGCGTTAACAAATAACAAAATTAAAACTGTCTGCTCAGCGAGAAAGTTTATCGAGTTCAAACGGGCCGTGACACGATTTTTTTTTGAGTCGCAGCATTTTGTTTATTTATAACTACTAGTTGCTACTAGTTGGATTGGACGCATTGTTATACATATATACATTGAAAAAATGTTTTTTTAATATGGAATTGTTCGAAAAAAAAAATAATAATACGTAGGTATGTAGGCCGTGAAAAAATGTAAATTTGATTATCAATTGCGATTTTTAATTGCTTTTCCAATTAGCTGACTCAGATAAGTGATTAAATATTTGTAGCAGTTTATTGTTTGGGTATTGTGAACATTTGTAATAGAATTTTTTTTTCAGAAAAATAGTAGGTATTTATAGAATAAAAAAATATCCTTTTTTAAATTTTTGTTGTAGAATTCAAAGACATATGTACTATATTAATTTAACAATTTTGTTCATTTTTGTAGATTTTTATATTTTAAGTTTGGTTGGGGATGGTTTTTACTTTATTTAAAATATTGGTCATTAACTCTTACATTTTTAATTTTTGTACTTGTAACACCCGAAACAAATTTTTTTTTTATAAAAAAAATAGTAAAACGTTATTTGTAACAGTGATTATGTGGTAGATGGTTAGTAAATATTATACCTTGGAGGAATGTAATTTTTATGAATGTTTTACTCTCTTAAACAAAGCACTTTAGTGATATGAACGTGGGAACCTTTTTTGTCAAAAATTAAATTTCCTACAACTTTTTTATTTGAACTTTTTCGGTAAAACCAGTCATTCGCTCGAGTTTCTCAAAAATATGTGAGAAAAAGTGAGAAAACGACTTTTGGAGCTACTAAAATCAACGTAAATAAATCAAAAACAAAATGTGTCAGCAAGAAAAAAAAAATTTCGTTTTAAATGAAACACCCTAGTATTAGAGATGCGACTTGAAAAAAATCGTTGAAATTGTTTTTTTTTCAGGTTTTTTTACATTGTTTTTTTCAAATGGTTTTTTTTCAAATTTTAAGTTTTTTTTCAAGATAAGTCCCATTTGCCTAATTTTTTATGTTTCCATGGACTAAAATTAGCCACTAAATGACAATTATTAAATGTAAATACAGCCTCGCGTTATGCACTCGCCACAACCACCGATTTGACCAATAAGGGCCGCGCTTGTTTTGATTTGGTCCTAAAAAAGTAACTAGGTACCTATAATATTTTTGATTCAGCGCTTGATTTTTCAAAAAGCTACCGAAAGCACTTATTTCATGATTTTTCAAATTTATGTATAGTATGGTAATTTTTTTTTTTTCAAAAAACAATAGCAAATCTTGTAGAACATTTCTTCATTGGTGGTCAGAACATTCCGTGGACCAAAAAAGAAATAAAAAAAAAATCGATTTTTTTATTACGGTATTAGTTAGAATTAAGCGTTGCACGTTTTTCATCTAAAAATCTCAAAACTATAAACTTCAAGCTTCAAATTGCTTTTTTTACGGCTCCAATACGACCATTTTTAACAAATATTCGAAAAATCGCAAAAAAAAATTTATCCTTTAATTTTTTGTATTAGTGTAGAAGTTTTACATTGCTATTGGATTTTAATGTGGAAACTACCAAATAATAAGAAATCAGGTCAAAATTTTCAATAGTGAAAAATGTAATATATTCTAGGTACATTTTACTCAAAATTTCATTTTGAAAAAAAACAAAAAAAACCGTTTTTTTCTAGGTTTTTTTTCACATCTGAAAAAAACCGTTTTTTACATCTCTACCTAGTATACATACATATAAGTTTAACAATTTTGTATATTTCAAGTTTGGTTTGGGATTGTTTTTAGAAATTTATTTAAAATATTGTCATAAACTCTTACATTTTTTACTTATTTTAATTTTTATTTAAATTTTAAAGAGTTCTTTGGTATTTAGAGTATTTTTAAAAAATTTAGATAATTATTCTTAATTTCAGCGTAAAACGTGGTCTCCAGAAGGTAATGGTGATAGCTGCGTTGGCGAAGTGCTCACACGTACCACAACAACCAGCAACATCAACAACAACAACAACAACACGACGACTACATCAGCAACGACAAACAACAACAACAACAACAACACAATTACAAACAGCACGCAGACGGGCGGCAGCGTCGAGTTCGCCGGTGCGGGCAGCGGCGGGGCGGGGGCGGCACCCGGAGCGGGCGGCGGCGGCGGCGGGCAGCTCGCCACCACCACCACCACGACGGCGCACAGCAAGGTGCAGGCGGCTCCGGGGGCCACAAACCCCCAGCCGCAAGGTAAGAAAAAATGTAAAGATATCGTTTTCGCCAATTTTTTTATATGTTTACCTCCTTACCGATTGTTTTACCTTTACGATTATGAAAAGAGGGACTTTCTGCCACGGTTTTGTTCAGAATTTTGGCTAAGCACACTAAAAAGTTGCCAAATTAATAAAGAAAATATTGTAAAAGCTGGAAGATATGTTTAATACATTTGTTCTACAAAAATACAAAAGTATTAAATAGTTGTGTAAACTTTATTTTCTTAATTATATTATAACATTATAATAAAGATTAAAACTAATTTATAATAACCTTTATCCTAGGTTTTCAAATTTTGTTTAAATTTAGCTTAATTACAAAAATGACAAAATGAACAATGCAAATCGTTAATTTGGCGTTTTTATTAATAATTAATTATTAATTATTGTTTATTATACCATTTTTGTAATGGACGCAAATTCAAACAAAATCTTGCAACTTTTACTACAGAATCTAGTGCATTTTCAAATTTTAGGTTGCTCAATAAATGTAAATATCTTAACTAATGTTTAAAGTTTAACTTATAACTTTAAAATTTTTTTATCTGAGTAAACAGAAATAAAAAAAACGATGAAAAAATTAATTTTGTGGTTATGGAGTTTTTAAAGTAGGTGCAAAATTTTCTAATCATTACTTAAGCTAATAGCTGGATGAGTAAATAAATACAGAAATTTATTAGAGCTTTATTGATTTTTTATTTATTTTTTGCAAGAAAAATTTTTAGTAACAATTTTTTTGCAACTGGCAACGCTTACCTACTTTGTGGTTGGTATCTATGTACTCACAAAACACAAATGTGTAACCAGTGGCGTATCACTAAAAATATAAAAAACTTCCAATGCATATTTTTTTATCTTTATTTTTTCTTTATTTTTTTAAATATTTTACACCTTATGTCAAAAGGTATTCAGTATTTTAATATATTACATTAATTACATAACACCTTATACTATCAAAATAGTTTTTAGGATATTTTAGAAGATTTAAATTATACTTTTTCTTTTAAAAATTTTTTTTGTAAATTTTGATAATTTTCTCTATTTTCAAAATGTATGCTCCTGTGCGAATTATGTTCGAATATTCCAGTTCCGTTTCATTTTTTTAACGCCAAATTTTGGTTTACCATGTCCACAAAGAAATTTTATTTCAAAAATGTTCCCAATATGAAAAAAATTTTTGTTATGCGTTTTACGAAAAAAACTATCCCTCCTAAAAACTCTTGACTGTTTTAAAAATTAAGTTCCCATAAAACAAAATTGAATCAAATGTACAGGGTGCTCAGAAAACAAGCATAGGGAAATCAGAAACTACTGATTTAAATAAAAAAAATTAATATTATATTTTTATTAATTTTTTGTATTTTTGGATTCTACACACTTTTTAAACTATTTATTTATGTTTTAGTATTTTTTTAAATGTATTCATTCGCTGAAACTTAAAAATCTTTATTAATAACTAAACTACAAGTAAATTATATAGGGTGTTTTTATACCGCATGAAAGTTGAAGATTTTTTAAATTAAAAATGGTTTTTTCACACCCTATATAATTTTTAATATTTGGATAAAATTAGTGATTTTCTTTCTTTTGACCTACTATACTTAAACGCTAACAGTAGGTACAAAAATATTTGAATTTTTTTATTCCAATAATAATTTATTTAATAATTTAATAATTATTTTTCTATTTATATATTAAAAACTATTTATTTAGAGTGTTCCATTAAAAAAACAAACATTTTTACCTTTAAAAAACTTTCATGCTGTATAAAAACACCCTGTATAATATTTCGAAAAATAATATAATTTACCTGTAATTTAGTTACTAGTAAAGAGATGGATACTATTTAAGATAAAAAATAATTGTTTAGTTAGTTTTTAAAATTTAGCAAATGTATACATTTAAAAAAATTACTAAAACTTACTAAGAATACTTAAAAAAGTTTGTGGAATCCAAAAAATCAAAAAATACAAGGTGTTTCATTGAAAATAAGAAAGTTTGTATCGTCCCAGGAAAAACTAAACACCCTGTATAAATGAAAAGATAATATTTAATAAAATTATTTAGATTACAAACTTTTATTTATTTTTTAAACCAGCACTAATTATTTTCGTGAAACGTATAACAATAAAAAAAGTATTGTTTCCAAGTTTCAAAATACGAGTTGCGAATTACTTTGGAACGATTTAAATGCGCAAAAAAGCGGCAGCGGTCGTCGACAAGAATAATTATCGCCGAAATTGAGCACGCAGAACGTAAATCGTTTTCGGAGCCGCGACGGCCGCTATTCGGCCTGCAGCCGCATCCTTGCATGTCCAGTTATGCGGGTCGTCCGGTTTTAAAATAATATTTTCGATGCTCGATGCCGCCGCTACTGCCAAGTCGACGCACCGACCGCCCGACTATTTATCGCTTTATTTTTGCACACCCAAATGCACAATGTATTGTGCCTATTTTTTTTTTATTCCAAAAACACTTCAACTTAATTTTTTTACGGCTGAATAATCATGATGGAAGAAATCACCACTAATTTTTATTAAGTTGGTAGCTTATGCCAGTTTGATTTAGTATTTTTAGTATTTAAAAAATGGTACTTCTGCTTAAATACTCTGGCACTGTCAAATTGACAGTAATATTTGTTATTAATAACTTACTTCTTAATTATTATATAATATCGATATTAGATTATTATCTCTCCTGGGCCGTAGTCACCTATATTTAACTACTTTTTTGTATGATTTTACTCATCTACGCACCACCAAAGACAAATTAATTGCATTTTTAACTACGAGTTTTAACAATAATTACATTTATACTAGTTTAGTTTGTTTTAATCAATGCAACCAATTTTGGTTCCGATTTTTTGATCATTGAATAACAATTTATAATAAAAATTGTATGGTTATTAAATTTTTTACTTCCGGCGATTTCTTTTTAGTGTGGTCTTAAAGCCAGCGTAGCATTTAATAAAAACAATAAATTTCACTTAATAACAATATTCTCAATCGTAAATCATAGAATATATATTGTGGTAGAAAGTTTTACTTTTAATCTATTTTATGATTACTATTATTATTATTATTTGCAAATCTAATTCGTAAAAACAATTTGCGGTAATTTATTTTCGATTTAACAATACAAGTACGAGAAACTAAAAGTACACACGTAAACAGATAAAAATTGTTTACTTTCGTATTAAATGCATATCTTGATTAAATTAATATTTTTTATTGCGGTTATTATGTTTCGGTTTTATTATCGTTTATTGTTTAACGAATTAATTTGCAGGGATGGATTAAAAAGATTTTATTTAGTTATACTACAAATTGTTAAAAATAACATTCCAAACCTGTTACAAATTTAAACTTGCCGCCGATTCGTCTGCGCATGCGTAGACTGGATCGTCTGCCGGCGACGCCATCTAGCGTCTCGCATGTGCAACGCGATCGCGGCCTACTGCGACGTATCGTGACGCGCTTTTTTTTGCCGTGCAGGCACCGGGAGCGGCTCGGACGGCGACTATCAGCTGGTCCAGCACGAGGTCCTCTACTCGATGACCAATCAGTACGAGGTGCTCGAGTTTCTTGGTCGCGGCACCTTCGGCCAGGTGGTCAAGTGCTGGAAAAAGGGCACCAATGAGATCGTCGCGATCAAGATCCTGAAGAATCATCCCTCCTATGCCAGACAAGTAAGTTAAACGATGTTTTTTTTTGATTTTGCACTTTTTTCTGCTACTTTTATTGATAGGGAAGATTTTTTTATAATAAATCACTTTATCATTTTAGATTGTCAATATTTTGGATCTTATATATTTGATATTGTACAAGGTGTACCTGAAAAGCCTACAAAACTTGATTATAACCAAGATACAGGGTGTCAAAATTCGTTTTCGATTTGATTTAGGGGGTTTTTCAGGACGGAAAAATTAAATTTCTTAAAAAATTAAAGTAGGTTGTAGAGGACGCTGTCTGCACAGTTAGCATACGGTTAAATGGTCACATCTTTTTGCGCTTTATTCAAGTTTTAATATAAATATTACTTTTTCATCTTTATTACTCAAAAAAGGTAAACCTTGATGACAAAACCATATTTAAGAATGACAAAATCACCTAATTTAAAAAAAAAACTTAAAAAATATCCCTTATTTTTATTTCAAAGTCAAAACCATAAGATGACTACAGAATTTTAAAAAGAATTAAAAATGACAACACATTTAAGAATGTTTAGACATTTAAATCATATAAAGATTGTCAAAGCATATTTGCGAATTTTAAAATTACTTAAAATTGTCAAAACCATAATTAAGAATGAGAAAATCAACTAATTTAAAAAAAAATATCAAAAAAAAGCTTATTTAAAAAATTTCAAAACCATAAGATGACCGAAGGATTTAAAAAACAATTAAAAATAAAAACACGTTTAGAAATGTTTAAATAATATGAAGATTGTCAAAGCATATTGTAGAATGCCAAACCATATTTAAGAATATTGCTTAAGAATGTCAAAACTATATCTAAGAATGACAAAAATACTTTATTTTAAATATCCCTCTATGCTTATTTTAAATGACATCAAAGCATATTTTAAAATGTCAAAATCACCTAATTTAAAACAATAAAAAAATACCCCTTATTGGTTTTTTAAGAATGTCAAAACCATAATATGACTAAAGAATCTCAAAATCAATTAAAAATAAAGACACACTTGGGTGTGTTTAAATTATATGAAGCATATTTTAGAATGTTCAAATTTCTCAAGAATGTCAAAAATCCCCTAGGTACACAAATTTAAGAATATTTAAATTATATAAAGAAGCATTTTTACGAATGTCAAAATTAATAAAAATTGTCAAAACCATAACATAAGAAAATTAAAAGTTCACCTAATTTAAAAAAAAGTCAAAAAAGGGGTATTGCTTATTTAAAAAATGTCAAAACCATAAGGTGACTAAAGGATGTCAAAAATAAAAATAAAGACACACTTGGGAGTGTTTAAATTATATGAAACATATTTTAGAATGTTAAAATTGCTTAAAAATGACAAAACTATATTTAAGAATGACAAAATCCCCTACTTATTTTAAATATCCCTCATGGCTTATTTTAAATTATTAAATTATAAATTGTTTAGTGTACCCCTTTTATTTTGATTAATTTGTAAAATTATAAAAAAAAATTACGAAGTTGGACAGTAACTAAATTTGAAGCGTCTCTTAATGCATTGCTTTAATCGTATCCCACTTTTAAAAAATGTTACATTAATTAATAATAACAATTTAAATGCAAATATCTCGAAAACGGTAACTCGCAGCGACATTTAAAAAGTATAACTTTTTTACGTAAAAAAGACAATCAAGTAATGAATAGAGCGCCCTCTACAACCTATATTATTATTTTTTAAGAAATTTAATTCTCACCTCTTAAAAACTCCCCAATATCAAATAGTTATATCGAATTATCTTGTATATAATTTTACAATTTTAAATTATTATTATTTTAGGTTTTCACCATTTTAGCTTGTCATTATTTTAGCTTTGTCTTATTTAAACTAGTTATTTAGCGTGTCTCATATTTTACCTTCATTTTAGCTTGTACTCACTTAAGTTTGTCATAATTTTAGCTTGTCATTTTTGTTTGTTTGTAAACTGACGATTTAAGGCTTAAAATCGTGTGCTCATGCGCAGAACTATGGCCTCTCCCAGTGGCGCCATCTATCGACATTTGAAAGCATTATTTGTTTATTTTTCCCAGGGACAAATAGAGGTGAGCATCTTGTCGCGACTCAGCCAAGAAAATGCGGACGAGTTTAACTTCGTGCGCGCTTACGAGTGCTTCCAGCACAAGAACCACACGTGTTTGGTGTTCGAGATGCTCGAGCAAAATCTCTACGACTTCCTCAAGCAGAACAAGTTCAGCCCGCTGCCGCTCAAATACATCCGGCCCATTCTGCAGCAGGTGCTAACAGCGTTGCTGAAACTCAAGGTAATTTTTAATTTTTAAAACGGTTGTTCCTGTGCCTTTTCATCTAAAATCGGCCAGGCCCGTATTTTTTATTTTTTTGTTCACCCGTAGGAAATTTTCCCTTTTTACGAGTGTTAAATGTAACACATACAAATTTACTTAATTTTATTTAAATTGTTTTTTCTAAAAAAGGCAAAAAAATTTGGGTAAATTTTTTAAAAAAATTATATTTTTTGTATTTGGTAAACATTTACCTCCAATTTAAAGAAAATTGTAACGATTGAGATATTTTTGGCCAAGTTTTCGCATTTTCAAGAAAACACTTAAAACAAATTTAAGCAAAAAGAAAAAATCTAATCGATTTCGTAAAAAATGTTTAAATTTTATGAATATTGTCAAAGCATATTTAAAAATGTAAAAATTGCTTAAGGATGTCAAAACTATATTTAAGAATGACAATATTTCCTACTTTATTTTAAATTACCATAAGGACTTCAGAATGTCAAAAACAATTAAAAATGACAACAAAACATTTAAGAATGAAGTTTGTCAAAGCATATTGAAAAATGTCAAAATTACTTAAAATGTCAAAATTACTTAAAATGTAAAACCATATTTAAGAATGACAAAATCACCTTATTTAAAAACTAAAAAAAAATCTCATTGCTTTTTTTAAAATAATTTCAAAACCTCACCTGAATGTCAAAAAAATTAAAAGTTACAACACATTTAAGAATTTGTAAATCATATAAAGATTGTCAAAGCATATTTTAGAATGCCAAAACCATATGTCAAAATTACTGAAGATGTCAAAACCTCATTTAATAATGACAAAATCCCCAATTAAAAAAATAAAAAATTATCCCCGTGACTTATTTAAAAATGTCAAAATCATAAGGTGACTTAAATATGCCAAAATCAGCTAAAAATTACAATAACACGTTTAAAAATGTTTAAATCATATGAAGTTGGTCATAAATACATAATTACGAATGTCAAAATTACTTAAAATTGTCAAAACCATATTTAAGAATGACAAAATTACCTAATTTAAAACAATCAAAAAATATCCCTCATTGCTTATTTAACACGTTCATGGACAGGACTGCAAATGCCGTCGGGCTCAATATGACACGACGGCTATAGCAGTCGTAATTTTCTAGCTGATTTATGACAAGCCTGTGTAAGTGACGCAACAGGTCCCGCCAAAAATTTGTCTGTGTCCATCAACGTGTTAAATATGTCAAAACCATAAGATGACTAAAGAAAGTCACATTTTTTTTAAATAATATAAATATTGTCAAAGCATATTTTAGAATGCCAAAACCATATTTAAGAATGTTAAAATTGCTTAAGAATGTCAAAACTATATTTAAGAATGACAAAATCCCCCACTTAAAAAAATTAAAAAATATCCCTTGTAGCTCATTTAAAAATTTCAAAATCATAAGATGACTTAAATATGCCAAAAAAAATTAAAAATGATAAAACACATTTAAGAATGTTTAAATCATAAGAAGTGGGTCAAAGCATAATTACAAATTTCAAAATTACTAAAAATTGTCAAAACCATATTTAAGAATGACAAAATTACCTAGTTTAAAATAATCAAAAAATATCCCTCATTGCTTTTTTAAGAAATGTCAAAACCATAATTTGACTAAAGAATGTCAAATAAATTAAATTTTTTTTAAATAATATAAAGCATATTTTAGAATGACAAAATCCCCCACTTAAGAAAATTAAACATTTACCTCCAATTAAAAAAAAATTAACAATTGAGACATTTTTGGCAAAGTTATCGCATTTTCAAGAATAAATTTCGCTCGTTAAAAGAGACATTTTCCTTGCAGCAACTCGGTTTGATACACGCCGACCTGAAGCCCGAGAACATAATGCTGGTGGACCCGGTGCGGCAGCCGTACCGCGTCAAGGTGATCGACTTCGGCAGCGCCTCGCACGTCAGCAAGGCGGTGTGCAACACGTACCTTCAGTCGCGGTACTACCGCGCCCCCGAGATCATCTTGGGCTTGCCCTTCTGCGAGGCGATAGACATGTGGTCGCTGGGCTGCGTGGTCGCGGAACTCTTCCTGGGCTGGCCTCTGTACCCCGGATCGTCGGAGTACGATCAGATTAGGTATATCTCGCAGACGCAGGGGTTGCCTACCGAGCACATGCTGAATAATGCCTCCAAAACGACAAAGTTCTTCTACAGGTGAGTTTTTTACTGTAAAATTGTTAAATTTATTTTAGAAAGAAACAAACTGTTTTTGACTATAAAGTATCATTAAAGAATGTCTGAGGATACTATGTCACGCCGTTTTAACATTAAAAATTTTATTGATTTAAAATTTTCCCAACTAAAATTTTAGGTTTACATTTATAAATTTAATCATGTATTAAAAGACAACATTTACTAACCAACAGTTCACTGCTGTATTAAACAATATTATTTTCAATCAATTTTTGCAAAAACTATCATTTCTTAATAAAAAATAATTTTTTAAGTATTATAATTAATCTAAACAATTAAAAAAATATATTTAAGATTTAAAAAATTCTGCCCAAATAAATAGTTAATTTTTTTAGTATTTAAAAATAGTGTCAAGACATTTAAAATAAAAACAAATATAAAACTTTTACTACCAAAATTGTTTAAAAAGTTAAATTTTTTTAAACTCAAAACAATTTATAATCAAAAAATATTTTAAACATAAAATTAAAATGTAATAGTATAACTTTAAAATATTGATTTTATAAATTGATATTTTAATATTTTATTCTACAAAATTATTGCTTTAAATTTGTTAAAGGTCATATAAATTTTTAATACAAAAATTCTCACATTGCATTTAAATGTTAGTTTAAAGTTTTAAAGTGGTACTTTTTTATTAAAAATTTATCGACTATCGACTCTTGAGATATTTAAACCAATATTTTTTATTTTTAACAAATTGAAATTGATACATTTTTAAAATATTTTTTTTAAATTGAACAAATATTTAAAAATGTCAAAATCATAAAAAAGTCTTAAGAAAGTTAAGAACACAATTGAAAAAATAAAAATTATGTAAAGATAGTTGGATATTTTAGAATGCCAAAACAATATTTAAGAATGTAAAAATTACTTAAGTTGGAACATATTTGAAGATGACACATTTAATATTAGAGAGAATATTTAAATCATAATATGAAGATTGTCAAATCATAATTTAGAATGCCAAAACCATATTTAAGGATGTCAAAATTACTTAAGAATGTCAAAATCGCCTATTAAAAAATGTCAAAAACATTCAAGAAGGAAAACAACACATTGTAAAAAATTACTTAAAAATGTCAAAACCATATTTAAGAATGGCAAAGGCACATAATTTAAAAGAAAACTCAAAATTTACCCCTTATTACTTATTTTAATAAGAAAAACCCACAAGATGATTAAAGAATTTTAAAAACAACTAAAAATGACAACAACACTTTATTATTATTAAGAACATTTCAACATTTAAATCATTTAAATATTGTCAAAACATATTTACGAATGTCACTAAAGGATGAAACAATTAAAAATAAAAACACACTTAGGAATGTTTAAATTATTTGAAGATTGTCAAAGCATATTGTAAAATGTCAAATCATATTTAAGAATGATAAAATTGCTTAAAAATTTTAAAAATTTATTTAAGAATAAAAAAAGTCCCTACTTATTTTAAATTGACAAAACCCATAAAATGTCTTATGAATTTCAAAAACAATTAAAAATGATATCGAAACATTTAAGAATGAAGTTTGCCAAAGCATATTTAAGAATGTCAAAATTACTTTAAAATTTCAAAAACATGTTTAAGAATGACAAAATCACATAATTTAAAAAAACTTAAAAAATATCCCTCATTGCTTTTTTAAGAATATCAAAAGCTGACTTAAAATGTCAAAAAAATTAAAAATTAAATAATTACAATTATTTATTATTATTTTATTAATTATAATTAATATTAAATACCAAATTTAAGAATTTTTAAATCATATGAACAATGCCAAAACCATATGTCAAAATTACTTAAGATGTCAAAACCACATTAAAAATAAATAAAATATTCTTCGTGGCTTTACAAATGTCAAAATCATAAGATGACTCAAATATGCAAAAAACAAATTAAAAATGACAATAACATATATAAGAATGTTTAAATCATATGAAGATTGTCAAAGCATATTTTAGAATGCCAAAACCATATTTAAGAATGTTAAAATTACTTAAGAATGACAAAATCACCTCATGTAAAACACTCAAAAATATGAAGAAAGTCAAAACCATAAAATGACCAAAGAATGTCAAAAAAATTAAAATTAATTAAAGTCAAAGTCAAAGCATATTTTAGAATGACAAAACCATATGTCAAAATTACTTAGGATGTCAAAACCACATTTCATAAGATGACTTAAATATTAAAAAAAGACAATACCACATTTATTGTCAAAGTATATTTAAAATTACTTAAAATTGTCAAAACCTTATTTGAGAATCACAAAAGCACCAAATTTAAAACAATAAAAATATCAATCATTGATTTTTTAAGAAATTTCAAAACCATAAGTTGACTAAAGAATATCAAAAAAATTACAATACATTTGAGAATTTTTAAATTATGAAGATTGTCAAAGCATACTTTAGAATGCCAAAACATTATGTCAAAATTACGTACTTAAAATTACTAAAGAATGTCAACAAAAAAATTAAATCATGAAGATTGTCAAATGCCAAAACCATATGTCAAAATTACTTAAGATGTAAAAACCACAATTAACAATTACAAAATCCCAACTTTAAAAACATCAAAAAATATGCCTCGTTGCTTATTTAAAAATGTCAAAACCATAATTAAGAAAGACAAAATTACTTAAAAATGTCAAATCATATTTAAGAATGACAAAATCACCCAATTTAATTAAAACAATAAAAAAATTTCCCCCATTGCTTTTTTAAAAAATGTCATTACCATAAGATGAATTAAGAGTGATTTTTTTTTAATTACAACACATTTAAGAATTTTTGAATCATATGAAATCAAGATTGTCAAAGCATATTTATGAATAACAGCTTTTCAAGATTCATTTAAAAATAATTAAATGATTTTTAAAAACAGAGAAATAAGAGAATGCCAAACATGTTTAAAAGGTTCAAAGCATATTTAAGAAGCTCACAAGTAAAGTAAATATTTTAAAATTTTGCAAAAGCATCTGGAAAAGTCAAAACGCAACGTTTTGGGATGTAAACGTCATAAAAACGATTTTTACCAACGACGGCATACAATCTTACTGACAATATTGCAGAGACATGGACAGCACGTATCCCTTCTGGAGGCTCAAGACTCCGGAGGAGCACGAGGCTGAGACGGGCATCAAGTCGAAGGAGGCGCGGAAGTACATTTTCAATTGCTTGGACGACATCGGACAGGTGAACGTGCCGACGGACTTGGAGGGCGGACAGCTGCTGGCGGAAAAAGTCGACAGGAAGGAGTTCATCGATCTGCTCAAGAGGATGCTCACAATGGACCAGGTAGCAATATTTATTTCAGTTTGCACTTATGCTGTCAACAGATTTTTAGTGGAGATGTAACGGTTTTTTTTCTCAAACATTATTTAATTAATCCAATCAATAGTTTTGGCCTTTTGGCCACTTCTTTACAAAAAAAACAAATTTAATTTATAGGAAGTTTAGTTTTCTCATTTATGGAAAATTAAAGACATTTTAGCAAAATTTCAAGATTAATGGTTTTATAATTAAATAATATTTATATTAATAATGTTTTTTCACTTTTATTAGGTTAATTAAAAAAACCTAAAATTTACTTTAAAACATATTAAATTAAATCAATATAATAATTTTTGTCAAAATTTTAAATTTTGATGACAAAATGCTTTTTTAATGGGAAAATTTTAACGAAATTGTTCCAGTTCTTAAAATGTGTAGAACATGATTAATGTTAATTACACTGTCTTGCAAGGATATGGACAATTCTTACTTTTTCTTGAAGAACGAATATTTTCTTTTGAATAAAATGCTAAAGTAAATTTTTCCGAAAATTTGCCACTTTTTATTTTTTTTTTTGGACAAAAAAACGGCTCAAGTTTTCCGGAAATTTAAAAAAAATTAAACTATGATCATTCCTTAATAAAAAAAAAGTTTCCTTCCTTCCTTCCTTCCTTTCTTCCTTCCGTAAAAGATGAACAATACGAAAATCGTAGTGTTTCAATCAAAAAATATCCCTCATTGCTTATATTAGTAAGTCAAAACCATAAGATGACTAAAGAATTGCAAAACAGTTAAAAATGACAACAACATGTGTTGTTCAATAATATTGAAATCATATGAAGATTGTCAAAGCATATTTTAGAATGCCAAAACCATATTTATGTATGTCAAAATTACTTAAGAATGTCAAAATCACCTATTTAAAAAAAAACAAAAAAAATCCTTCATTGGTTATTTAAATTAAATTAAAAATGTCAAAACCATTTTTAAGAATGAAAAAATCACCTAATTAAAAAAAATCAAAAAATATCCCTCATTGCTTATTTTAGAGTGTCAAAACCATAAGATGACCCAAGAATGTTAAAAATAGTTAAAAATGAGAACAACACATTTAAGAATATTTTAATCCTATAAATATTGTCAAAGCATGTTTTAGAATTCCAAAACCATATTTAAGGATGACACCAATATTTAAGAATGTCAAAATCACCTATTTAAAAAAAACAATAAAAATATCCCGCATTGCTTATTTAAAAATGTAAAAACCATAAGATGACTTCAAAATGTCAAAAACAATTAAAAAGGAAAACAACACTTTTTCAAAGCATATTTAAAAAAGTCAAAATTACTTAAAAATGTCAAAACCATTTTTAAGAATGACAAAATCACTTAATTATATAAAAAAATATCTCTCATTGCTTATTTAAAAATGTAAAAACCATAACATGATTTCAAAATGTCAAAACCAATTAAAAAGGAAAACAACATTTTGTCAAAGCATATTAAGAAAGTCAAAATTACTTAAAAATGTCAAAATCACCTATTTAAAAAGAAACAAAATGTGAAAAACAATTAAAAACGAAAACAACACTTTGTCAAAGCATATTTAAAAAAGTCAAAATGACTTAAAAATGTCAAAATCATATTTAAGAATGAAAAAATAACCTAATTTAAGTCAAAACCTATGACTTAAGAATTTTAAAACATTTTAAAATGACAACAATGACAATGACAATTTTAAAACTATGATCATTCCTTAGTAAAAAAATTGTTTAGTAGTTGCTCTTAAGCCTGATTTATCGATTTCCCTCCTTCCTTCCTTTCTTCCTCCCATAAAAGATGAACAATACGAAAATCGTAGTGCCATTTATAGACTCCCGTACGGTACGGTTTTTGTATTGTTCATCTTTTACGGGAGGAATGGAGGAAGGAAGGAAGTCAATCTATAATTCAGGCTTTAGAATGTTCTAAGTTTTAAAATTGTCAAAAGTCGAGCAAATAAACTATTTCGCTGCACTCTACAATAAAGCCTCTCGTTTCTTCTTGCTCAGGAACGTCGCACGACCCCGGGCGAGGCTCTGAACCACCCGTTCGTGCGGTTGGCGCACCTGGTCGATTACGCGCACTGCAACAACGTGAAAGCCAGCGTGCAGATGATGGAGGTGTGCCGAAGGAACGACTACAGCGCCCCCAGCGCCGCCTCGCACCACCAGCCGGCGCAGCAGGCGCCCTCCTTGGTGGCCAACTTCGTGCCCAACTCCAACGGCAACGTCACCTTCACCATCAACAACCAGCTCACCAACCAGGTGCAGCGGCTGGTCAGGGACAGGTCCGGATACGACAATCTGGTGAGTTTTTGCGATTTTTTATGGGTTTTCTTTCATACTTTGACTAAAAGTTCGGCTTTTACATTTATTAAATATTTTTTTTATTTAAAATTTAAAATTTTCACAATTAAAAATTTTAGGGTTACATTTATAAATTTAAAATATTTTTAAATATCATTTATTGAAAGACGAAATTTATCAAGAAACAATATTAGTTGCAATCAATTTTTGCAAAAATTTCTAGTATAATTTATTTGGGCAGAATTTTGTAAATGTTCAATAAATATATATAAAATTATTTAGATTAAATTTGTAAAGTTAAATTTTTTAATATTTCAAAATACATACAAAACATTTTCTACTAAAAATTAAATATTTACAAATTTAAAACAAAAATTTTGCAGAATAAAATATTTAAACTAAAATTTTTAAAAATCAACATTTTTAAGCTTAAAGTTTTACAGTTGTATTTTATATTTAAAAAAAATTGTGGTAAACTTTAATCTTCACAGGCAAATATTCGATCCACGCAGATTTTCCATGAATTTAAATCGCAATTAACTTTTTTATTTGATGTCGGATTTAAACGAATATTAAAGAATTTTGTAGATAAATTAATGGAGAATCGCTCACATTTTAAAAATTACTAAAAAATAGACGTACGTTTATAATATACAGGTTTAAACAAAAAGATGTTTTTTACCATAAGTTTAAGACACTCTGTAGAGCGGCAAAACCGTATATTGTTCTAAATTAAGTTTTAATTATCAAGTCACATCTATTCTTAACAGTTTTGTTTTTGGTTCAGCTCAATATATTTATTTTTGTAGAAAGTATGGATTTTTTAAAAAAACATTGCAATTTCTAATATTTTTTCTGTACGAAAAACTAAGGTTGCTATGGAGGATGACAGTGACAGTTTTTATTTTTGCCACAATTACGATTTTTTTAAGAAACAGTTTTTAAATGTAATGTGAGAATTTTAGTATTAAAAATTAAATCTTAACAAATTTAAACCGAAAATTTTGTAAAATAAAATATTTAAACTAAAATTTTTAAAAATCATTATTTTTAAGCTTTAAGTTTTACAGTTGTGTTTTATATTTTAAAAAATTGTGGTAAACTTTAATCTTCACAGACTAAATAATCGATCCAAACAAATTTTCCATGAATTTCAATCGCAATTAACTTTTTTATTTGATGTCGGATTTAAACAAATATTAAATAATATTGTAGATAAATTTATGGAGAATCTCCCACATTTTAAAAATTTATTAAAAAATGTACGTACGTTTATAATATACAGGTTTAAACAAAAAGATGTTTTTTACCATAACTTTAAGACACTCTGTAGAGTGGCAAAACCGTCTATTTTTATAAATTAAGGTTTAATTATCAAGTAACATCTCTTCTTAACAGTTTTGTTTTTAGTTCACCTCGATATATTTATTTTTGAGGAAAGTATGGATTTTTTAAAAAATATTGGAATTTCTAATAATTTTTCTGTACGAAATACTAAGGTTGCTATGGAGGATGACAGTGACAGTTTTTATTTTTGCCATAATTACGATTTTTTTAAGAAACAGTTTTTAAATGTGAGAATTTTAGTATTAAAAATTAAATCTACAAATTTAAACCGAAAATTTTGTAGAATAAAAATCTAAAATTTTTAAAAATCAATATTTTTAAGCTTAAAGTTTTACAGTTGTATTTTATATTTAAAAAAATTGTGGTGAACTTTAATCTTCACAGGCAAAATAATTGATCCACACAAATTTTCCATGAATTTCAATCGCGATTAACTTTTTTATTTGATGTCGGATTTAAACGAATATTAAAGAATTTTGTAGATAAATTTATGGAGAATCTCCCACATTTTAAAAATTTATTAAAAAATGTACGTACGTTTATAATATACAGGTTTAAACAAAAAGATGTTTTTTACCATAAGTTTAAGACACTCTGTAGAGTGGCAAAACCGTATATTGTTTTAAATTAAGTTTTAATTATCAAGTCGCATCTATTCTTAACAGTTTTGTTTTTGGTTCACCTCGATATATTTATTTTTGTGAAAAGTATGCATTTTTTTAAAAATACTGCAATTTCCAATAATTTTTCTGTACAAAGAACTAAAGTTTTGTTTAATTAAACCTGTATATTATAAAAGTACGTTTATGTTTAAGTAAATTTTTAAGATGTGAGCGATTCTCTATTAATTTATCTTCAATATTATTTAAAATTCGTTTAAATCCGACATTAAGGTAGTTGTCGTGGTACAATATTGTCAAAAATTTTTAGATTATACGCACCGTAAAAGTATACGAGCTTGTAGCTAAGTGATTCATAATTTGTTCGCAAGACTGTACCCTGGAGACGTTACCTTTACGTAATACTTTCAAATATTTTCATAAGTTTTAATCCGGCAACGTCGCTTATGCTCAACCAATAGATATATTGGAGACTGAATCAGTCCGTTTGAATTTACTGCGGAAATGTTTTTATCTGACACTAGTGATGTATACTTTTTACAAATTGTTGAACTTTAAACAGTTATTTATAAACAATTGGACGGTCAAAAATTTTTAATTATTTTTTTTAAACTCAGCAAAAATACTAGTGCATTAAAAGACTGTTAGTTTTTTGAAAGCTTCTGACAGTTAGTTTTTTCTGTATAACTAAGAAACTGGTACAGAACTACAGAAAGAGTATACAATCCATGTTAATTATCCAATTTTTAATTGAATTTATCTCAGGTTATAGACGGTCAATCGACTTCAAATTTTAAGGATATATGTGTTGTCATGTCCTTAATAAGTATACAAAAATTTAAAATTTTCTGATGGTATGCTTACAGCACGACAACTACCTTAAATAAAAAAGTTATTTGCGATTGCAATGCATCGAAAATTTGTGCGGGCCTTACTGGAATGTTTCGTTGCAGTACCAGATCTACAACGGCAGGACGGTGGGTCGGCAGTACGCGACCGCCAGCCGCGCCGACCCGTTCCAGCACCAGCTCGTCTCGAGCATCTTGTGTCCTGCTGGCTATCAGGGCATGGGCGGCTCGCCCGCCAAGCACGTGACGGTGGTGCAGCAGCCGCAGCTGCAAATTCAACCGCCGATACTGAGCCAACCCGGCCAGCAGCAGTACGTGCCCGTCAGCGTGGTGGAGCCCAGCGGCAGGCAGATGCTGCTAACGGTAAGTTTACAAACTAAAAAATATTTTTCTAAAATTAGCTCTTTGGTGTAATAAAAAAAATGTTTTAATAATTTTCAACGGAAGAAATATCAAAACATTTAGGAAATTTAAAAAATCTCAAGAAGTCCAAATTAACGCATAACAAGTAAAAGAAATCCAACTCTAAAACGCCTTTACCAATCTTTATAAAATTTTGGATAAAAAAAACTTTAACCTATATCTCAGTTTACGTGTTCAAGGGTTTTTCGAGAAAATATCCTTAAAACCCTTTTATTTAATAATAAAAAACGCTCGAAAAAAAACTTTCATAGGGAATTTTTTTTTGAAGTAAATAAAAAATATGCTGTGAAAGGCCGTATTTTTGATAGTATACCCAGAAAATGTTGTACAAATCAAACGAACAGTAACGAAAATACAGCGCTTCAAAGTCGTCAACAATGACCACTTTTCAGCAAAATAATCAAAAAGGGGTCATTTTTACCGACTTTGAAGCAGTGTATCTTCGTTACTGTTCGTTTAATTTGTACAAAATTTTCAGGGTATACTAACAAAAGTACGGTCTTTCACAGCATATTTTTTATTTACTTAAAAAAAATTCCCTAAAACTTATTTTTCGTACGTTTTTTTTATCATAAAATAAAATTGCTTTAAGATATTTCTTGAAAAACCCTCGAACACGTAAACTGATATATAAGTTATAAAGATTGGTAAAGGCGTTCTAGAGCTAGATTTTTTTTACTTATCATGCGTTAATTTTGACGCGCAGTGTATTTCCATCTTTCTCTTGCTTATGCACAGCCACTCATTTCTTACGCCACGAAGATATCAGCGAATATGATTCCCTCAACGTCTCACTCATGGATTTTCTTCGGAATATTACATAAAAACATATTCATAAACCGTAACTTACTTAAGAACCTTCAAAACAAATTTTAGAGTAATAAATGGCACATTACATGTGGCGATATATGAAGATATTAATGATGATATTAAATCACACATTATTTTCAGCTAAGCAGTTTAAAATTTTTAAAAATTTTAAAAAATAAGGGAAATAAAAAATCAAAAAATAAAAATTATTTTGCGAAAAATCTAGTAGTTAGTTTGTCTTTGAAAATAGCATCCATTTGGTTTGAAAAAGATAAGCAATAATCACGAAACTTTTTCTTCTTTCAATTTGCAAGTTACAGATCATTAATAGTCCTGGACAATATAAACATTATAATTATTATTAAGCCACTACAAGTATTAACGTCCAGTGGCTTTAACAAAATACCCATTCACCATTGCAGTCCAATGATTGGACATTCATGTGTGTTCGCATAAAATTTTAATTTCTTTTATATAAATTCTTTTCAAAGCGAAGATTATTATCCGCTAGGAATAATTTGTCTCTCCTGGGCCGTAGTCACCTATATTTAACTACTTTTTATATAATTTTACTCATCTACTCACCACCAAAGTCAAATTAATTGCATTTTTAACTACGAATTTTGACAACTCAATTTGAAAAAATGAACTTTATGTAAATTTTTTTCATAAGCACGAAAATTCGACTTTTGCTGCCTTTTGATATAGTAAGAATTATTTTTCGATACTCAATTGTGAAATTCTTTTGCGTTCTCGAATAATTTTTATTTCCTTGATTACGCTTACAAAAAAAATTTTCATTTTCAAATGCAGAAGTGGCATTTTGCAATCTACCATCAAAAATAACAATTACAGCAGTAAAAATTACAAAAATTAAACACAATTATGATTTTAAAGAGATTTTTATGAATGTCTTAAACACAATTGAGAATGTTAAAACCATACTTATAAGGGCACACTTAAACAACCAAAATACCTCGATGCACTGAATGACTTAATACGGCCCTGGAGAGAATCTCGACAAAAGTCAAATTTCTCGATCACGCGTTTAAATTGTGTTTGTTTTATCTTATTTTGAAATAAAATGAAAAAGCATACAATAATGTTTAAAATTTATTTGAGACATATAGAAAAACACGTTTTGGATGTCTTAAATTCAGATTTTTGAAAATTTAAGGATTTATTTAAGAATATCCCGAATTCGGCACGGCATTTTCTTTCGTTGCAGAACGCCGTGCAAACGTCGTGGCCGACGAATCGCCAGCAAATGGCCATCGTGCCGTCGTGGCAGCAAATTCCCACGCAGCACGCGGCCATGCAGCAGCCGCTGCTGTCGGAGGCCGAATGGGGCCGCCCCCTGCTGGTCGATTCTTCCGCCATCTTGCAGGAACAACGTCCAGTGTTTCCCGTAGACGTGGCGACAGAGGTAAGTCTTGTTATTTTTGTATTGTATTTTTGTTACAAGTTGGTTAGTAAATTAACGTATTTGCCTTTTCTATAGGAGTTTCATATTTACGATTATCATATTTATTAATCATCATTATTCATTAATGTATTGAAAAAAAAATAATTGAACCGAAAAAATAATTTGCGTTCAAGCTAAAAAGTTTTTTGTTGTTCCTGAAAAGTAAACCAAATAGCAAAGAGAGAGTTTTGCAATTAATGGCCTTATATAAAAAATAGGTACATTTTAGAATGTTAAAAACACTATCTTATAGGTGTACAACCCCGCCATAGTGGAGCACCTGAACAACTGGGGCACGACGGGCAAAAGGTCGTCGAAAAATCACCACGTGCAGCAGAACGGCCATCACGGTCATCACCTGATGGTGCCCACGTCGCACCACAGGTCGCACCACGACAAGAAGGAGCAGACGCAGCTGAGTCCCGTGAAGAAGAGGGTCAAGGAGGGCACGCCCCCTAGCGAGCAGGTGGCCTACAGAAGGAACCACAGCAGTCCGGGCAACAACGGCCACTGGCAGCATCAGCAGGTTAGTTCCCGACGTTTTTTTTGTTTTCTTTTGATTTTTATCAAGTGTTTTAGATTTTAGTTTCTGTTTTTTTTAATATTTAATATATCCTTTCAGAAACATATTTTTGGATTTCCACTGTCTTTTTTATGATTAATTCACAACGTTTCAATTGCAATTGCCTTCAGGTGATAATGTGACAATGCAAGTCCAAATATATGTTTTTTTATTGAGAATAATATCTAAATAGTAACAAGAACTTTGACAGATATGTGTTATATTAGCAATAATATATATTTATAATAATAATGAAACGTCAAAAAATAAAAACAACAATGTTACACCATTTGATATATTCGAAGTAAGTTTTTTCGTATAAAGATTTTGATTTTTCCGGCAGCAGGCCGCAATTTTTCGCCTTTTCAGCTGCTTCCTCAATTTCATTCATCTTTAAACTTTAAAACTGACTGATGTCAGTTGACATTATAATATGACAATTATAACAAAAATTCTTTTACGTAAACGTCTTTAAAAACAATAATATATTAAAAATAATAATATATTAATCATGCATAAAGTTTTGTATGCATTGCTGGCTGGTTTTTATGGTCCTACGGTGGACCATAAAAACCTTAGTATGCCCTTAATACATAAATAACTATTAGATGTTTAAATAACAGCTATAAATAGTATAAATAATATATATGACAGCAGTAAACAAAAAAAAAAATACACATTAGATTGGGGTGTTTTGCCTTCTGTTTATAATAAAGAATTTTAATTGTTTTTTAAAACTTATATAGTTCTTTGTGTTCTTGATCTCTTCTGGTATATCATTATAGAGTCTGGCACCTTCAGTCAGTATTCGTTTTTGTCCTATTTTGGTCTTTGAGCTTGGTATATCGATTTTGTGATTGTTTCTTGTCATGTGTCCATGTACTTCAGATCTTTTAATTATATTTAATTCTTCATCATTGTGTTCTTTTTCCAGTATTTTTTTTATAATTTTTATTGTTTCCATTTCTCTTAATTCTTCAATATCTAATGTGTTATTTTGTATACTTCCTTTCTAATCAACACACCACATTTTCCACCACCTTCAAACATATCCTTTCAGGTGACCCAGGACCACCACACGCAGACCCACAACAGCCACCACAACCACCACGGTGGCAGCCACAACAACAACCACCACCATCACCACCACCCGCACTCGGGGTCGGGCGGCAACGGCAACGCGGCCGGCGGCGGAAACGGGCGACAGCACACGATCACGATAAACGACACGCCGTCGCCGGCCGTGTCGGTGATCACGATCAGCGACAGCGAGGACGAGACGGTGACGAAGCGCGAGCATCAGAGCGGCCGGACCAACAACAATAACAACGCCGCTGCGCACCAGCAGCAGCAGCCGGCTGCGCAGGTGCAGCACGTGGCAACGCCGCGCAAGAACGTCATCAGCTGCGTCAGCGTGCAGGATAGCGACAACGAAGACAGGAGCTCATCCAAAGTAAGAAATAATTTAATTGTCCTTAGTATAGTATTTTACAACATTAACACAAATCCAAAAGGATTAAAAAAAAATATTAGGGCTGAACTAATTAACCGATTCCAACGATATAACTAGCGTTTGAATCTTGTTTTGATATAGATTCTTTGTTATTTTTTTCAATTGTACAATCTGCAAAAAATAACAAAGAATCTATGTTAAAACAAGATTCTTCTTTTTAGATTTATTGCCTTTAGCGTAATTAAACGCTATTTGGCCAGCACATTATATTTTTTTAAATTCTTTACTGTTCAAGGGTCTTATTTAAGAGATTAACTCATCCCTTGAATCATTTATCTACTGATAAATTAAATTTTTATAGAACCATGTCATCTTTTCACTTCATGCACACATGTCTTAATGCACAGAATCTTCTAAGTATATTCAATCCTCAATCGTCCAATCAATCTCTTGAATATTTCCATATAAATTTATAAATTCTTCCATACCAGTGTGTTTCCACTAGGGTTTTAAAATTTCCGTAAAAATTGAGCCGGCGGAAAAAACCCGTTTTTTGTGAAATAATCAGAAAAATTGACTTTTTAATTTTTTAAATTTTATTCCAAGGGTAATACGAAAAAATGCAAAAGTCAATTTTTTTTTAAATTTCCAAATTTTTACGGATAGTATCCGTACACTAAAAAAAGTGAATTTCCGACGCTGATTATAATCATATAATACCGGGCCGCAAAAAAACATATTTGGTGCTATAACTATGTATATAACTTTTATTTAACATTTATAAAATTATAATTTTGTAATTTTACTTTATAAATCATTCATTATTTTTAATGGACTCCTTTTTGCAACAAAAAAACCCAACAGTATATTTCATGTTTACGTTTATTTTATTAAATTTTATTTAATGTTTAGGTATTTTTTTGTAATAAAGGATTTTTTTATTTAAAATAATGTTAAGTTGTTGATAGCTACTTTTTTCAAATGTGTATATTTTTAAAAATAAATTCAATTTTTCCCAAAAAAAGACAAGTTTTTCCCCAATTTTTCCGGTTTTTTCCGACACTTTAAAACTCTAGTTTCCACCCTGGGAATCCAATTTTGCCTCTCCTGGGTCGAGAAGTCACTTATATTTCAAAAACTATTTCATAGAGCTATCGCAATTTGGGAACGCAAAATCGAACTCCCAAAACAAGATTCCAACGCTAGTTATATCGTTGGTATTGGATAATTAGTTCAGTCATAATATTTTTTAAAAATTTTTAATGACTAAAACCTTTTACTTTTAATATCATCAATATGTCAATTGACAATTTTTTTTACAAAATCCTTTTGGATTTGTGTTAGTGATAAAGGTAAAAATTGACTTTTTTATGTGTCGTATGCAAATAAAAAGCGTACAGCCTTAGAATGATATAATATAATAGGTACTGCACTTGTCAAATATGTCGAGTTAGATTATAAAAAATACAGTGCCGTAGATGTAAACCAGCCGTCAGTTTGATAGCTAATTGAATAATGCCTCGTCAGTTATCTGAATTTGAAAAATCTCGTGATTTGACAAATGAAGTACCTCTCATTTTTATACCTGTACGCTTTTTATTTGCATACGACTGTACATAAAAATCCTTTGTAGCATTTCATCCAGCAACAAATAAAAAACGAGCCGATATCGAGCAACAACTCGACGACGAACTCGTCCTCGAACGGCGGCTACGCCTCGCAGAAGAAGCGCCTGCTGGCCAAAGCGCAGTCCGAGTGCATGCTGAACGTGGCGACCAAGCAGGAACCGAACGGCGACTACCGCTCGGACGGGTACGCGCACCAGCAGTCCGCGCAGCAGCAGCCGCAGCTGCAGCAGTGCAACAGCTCGTGCAAGGAGCCGGCGCCCGCGCAGTACCACTACGAGCAGCCGCACTACGACTCGAAGCGGGTGTCGTGGGCGGCGCCGCCCGCCGCCCACGGCCGCCGCCACCCCAACGTCCCCGCGGTAAGTACATTTTACCACTACCATGATTACTTTTTTGGTTTTGCCGATTTATTGATTGATTTATTAAAAAAATATAATTCCTAAAATGCCTTATGAAATTTTAACTTATACCTATCTCAGTTTACGTGTTCAAGGGTTTTTCGAGAAAATATTTTTAAAGTTATTTTTCGAACGTTTTTTCATTATTAAATAAAATGTCTTTAAAAATATTTTCTCGAAAAAACCTCTAACAAGTTGAAGTACTTTTATACAAAATTTCATAAAGATTAATACAGGCGTTTTAGAGTTAGATTTTTTTACAGTTGTTGCAATAATTATGGCCAATACTGTATAAATAAAAATACGGTAAAATTGTTTCAACGTGTCAAAAATTTTAACGCGTTAAAACAATTGTTGTTTTTTTACAGCCACCTGTCGCCCATAGTACGAGGGACTCTCTAAATGTCGCGAGGGAGCCGCATCTGCTTGCCCCTGGCAAGGGGTGGGGTCCTCCACAGGGAATCCACCACCAAAGTTACAGGTAAATATCCTATTTTTTTTTAAACTTTTTAGATCACTTTTAGTATTTAGATAAAAAGTATTATGGGTAGTTAGTTAGGTATTATAAAAAACAATTTTTAAATATTATTTTACTATTATCATTATTATTATTTGGATATACAACTTTAACAATACGCAGGGTGTCTGGAAAAAAATAATTTAAAAATTACGCAACAACCCCACTAACAATTTGGAATTTTAAATGTAAATAAACATGTCAACTTATTTAAAATTCAAAGTCTGTAATTTCACACATTTTATTGCAGTTAAATTAAATTTAAACGTGTTAAACAAAATTAAATTTTATAAAAAAACATTGACTTGTTTATTTTTTATAAACAATCAAACTTTTCAGCAGTGCTTTCTTAAAAAAAAATCTGCAATACATTATTTTTTAGCGAAAAAGAATAAGTGTTATAGACAAATGTATTATTGATTTTGTATTTTTTTTTTAAAAGCACTGCTGAAAGTTTGATTCTAAATATAAATAAACAAGTATATATTTTTTTATGTATCTCATCTATAGGGACTTTTGTTGAAAAAAAAATTGATATAAAATTCCGACCCTTTTAGATTGTTAAAAAGCATTTTAAAATGTTTACAAACACATTTTAAAGTGTGAAATTTTTTATAAATTTCTAGACCTACTAAATACATTTTAGAATGCCAAAAATGCGTTTTAGAATGAGATACTTGTGAATTTTAAGACCTATATAAAAAATTGTCAAAAACAAATTTTAGTCTGAAATTTCTTATGAATTTCTAGAGTTACTTTAGAGTGGCAAAATACATTTTAGATTGTTAAAAGCACATTTTAGAATGTTTAGGAATATCAAAAATGCGTTTTAGAATGAGATATGTTTTTCTTATAAATTTTAAGACATAAAAAAATGTCAAAAATACATTTTAGTACGAAATTTCTTATGAATTTCTAGAGTAACTTAAGAATGGCAAAATACATTTTAGATTGTTAAAAACACATTTTAGAATGTTTAAGAATGCCATAAAAGCGTTTTAGAATGAGAATTTTAAGACCTATATAAAAAAATGTTAAAAACACCTTTTAGTGTGAAATTTCTTATGAATTTCTAGACCTACTTAAAAATGGCAATATACATTTTAGATTGTTTAAAACCCATTTTAGAATGTCAAAAACGCGTTTAAGAATTAGATATTTCTTATGAATTTTAAGACCTATATAAAAAAATGTCAAAAATCATTTTAATGCGAAATTTCTTATTAATTTCTGGAGTTACTTAAGAATGGCAAAATACATTTTAGATTGTTAAAAAAACGTTCCAGAATGTTTGAAAATGTCAAAAAACATTTTAATCTGATTTTAAAATGTTAAAATGGCATTTTAGAAAATAACTTGTTTTTTACATGTTTTATACTAAATTAAATAAATAAAAGTGAAAAAATACAGAGTAAAAACTAAGACTGGGAATGAGTGATTATTTGAATAGGGGTGGAAATCGATTATAAATATACTCGTATATTCGAATACTCGATTATTTGACTACTCGATTTTTTTTAAATTTCATCAAGGTGCGCAAAAAACTTGTTTTGGGTAATATTAACCCATTTCTTAAATTTATTTATTAATTAAATACTTAATTGCATAATCATGAGATATGAATTTTTCTAATGATTAAATATTTTCTATTATTTAAAATGTTTTAACAATCGAATATTTAAAAATTCGATTATTTGAATATTCGAAATAATTTTCAAACGAGTATTCGAATTTATATAACTAAAAAGTTCCCAGCCTTAGTAAAAACCGTATTTAAGAATTTCCGGACACCCTTTGTAGGCAACACGAACCCTTAGATAACGGTAGCGTAGAACGTATTTTGACGTGCTAAACTTTTGACGTAGACATGGTTCGGCGCATCTGTCGCCGCAGCCGCTGGGTGGCGGCGGTCCGCCCCGCCTCTCGCCGCAGCACCCGCTGGCGGCGGCGGCCGGCCAGCCGCTCTACCACCAGACGGAGCTCTACAGGCGACCGGTGTACGTCACTACCGCGCAGCCGGCCTATTTGCCGGCAGCGGTGCCGCAACCGGGGTGAGTACTACGAACGGGGAAAAATGTTTGCCGTCATGTGCTGTAGCTTTGTTTAGTGCATGTGTTGGAAGTAGATGTTTGTGGATTTGTAGTTTGCTTTGCATGAATTGCGTTTTTTTTAATATTTTACTTAAAATATAAGACAATTTTATTTAATATGGCAATTTTAGGACGTTTTAGACAGTTCTAGGTTAGTTCTAAGAATTTAAGACAGTTTTAGACATAAGACAATTTTAGGACCTTTTAAAGAGTTTTTTAGATGGTTCTACGAATATAGGACTTTTTTTCAATTTTAGTGATTTCGTGTATTTGACAATTTTAGGACATTTTAGACAGTTCTAAGAACAATATTCATTTGGACAATTTTAGGGATATTTTAAGACAATTATACAGTTTTAGGGACAGTTTTAGATCCTTCCAAGGATTTGACATTTCGGATAGTTTTAGGACGTTTTTGACAGTTTTAATCACTTTTTTACTTGACAATTTTAGGACTTTTTAAAGTTTTTTAGATAGTTCGGCGAATTTAGGAACTTTTGGTCAATTTTAGTGATTTCGTATGTAAGACAATTTTAAAACATTTTGAGACAGTTTTAGGGACAGTTTTAAACAATTTTAAGGATTTGACAGTTTTAGATCATTCCAAGGATTTAACATTTCGGATAGTTTTAGGACGTTTTTGACAGTTTTAATCACTTTTTTGACACGACAATTTTAGGACCTTTTAAAGAGTTTTTTAAATAGTTTAGCGAATTTAGGACTTTTTGGTCAATTTTAGTGATTTCGTATATAAGACGATTTTAGGACATTTTAAGACAGTTATACAGTTTTAGGGACAGTTTTAGACAATTCTAAGGATTTGACATGTTGGATAGTTATAGGACGTTTTTGACAGTTTTAGGCACTTTTTAGACATAAGACAATTTGAAGACCTTTTAGAGCTTTTCAGATGATTCTACGAATTTAGGTCTTTTGGTTAATTTAGGTTTAACTTAATTTTACTTCATATATAAGAGAATATAGGACATTTTAGACAGTTTTAAAAACAATATTTATTTGGACAATTTTAGTGACATTTTAAGACTATTATACAGTTTTAGGGACAGTTTTAGATCATTCCAAGGCTTTAACATTTCGGATAGTTTTAGGACATTTTTGACAGTTTTAATCACTTTTTAGACATGACAATTGTAGGACCTTTTAAAGAGTTTTTTGGATTGCTTTGCGAATTTAGGACTTTTTGGTTAATTTTAGTGATTTCGTATATAAGACAATTTTAGGACATTTTAAGACAGTTATACAGTTTTAGGGACAGTTTAAGACAATTGTCTTAAGGATTTGACATTTCGGATAGTTTTAGGCACTTTTTAGACAATACAATTTTAACACCTTTTAGAGCTTTTTAGATGATTCTACGAATACATTTTAAGACAATTATACAGTTTTAGGGACAGATGAATAATTCTAAGAAATTGACATTTCGCATTTTTGACATGATAATTTTAGGACCTTTTAAATAGTTTTTTAGATAGTTTTGCGAGTTTTGGACTTTTTGGTCAATTTTAGTGATTTCGTATATGTATAAGACAATTTTAGGACATTGTACACTTTTAGTGACAGTTTTAGATAATTCAAAGGATTTGACATTTCGGATAGTTTTAGGGCGTTTTTTGACAGTTTTAGGCACTTTTTGACATAAGACAGTTTAAGGACCTTTTAAAGAGTTTTTTAGATAGTTTTAAGAAGTCTGATACTCTTTGTAAAGTTTTAGGAACTTTTCGGACCTAATAAACAATTTTAGGACGGTTTTTTGGTTAGTTTTTAAGACAGTTCTAGGATAGTTATAAGAAATTAAGACATTTTAGATAGTTTAAGACTTCTGGACAATTCTACAATAGTTATTTAAACTTTTAGGGGCAATTTAGGACACTTTTCATAGTTTTACGGTCAAGTTTAGATCATTTTAAGGATTTATGTTTTTTAGATAATTATAAGTTTTGATACTATTTAGGCAATTTTTGTAAATATTCCGAATTTGTATCAATGTCGCAAGGGGCGCCCTTTGGAAAAAATGCTTTTTTTTATTTTATAAATTTAAACTAAAAAAGCATCAGCAAATTTGGTACACTTGGTATGTTTTTAGGTATTAAAATAAAGTTTTCAGTCTGATTCAAATCTATGTTGTTTTTTTTTGGAATATTTGAACAACTCTTTTAAACCATGCAAATTAGATTTGATGATAACAAGGGTGTCCCATTTATATAAAATCACCGTGTGTAATTTTTATTTTTAATTTATAGGTATTTGTTTTATTTTACCTCTTTTTTTTAATTATTAATTATAATTATTAGTAATTTATTTGTTGCTTTTCTGCTTTTTTAGTATTTAATTTTCATTTGCATATATTTCAAGCGTTTTGCTGCTTTTTTTATTGTTTAATATATTGTATAATTCAAGGATAGTATTTATGATATTTTATAAAAATTGAAAATTGGTTATAATAAAGTTTGTTTAATGTAAACTTTATTATATTAAACATTTATTTTACCAATGGTTATACAGTTGAGGAGTTATTTTTCAAAAGGTCGTATTTCCATTTGCAACAATTTTTCAAAAAAATGACTATAACCTGTATAGGTTAGGGCAATATAGATTATTTAAAAAAAAATTCTGATGAATATTTAATAATACTTCAGACCTGCTGTCATATTTCGCCGTTAATATATGCCTTTTAACCATACCTTTGGGATTTTGTCAAAAAATTACATTCAAGTAAAAATGGAAATAAGGCCTTTTGAAAAATCACTCCTCAGTTGGCATTAATGTATACATACATTATAAATGATTTTTTTTGTATATTTTTATGAATAATATATCTTGACATTTTCGAACCCTGATATGAATGTCTTATTAAAGCCATCCTCCTTAAAATGTGATTGAATAAAAATGTTTCTGTTTTCTCTCAACAGCAGGGCTTTACCGCCCCCGCCGGCGCACCACTCGAGCGCGCGTCCCGTGCTCGCCGCCCACCCGAGCCACCCGCTCCCCGCGCACCTGCAGTTCCCGTCGCACGCCTCGTACGGCTTCGCGCCCCTCTCGCCAGCCAAGAGCCACCAGTACCAGCAGGCCAGCCTGTGGTTCGCCGAATAACCCCAGCTGCTGATCGCCTCCAGAGGGCGCCACAGTTCCTTCTCGCGATTCGTTTCGTTTTGCGAGTGACTTTCCCGCGGGATTTTACTTTTCCTTTTTGTTCTTGTACATAGTTAGTTTTTTTAATTATTTTGTCTATAAGTGATAGTAGTCTCTAAGACCAACACGTTTAATTTTATTATTACCGCTTTACGTTACTTCTACAACAACAGCAGCAGTTATTTTTTCCTTTATGGTGTTTGTGTTACAATTATTATCGAGTTACGTTTTTTATTTTATAATTATTGCAATTAACGAGCGGTTTTTTTTAATTAACATACTGCCTTTCTTTTTATCTTATCTTGCTGTATAGTGGTTCAGTTACTAATTAGTCATACTTTTAATTATTAATTTTTAATTTCCTTCCTTTTTGTACATAACAGTACATAGTGATAGGTTTTAACATTATACGCATTTTTTTTAACTAATTATTTTTATGTGTATTGTGTACAGCAACGTTATTAAAATAACTAGTCAAAATATTACAAGTACATAATCGATAATTTTCAACGTTCGTCCTGAAAAATCAAAACAATTTTATTTTGTTTTATTGCGCCGTCTTGCAAGGATTTTGCGACAGGGACGGGATATTTTTTTTTATATATTATTTTCGCATTTAAGAAAAAATTGCCAAATTGTCAAAAATATGACTTTTTTTTAGATAATTTTGCATTTTTTTTGTAAATGCGAATTTTTCAGAAAAATCACATTCATTGTTTTTTGGCAGTTTTCAACATTGTTGGACATCTTAACCACAAAATATCGCCAATTTAGTTCAAGAAGGTGTTTCTTGAAATTTATGATTATTTCCTACAGAAAATGATGTCTATGGAAAGCAATAAACCAATAAGAGCACTGCATTTTCCACGGCACACTTAGTGCGCTGGAGAATGTTTCCCATAGACAATAACATCGCAAATTTCAAGAAACACCCCCTGAACTCAATTGGTAATTTTTTGTGGGCAGTTTTCCAACATTATTGGACATCTTAACAACAAAATATCACCAAATTAGTTCAAAAAAGTGTTTATTGAAATTTACGATTATTTTCTACAGAAAATGATGTCTATGAAAAGCGATAAACCAATTGGAGCACTGCATTATCCACGGCACACTTGCTGCAAGGAGAATGCCGTGCTAGGATTGGTTTATTACTTTCCATAGACAGTGAACTGAATTGATAATTTGAGATTAAAAAATATCTCATCCCTAACGCATTTTTTTTTAAATTTTGTAAGACAGTGTTGTCCCTGTGTATTACTAGACTTGCTTGATTATTGACTTTTCCGCTTTCAGAATCGAAGCGGGACAACCCAGTATTAAGTTTATTAATCGATTTCAGGGCAGGACCGAAAACTATCGATTAACATGTTCGGTGTTTAAATAAAATTAAAAAAAATTGATGTGCCTATCATATTGGCTCTACGTTTAAATAAACATACTGCACTTTTATTATGTATTGAATGTATTACACCGATATGTAACGATAATTGAGTCGCTAAATAAATATAATAGTTGTGATATTCGAAAATGATAAATAACCGTTTTAAATGTACGCGCGCTCCAAGTTGGCTGCCCTGGATGGAAACGTCAAAAGTGACAGTAGAAACGTCAACGTGACGGTGGAAATTTACGAGGTGAGCGTTGCGCGGTTGCCTAATTTACGATGGTGTTTTTATTGTCTAAATGTAAAACTATTTTATCTAGCCCTAGATACAGTACTATTACCTTTCTGAAACAACTCTGGATTTCATAGAGTATTTATTATAATTGTGTTAGGTGTACAAATTTTAGATGAATAATGAAAATATATTAACAATAATTATATATGGAGGATATTTTTGGATTGTAGTAGGGTAGAATTTTTCGGGTAAATTAATTAATTAATAATATTATTTATTAATCGGATGTTTAAGCGCTTTGTGTGTAGAGGAAAAGTCGGGCCAGTTATAGAAAAAAAGCAAATCTATCGTCAAAACTGAATTGGTATTTTTTGTGGTCATTTTGACAACAATTTGAAATTTAAGATTATTTTCTACAGAAAGTGATGTCTATGGAAAGCAATATACCAATTAGAGCTCTGCATTCTCCAAGGCACACTTGATGCGATGGAGAATACCGTGCTAGGATTGGTTTATTGCTTTCAATAGACTGTAACATCGCAAATTTCAAGAAACACCCCCTGAACTCAATTGGTAATTTTTTGTGGGCAGTTTTCCAACATTATTGGAGATCTTAACGACAAAATATCGCCAGTTTAGTTCAAGAAGGTTGAAATTTATGATTATTTTCTACGGAAAATGATGTCTATGGAAAGCAATAAACCAATTAAATCACTGCATTCTCCACGGCACACTTGATGCGATGGAGAATGCCGTGCTAGGATTGGTTTATTGCTTTCCATAGACTATGGAAAGTTTTGACAACATTTTCGTACATTTGTACACTTACTGGCCCATTTTGCAAAAAGCTGTCCAGTAATAAACATGCATGTTTGATGTTTTTTAGTCATGTGCTCCCCCCATACACACACACACACACTAACTTTATATCTATGATAGATAATCTATCTCTTACTACACAAGTTTTATTGAACTCAACAGTATACTGTAAATATTTTTTTTTGCTTGGGCGGTGGAGAATTTTTTTGAAAAAATTTGATCTTATTTCTGTGATTTATCGAGAAAATTTTAATCATTTGTATATATCATACGAGTTAGGTTCATTGGGCGGTGTGATTGATCAAATACCAGTGCAATGACCAAAAAAAGTGAGGTTAGTTAATGCTACGCATGCGCAATTTGCATTAGGCGTGCGCGTTAGTTTATTTGATCAACTACATGAGAATAGCGTTTATATATTAAAAAACAAATATATTATATGTATATTGCCTTAATATCAGAACAATATTCTTAGAAATTTAGATGATTAGGGGAAATATTTTTAAAAAAATTTGCTCTGGTTTTATTATTACATGTTGCACAGGGTGAAATATTAAAATGTATATTACAGCGAATTATAAAAAGTAGTTGCCAAAAATTATGCTTTTATTTTTTGGTTATTTGGAAAAGACTGGTCTATTGTATAAAGCTATTTTATTTCTTACGCAGTATTACCTATTGAAGTAATATTTTTGAATTGTTGAAGCTAGGGGCTTTGAAATATCAAAAAGTATATTAAAAATAAATCGATCAGCACAATAAATACTGAATTACCTCATCATGTTTACCTTGAACAGTTTGAAAATATTTGAGCAACGAGGCGCGTTTAAACATTCTGTATACGAATTTGGCACCCGACCTATAGTGCGGTATGCATTTTTTTAATATTCAGTTTAATGTTAAAACTTGCCCGAGCGTTTTAATGCATCTGGCGCCAAATACGTATACAGAATGTTTAAATGCAAACGGCACCTCAATTAAAACCATCTACAAAACTATTTTTATGCTTTCTTGGCTTTTATTTTAATTTTTTATTATCAATATCATTTTTAATTATATAAATTCGGATTTGTAGTTGGGTTTAGGTCTATATGAATATAAAATATTAACAAAAAAGTGTATATATTAATTATATTATCATGGGTTGGTTATGTATGTATTAGTTACCATATATTTATGTTTTTAGAAATGCGCTTATTTAAAAAAAGGTTTTAGATTGACTTACAGGGCGGTTGAATTAATAAAAACACATTTTATAATTATATTCGGTAGTTTTAACTCCATAAAAATATTATGACCGAAAAAGTAACATGAAATATTTTTAGGTTATGTAAGAGTCAAAAAATATATTATTTTAAAATTACTATAATCGATTACTACACGATTTTCCTGTGTCCAAAGCTTGGTGTTACTAAAAATCAAATGCTAAATTTGACAAACAATGTCAAATGTCAAAACTTTTCATTAAATGTCAAACTTTGTCAAATACATTTTTTGAGATTTTAAGATCCAAAAGGGCCTCGGAATTTAAGGTCAGGTCATCTGTCAAATTAATTTTCTTTCATTTTTTTTCAAAATTTTATGGAATGCGTTTTTTTTCTTCACTTAAATTTGTGTACATTTCGGAAACTCAGAAAATCGACATTTTTTATGGCTGTCATAAGGTTTTAAAATTGAATGAGATACCTACCAACATTGCGAAAAAATAAAATAAAACAAACGCGTTAATTGTCATTGTATTACGTGAGTTGACTTTTGTTTGTAATAAATTTTGACATTTCGGCTTAATTTCTTGACCATAACATAAAATGAGTTTTTTTTAAGTCGGGCAACCCTGTGAAACTATTGTTTGTTTTGCTAGATTTGTTAGATCAAATAATATCAAAAAAAGTATATATTACAAAATAAATCAATAATTATAATAACTTCTGTGTATTGTATTACATACTACTAAAAATATTGATAAGGGTTTTTACTATATTTAATATATTGATCTAAAGGCTGCACTACAGAGAATAGGTGGGGGCGGGTTGTGGCAACGTTGCCCCCGTAGTTTTACATACTACTACTACTACTAAAAAATATATATTTAATAAATATAATATTAGTGTTTAATCACTTAAGACTGGTATAGATCATGTCAATATTCTAGCTAAATAGTAAATGGTGTAACATGCCGTTTAATTGGTGATAGGCTATAGTTGTATATGTATAATTAACTATTATTATTATGATTATTAACTTTTGTAAGTAACCATGGATTTTCGGATTTTTTCGTCAGCATTTTTAATACATTTTGTATGCGTGTGAGGTCGGTGGACTTTTTCTTGCTTTTGGGTCCACGTAATAAAACAAAATGATGTAAAGTACAAACCACATTAAGCATTTGTTGACTTATATATAGATAGATAGATTTATGGAGATTGTAAATATTATTTTTTCCTTTTATTATTATTATTATTGGTAAATTTTCAGTGTCGATTGTACATAACAAAATGAATTGCGTTGTTTTTGTTAAATCCTGTCTTAGTGTGTATTATATTGAATTTTGGCGCCCAAAGGCCAACAAAAGTCCACCGTTCGCACTAGGTGATTATTAATATTTCGTTAAGTACAAATGCTTACATTTTATACTATTACTAAACAAAATTCGAGATACTATAACACTGCTGTTTTTTATCTTAGGCATATATATATATAGTGTCAGTCATATATAGCTGTTTAAAATAAAAATGTACCTAGTTAATTGATTGATGAGAAAATTATATTTGCACCCGTTTTCCATTTTTAATATTTAGGACAATCTTAGAGTCAGTTGTTTTGTGAAAGTGTTTTTACAAAGCCAATGTACAAAATTTTAACGATTTACAAATTGTATGCTTCAAAAAAGAATTACACGATTTAAATAGATTAGCGTAAATGTTTATAAAACACCTACAAATATATAGAGTTGGTCCTGTCCAAAACGAAACGAAATATACTGCTAATGGTGAAAACAGCCGATTTCTTAGCATATCATTGATATCATTTCGTTAATTTCCGAAACTTTAAAAATTATGTTAATCTGTGGTAACTCTAAAACATTAGCAGGGTAATACAGAGAATTTTTGTGATTATTTGTAAAAAAATCGTCCATTATCTGGATGCCTATGGAAACAGTTTCTTTGAAAACAAAAAAATAAATTTAATTGGTAATTCAGAACATAAACGTTCTAAATTTCGACTGTATCGCGAAAATCAACAAAAACAACGAAAAAAACCGAAAACTGTTAGCATAACCTCAAATTTTGACACGTCCGCAATCCTAACCTCGAATTTTGACGTTTACATAGTGAAATATTGACAGGTGTCATATTTTTGGTTGTTTTTGGGTTTTTCGCGACTATTAATGACTGCATTAATTAACCTGCCACAAAAAACTGTTAGTTGGACCAAATAAAAAAATACTGCGCGCGTTCGGCATTCATTATTTTTTCGTTTCAACAAAACAGACTTTTGAATTTTGGTTTTTACTCACTAAAAAAATTAATAAATAACTAGTGTTGGCGAACGCGTCGGTATTTGAAAAAAATATTTTCAAATATTTCGTACAAAATACCTAGGGGATTTGTTTCATTGATTGTTAATTAACTTAGATATTATGTGATTTTGGCCTCAAGACCATATTAATATTAATTGTAAACTTAATGTAATATAGATATTTGCATGTAACATAGATTTATAACTGTAAAAGCTTGCATAGAAAATTTATTACATATTTTAGTATGTTTTTCTCTATAATATGAATTAATGTTGCCTTTTTGTCAAAAACCATCTTTGTCGGTGCGAAATCTACAGCAAACGCGCCGTTTGCTGGACCTTTCGGCATTAATAAAGTCTTCTCAAGGCTTAAAAACGATTTTTATTTACAAAACACCTCCAAAAACCCTTTATTTAATCAAAATTTGAATTCTCACAATGAGTGCCATCTTTTGGTGTTTTTTTGAAGTGTTGTTTAGTTCGTTTAATGTAACATAGATGCCGCTACCATATTAAACAAATTTGCTTAAAATTGTTAATTTACGGCAAATTTTAGGTATGTAGGCTTTAATTATCCATTATTTACTGTTTTGTGAAGGTTATTTATAATTTTTGCAATATTTTTATGTTAAAATTGAATATTTGAATTTAAATTCTTTTTCTTAAATTGTTGACTTATTTTGTCATTCAGAGCGCTGTTTATTGGTTGAATGGAAAGATTGGTGGATTAGTGGGTCGTAAAACTCATTGTTGTGCTTAAATATCACTTAGGCAGGTAAAAATCGTATTTTCCTTGTCTACTTTCGTAATTGGCCGCCTATTTGGCGCGCTTTTTGTCACGGCTAGCGTCGATAAGCGGAGAGGACATCGACCGCGTATTGCAGGCAAGGGAGTGGTGTTGCACGCCACCAATACAGTAAGAGACTTGTGACTAGTGCCAGCGACCATTGGTCTACGTTTTCTCGACCAATCATTGGAAAAGTACCAACTAAAATATCCAATGTAAGTCCACAAATTATCAAACACTCTCGACGGGGTTGTCCGAACCTACATTCAACTATTTTGCATTGTTTTTCGATTGATTTCGACGGTATTTTGATTATTTCGGTGATATTATGCGGAAACAAATGGCGAACAAAGAACTTACGGGATTATTTCGATCACAAACCCACTTCGACTTGAATTTCGCTTCACGCACCAATAAAACGCGTGAAATACGGAAACAAAAAACAAATATTTTAGTTATTATTTAATTGGAAGAATGTTTAGGCTGACAACACACGTCATTTGCTAGTTTTCAAGGTTAATGTATAAATAAAATTGAACTTTTATAGCGATTAAATAATGGAGCAGTTAACAACACCGGACGGGCAGGTGGTATTACAACCTATACAGGGTGTTAGCCCGCAACAAGTACAAGTAATGCAAATGAATGGCCAAGTCTTACAAGGCACAAATGGACAACAAATCATGGTACGACAATGATATAGCTTTGATAATAATGCAAAATCTACCGCCAGAACTAAATTAGTTTTTTAACGATGATTACCAATAACAATGGAAAAAATTGTTTACCTTTTTATAAACTTGGAAAATAGCTTTGTATTATAATAGTTAGTTCTGGCGAATGTTTTGATTTAGTTGATTATTTTAAGCTTAATTAAGTTCACAATCTTCAGTGGACATTCTGGACAGTTATATCAATTTTAGGTGCATACAGTGCCCCAAAGTGGCCAAATCCAGGTGGCACAAGCGGGGGGTCAAGGTTTGCAACAAATACAAGTAGTGCCGGTTAGTAGCCTGCAACAGGGGCAAGTTTTGATGCAGCAACCGCAACAGGCTCAAATCGTGCAAACGGCCGACGGCCAAACGTTCATATACCAGCCTATATCCCTCGATGGGGGCATGCAACAGCAAGCCCCTACGGTTTTGAATATAAACGGCAATTTGGTGCAGATTACCGGGTCTCCGCAAGCAGCCCAAGCGGCCGCGCAAATACAGCAACAGGCTACGGCGTCGCCTACGACGCAGACTGTGGTGCAACAGCCCAACCAACTTGCGATGGCTAATGGGAATTTAGTCATGGTGAGAAATAGTGCCGATGTAGGTTGACCCCTTTTTATTTTGTTTTTTATGGTTATACAGGTTATAAAACTGACAGTCATTTGATCTGTCACTTTCAGTGTAATTGAGGTTAAGTGATTTTTAGATGGTGCCTAGTACGAGTACGTCCAATTTTCAAAGAGTGCCTATTTCAACAGAGAGTTTTCTGGAAGAAGAACCTTTATATGTCAACGCTAAACAGTACAGGCGGATACTAAAACGAAGACAAGCGAGGGCAAAATTAGAATCAGAAGGTTAAAAATTCATTTGATGATGAAAAATGATGAAAATCAATATTTACGTCTTTTTAGGCAAAATTCCCAAAGAGCGACCAAAGTACCTGCACGAGTCGCGGCACAGGCACGCGATGAACCGAATTCGGGGCGAAGGCGGCCGATTTCACTCGGGCTCGGTGAAAAAACGACGGGAGGAAATGGCGCGGCAAATGCAACAGCAGCGAAGTCAGCAGCAGCAAGAAGTCCAGCAGCAAGCCTTGTACGAAATGGCAACACCGATTATCCTTGAGGTAAGCTCAAAGAAGTGAGGTTATGACAACTGTCAAATTTGACAGTTGTCATAACCACAAAAATTACACGGAGAACTTGATTTAGTCTATAATTCTAGAGACATAATACTTATAGACAATTTTTTTTAAATTTCAGAATGTGATGAGTCAAGATATGATTAAGCAAGATCCGCTTTCAATAGAAGGGAATTAGTGCTAATTTCTAATTTATTCAAGGATCTGTTACATTGTAAATATTTAGATGTTTTTGTATATTTGTAGTTAATTTGTTAGACTGTAACCACATATCTTTTGTATTTGTTTATTTTTGTATGAATATGGCATAGCCAAGTACAATTTGTTATTTTCCGACTGATATAAAATTTTGCTATAAATTATTTAATATTATTAAATTAATAATAAAACTTATTTAATAATAAATTTACGTTACCTGCTTTTTTATAAACCTGAAGTTTTATTAACAGCACTAAATGCTATTAGCGATTATGATTGGGAAAAAATCGATTTTTAATTTAAAAATAACATTGTAATAATATGATCCTTTTGGATTTTCCAAAATAATGGTATATTAAAATTCGAGTGAATAATGCGCATAATCTCGAGTGTCACTCACATCTGACATCTGTCAAAAGGTTAACCTCACTTTTAAGTGATTGTTATAAATCACAGTGAATATTGAAACATGCCTATCACTGATGCCTAACAACGAAAATAATGAGTTCATTATTCCCGTTGTTAGGCAGGGAATTTATAATGTTTATCATTATTCACGAAAAAACCCATTATGCAATAGTAGATAATAGTATATTTTGTATAAAGTTTTATACATGCCATTTTAGTTTTATTATGCACGAGCGAAGCTTGAGAGCGAGTGTTTAATAAAAACGAGTGTCTAAAGAAGTTTATAAAACGAGTTGCATACTATAATATATCTACGACGAACACAAAGAAGAATTTAAAGCCAATTTTATTTCTTAAACATTTGACATCTGTCAAGTGTCAACGGATTTAACCTCACTTTTTCCCATTTTACAATAGAGCTAACTTCAGCTCGTGACTAAAATTCCCAAAAGCCACTGTCGCTAACTTCAGCCCGTGACTAAAATTGATTAATTTTTTTAACAAATTTGAATTATAATACATACCTATTTTAAAACATTAAAGTTAAGATTTGGTGAGATTTTGCTAGACCCCTTCCCCCTATTTTTATCTCACTTAATCAATGTATGTCCCTTATCATTCCATTGACATTGACAAAATCTTTATAATATAGATAAATAAAACCAAAATTTTTTGGTGCGTCATTTTATTGAATTAACAACGAAAATAAAACAATTCATATCTACACTTTATATAACAAATATAATAAAAAACTAAAAACATAAAATCTATACAGTAGAATTTAAGAGTCTATGGAATATTTAAATTTTACTTTTGACTTTTTCCTTTACAGAATCAGTCAACTCTTCACTTTCTTTTTTGGTTTCACTCTCTTTTTTAGTGTTTTCTGTGGTTTTAGCATCGATTTTCTTAGGTTTACTTGTAGATTCTTTACTGTCCTTATTTACTACATTTTGTTTATCTTTTAGAACCTGCTTTAAAGCTTTTAATAAATCTCCCTCACTAACATTAATTTTTTTACCTGAAAACAAATAAAAAAAAACTAATAACACAACAAAATATTTATTGAACTTGCAACAATGTTTAACATACTTTCGGTCTATCTCAACCAAATATGGCATTTTTTATTTTTGACAAAATCCCCTTATTTTCCTCCGAATGTTTCGATTGGGCTTTCGATTCCGAACCAGCTAGTGGTACCTCGTCATTACCTCCTTAAAAACAAAAAATACGATAAAAAAAACCCAACAGAAACATTCTTAAAACAACTGCGCATGTCAGAACAAGTGAATAGCGATGTTAAACGTCATCGGACATAACCCCAAAAGCGAGGAACGAGAAAATAAATTATCAGGAGACTAACCTTTGTTTTCGAGCGTGATGCCCAAAATCGTGCCGGGCGTGTCTTTTTCCAGTTCGGCGAAAGCTTGCGCCAGAGCTTTTTGTTTTTCGTCCATGTGCTTCGGGGTGATTACTTTGAAGGTTACGTAGTGGTCGCCGTAGCCGTAGCCGTTGATTTTTTTCATTCCCTTGCCGCTCAGGCGGATCTTCGTGTGGGAAGACGTCCCTGGCATAATCTGCGGCAAAATTACGTCTTACGTCAATTTATAAATTGCCTTCCTTCCGTAAAAGATGAACAATACGAAAACCGTAGTGCTGTTTTTATAGATTCCCGTACGGGAATCTATACGGTTTTCGTATTGTTCATCTTTTACGGGAGGAAGGAAGGCAATCTATAAATCAGGCTTTAAGATAGTACCTGAATGGTGTGATCTTCGTACAGCCCCTGTATGCGGATCGTGCCTCCGAGCAGCGCCTGAGAAATCGACATTTCCGCTTCCGTGTGCACGTCAGCGCCATCTCTTTTAAAATAGTCGGACTTGTCGACGCGGAAGGTAACGAAGAGCTCCTTGTTACCGACAGCCATGCGCACCGTCTGGCCGTCCTCGATACCGGCCGGAACCGGAACCGTAACCTTTTTGCGCTGCACCGTCTGCCCCTTGCCCTCGCACTCAGTGCACTTATGCTTGATGTACAGTCGGGAACCCTAAATACGTTTTTTTGAGGTTATACATACTTATTTTGGAGAGTATTCGCTTGTATGTTTGTGGCGTAAGGAATGAGTGGCTGTGCTCGTGTAAGAGAGAGATTGAAGTTTGCGAATTAAAGTTTTTTACAGTGAAAATTAAGTTAAATATAGTTTACTGCCGGCGAAATAAAAAGGTCAATACAAATAATAAAACGATTGTATGGCATTATTAACAATTTCGACATTTCCTTAACATGGCGTAAGTATTTTCAATTCTAAATCAACGTTATTCGACCGAACCTATAAAACATATGTTTAAGATCAGAAGTAACATTTAAAATTACTTCAACATCAGATCCAAAGCTGCCTTTTAAAGTGTAAGTACATTTTAGCATGATATTGTGTTAATATTTTGGTGGTTACTGTCAAAGTTGCGATTTTAAGTTTATTTTTTCTGTTAACAGATTGTAGGCTTTTACGGTAGCTACCAAAGGAGGACAATGAATGAGGACAGTGCCGGGGATATTCAACAAATATTAAAGTCGTTTGACACGTGTTTAGCAATTTATGAAGCCAGACTTTCTGAGGAAAGCAACAATAGAAGAAATTAAAACGGCTTTTAAAGTGGGGCATTTTGTGGAAAAACTATTGAGAACTTTAAAAATAAGAATGGCATTGATAAATTTATGAGTATTTTGGAGAAATATTGGCAAAAAAATAGTAGAATTAAGTGTTAAAAGTGTTGATTTTTTTGTTATGGCTTGTGATAGGATTTTATGTAACTTTTTTGAGTATTCTGGATTATCAGAGAAAACTTTGGATATTGTAGTAAGAATTTATACATCTCTGTTTTCCAAGGAATGTTTTCAATGTGTTGTAAGCGATTTATTGTTAAATCACAGTTCAATTCAAGCAATAATAGATTTAGTTTGGAGGAATATAATATAAAAAATGGTACTTCTACTAACTACAGAAATAGAAAGTTTTTTTATCAATATCCAAAGTTCAATATTCTTTTTATATAAAAATATATAAAGACCAAAGAATACAATACATTATATTTTTGGCGTAAGAAATGTGTGGCTGTGCTTATGTAAGAGAGAGATGGAAATAAACAATTGAATATTTCTCTACAACCTCCTTCGTAATAAAATTAGTAGAAATTTTCAAAATTTTCCAAATTTTCAATAAGATCAAAAATTTTAAAACGATTTTTAAATTTCAAAAAATGTTCAAAATTTTGGAAATTGTTTTAAAATTTGTTATATCTCTATATAACAATTAAATTGCCAAGATAAATGTGGCAACATTTCTGTCACTGTGACGTTTCAAAACGTCAAACATAACCTGTAAATCTCTCACCTGACAGTACCGACACGTGGATCTCATGATAAAAGGGCCACGAGTGACGCTCTCCATTCCCGTGCCGTTGCAGTAGTTACATCTTGTGGCTTTGGTGCCCGGTTCGCACCTGGCACCGTTACATTTGGGGCAGTTATCCACTACGTTTATGTTAATGTCTTTGTTGGTGCCCCTAGCTGCTTGACTAAAGTTAATTTTTAAGACAACCTCCTGGGCCTCCCCAAAGCCATAATTCGAGTCGGCGTAATCGTCAAAGGGCGATTTTTGCCCAAACCCTGCTTCCCCGAATATTTTCCTGAACAACTCCTCGGGATCTATGGTGGATTGATATTGCCAACTTTGACTGAAACCTTGAGGTCCTTGGGGGCCCGCCCCCGGTCCTGCACCCCCCATTCCACCCATTTGTTCTGCTGTTGAACCCCATGTGTCATATTGTTTACGTTTGTTATCGTCCCCTAAAATCTACACCCAGATGGTGGATAAAAGTTTCATTACAACTTACAACCTCACCTCATATGCTTCTGACACTTCCTGGAACTTTTTCTGAGCCTCTTGTTCTTTATTAACATCGGGATGAAACTTTTTGGCTAATTTGTAGTAGGCTTTCTTAATATCTGACGTGGAAGCGTTTTTACTGACGCCCAGAACATCGTAATAATCTTTTCTTACAGCTAGGACTACGTTACTTACATGAAAACTTCGTTTTTCTACATTATTAACTTCTAAAATAGGTTAGAATATGTATTACTAACTGACAACCCAAAGGAACGTTAAAAACTAATATAGCACACAAAATAAACACCCCTTAAGGTAAAACACACCCTAAAAACCCGTCATAAACCCCGAAAAACTCATATGATGTAATTATGAATGTTTTTAACTTACTGTTATTTTGGTGGCTTGAAACCTTATTTAATCCAATTTTATCACATTGTAAGCACTGGTGAAGAAATCTGCTTGGAGTCTTGCATACCTGCGACGTAATTAACACGTTCAAATACCTCGTACTTAAAATCCCAATCAAATTTCTTGCAGTAGCCATTTTTCCTACATGCCAAAAGGGGCCGGTCCACGTGCGTCAAGTTTGACAGTCACTGATTAGAATTCTTAATATAGACAACCCACATTACAAACATTTATTCATTTACATGCGTTATTTCCACTGAACTATATAGTTGTATAGTTCAGTGGTTATTTCAGTTACCCAGAACAGATTCAGTTACCCAGAACAGATTCATAAAAGTGTTGTTTTGTAAACCTATGTGTTATGGAACTAATGAGCTGTATAGCGAACTAAATCTTCTTAAAGTGTGTGATATTGTCAAATTAGAAAGTCTTAATTTTAAGTGAGCATGAATACGCCTTAAAGGCGTATTCATGCTCACTTAAAATAAGAAATAAGAATAAGAAATAAGAAATAAGGAATAAGGAATAAGAAATAAGAAATAAGACCGCGATTGATCGTTCATGCTGATAACCTAAGAAATAAAAAATGTTGTCACAAAATTATATTTTATTATAGTGGATTATATTGGCTATAAACGTAAACAATCGACAGCGACACTCTACGCGATTTCCAACACCATGGCTCCATGCATATAACAAATAAAACCCATCAAAATAATTCACAGACCCATTTTGGTTCTTTGCGCAGTTTTATACGCAAGAATAAGAACCAAAGTTAAAAATTGTTATCTTTATTCTTATTTCTTATTTCTTATTCCTTATTTTCATAAGCATGAACGCAACCATTACTTTACACAGTTTTAACTTTTTATCTTATTTCTTATTTCTTATTCTTATTTCTTATTTCTTATTTTAGTGAGCATGAATGCGCCTTTAAACTTGTACATAAAATAAAAAATAATATATTAGAGACTGACATAACATTGGTGCAAAACTGTGATATTCACCATTACAATACTCGTACAAACCAAAACTTTTATAGGTATTTTACCAAGTGCAAAAAACATTGGAAAGAAGAGAGTAACTACTACGGCTGTGCAATGGTACAATGAACTCCCAAATAGTATTAAGGACTTAGATGTTATAAACTTTAACAGAGCTATAAAAAATTATTTATTATCTAGAAATAACACACTTTAATTTATTTTGTATATATTGTATATTTATAGTATTTTGTTAAACACAAAAAGCCTTATTTTATTTTATATTTATGTTAACCTGTTATGAACGTTTGTTTTTTTGGGTTTAATAAATACATTAAAAAAAAAAAAAAAAATATTTAAAGAATTGTAATATTAATGTAGAGTTACCATGCATATATATATACATATAATAAAAAAAATTGTTTTGTTCTTAAAATTAGTTTATAATCGTCAATTTCCGGTTACTTTAGAAAGTTTCTGGACCACTGTATGCGACTAACTTCACTTGTATTGATTTGAAGTTGCGGATTTACGTGTTTGACGTTTAATAAAAAAGGTTATTTTTAAGTGTAAAACGATAATAAAGTGAAAAATTAAAGATTATTTAACAATTTCGACATTCCCTTAACATGGCGTAAGTATTTTTAATTCTATATCAACGTAATTTGACCTAACCTATAAAACATATGTTTTAGATCAAAAGTAACATTTAAAATTACTTTAACATCAGATCCAAAGCTGCCTTTTAAAGTGTAAGTACATTTTTGCATTATATTGTGTTAATATTTTGGTAGTTACTGTCAAAGTTGTGATTTTAAGTTTATTTTTTCTGTTAACAGATTGTAGGCTTTTACGGTAGCTACCAAAGGGGGACAATGAATGAGGACAGTGCCGGGGATATTCAACAAATATTAAAGTCGTTTGACACGTATTTAGCAATTTATGAAGCAAGAGACTTTCCGAGGAAAGCAACAATAGAAGAAATTAAAACGGCTTTTAAAGTGGGACATTTTGTGGAAAAAACTATTGAGAACTTTAAAAATAAGAGTGGCATTGATAAATTTATGAGTATTTTGGAGAAATATTGGCAAAAAAATAGTAGGATTAAGTGTTACAGTGTTGATTTTTTTGTAATGGCTTGTGATAGGATTTTGTGTAACTTTTTTGAGTATTCTGGATTATCAGAGAAAACTTTGGATATTGTAGTAAGAATTTATACATCTCTGTTTCCCAAGGAACGTTTTCAATGTGTTGTGAGCGATTTATTGTTAAATCACAGTTCAATTCAAGCAATAATAGATTTTGCAAGAGATGATGATGATGGTTTGGAGGAATATGTTATTATATTAAACAGTTTATTATGTTATTATGAAAAAAATGGTGCTACTCTATTAATTACAGAAATTGAAAGTTTCTTATCAATATCTAAAGTTGAACATTCTTTATATTTACTTGTAGGGATTTTGACTTTAAATAATTTACCAAACAATCAAAATACAATACAGAATCACATTTTAGATTGTTTATTACAAAAAATGATGGATAGAAGTATTCTAGTGAAGTTATTTTGGGTTACATTGTGTAAAAACGTTGACAAGTCAATAATTTCAAAGGCGTGTTTAAATTTTAATAGTTTTTTGACTTCACTGCTAAATTTTTTGATTTACTTAGGGTCTTTTATGGAAAATCATGAAAACAATTGGGTTGTGAATGAAAATATATCGTTTTGCCATGAGATCAATTTTCGTGATATTGTGAATTTACTAAAAACAATAGCTAGAGAAAATTCTGAATTAAAGGAGATAGTTATCAGTAGATTAAATGAAGCAAAAGAAAATACAGAGAATCAAATCTTTGATGATATAAAAATCATACTTACCTAATTTTTTGTTTGTGTGTACATAAATGTATTATTAATGAAGATGATTTTTTTACTTTATTTTTATTAAAGTTCTACAGTTTATTTGGTATTTTTTGTAGTCTTAGCGTTCCTGAAGCCACTCCTTTTACAGCAGTCCTAAAGTTTGCAGCAGAGGAGTTCAAAGTACCTCCAGCAACTTCAGCCATCATCACTGATGATGGTATTGGCATAAACCCTCAACAAACAGCTGGTATATATGACGTAAATGACTTTCTACAGAAAATTGTTTCTATAGAAAGACGTAAACCAATCAAAACACGGCATTCTACATCGAACCTAGTGTGCTGTGGAGAATGCCTTAATTTGATTGGTTTATTGCTTTCCATAGACATTATTTTTTGTAGAATGTAGAGTTTCTGAACATTTTTTTTATTTTTTAGGTAATGTTTTCTTGAAACACGGCTCAGAATTAAGATTGATTCCTAGAGACAGAGTTGGAGGAATTTAATTTATTTTATTTAAGTGTAAATAAGATTTTTTTTAATTAATACATTTTGGTTTCTATGTTATTTATATTTAAATAAAACGCATTTTTAGAAATAATTTAATACATTTTATTATTAGGATATCATATGACTTACACTATTACACAACACTAATACAAATAATATAATAAATACACGTATAAAATAAATTAATCGAAAAAAGTTTCAAATTAAAACTTATGTATATAGCACTTAATGACTAAAAATATCTCGAAAATACATTGAAAATGTTTGAGCGATCATAAAAAATGATTATCGGTGGTAAAATGAGCACGAAATTGGTCGAATACACAATTTGGCACAAAAACAACACAAGTTATGGCTTGCCAAGGTGTCGAGCGGAAAAGGCCGTCTCTAAAGGCACCTTGGCCTTAAATGCAATGTAAAATTTGGAATGTTGATGATTTGTTCATTTTGTGAGATCACAATGTCATTTTACCTAAGTGACTAGATTAACATTGCAAATAAAAGTAATTTTAGATGATTAATAGTATAAGAGGTCGCCCAAATATAAGTCCATTATTATTACAGGTCGGTACAATGTAAATATAAACGTCATGATTATGTAAAAATAAACAAAATTGTTCTTTTTCCTACGTATAGAAATAGAAAAATTGGCTATAAAATAGATCAATACAAAGCTAGGCGGTTACGTTATTATTATTGTTCGAGACCGAAAATCGTATGTAGCTTAAGTGTAAGGCAGGTTTAAGGGGGAGATACGAGGTTTTAACCCTAAAAAAACAATCAAAACGCTCAATCGCACCACTCTTTCTCGTCCACGCCCTCCATCTCGTCCTGTTCGAGCTTCAAATTTACCTCTAGCTTGTTACTAACCGATCTTTGAATCTAAAAAAATCGTGATGCAAAATAAAATACGGTACACCACCCTTAAGAGCTACAATTGTAGGTACCATTAAGGGGGGTTACAGCAAATAAAAGCTCAATGACAAAAACGATGTACAAAGCGTTTATTTAAGCACCTACCTCTTCCTGCTTGCTTTTAGTTTGTCCCGACATGTCGGAATTCCAACCTAGCCGGTTAAAAGGCTGATTGGCTGTTATGAAAGGCGTTGATGCCGATTTGTTGATGGTTCTTTCCACCGGTCCGGCTTGTCCTTGAGATTCGCTCACTAAAATGTTATTGCAGTGTTTCTAACGCAAATAATTGAAACTTTTACGGTGGTTAAATTTTTTTAAACGCAAATTAATTAATGGTCAAAATTTTAATTAAATACAAAATACAACTGTAAAACTTTAAGCTAAAAAAATATTGATTTTAAAAATTTTATTCTGCAAAATTTTCGGTTTAAATTTGATGATAGTCGATAAATTTTTAGTACAAAAATTCTTACATTACATTTAAATATTATTTTTCAATTTTAAAGTGGTAATTTTTGGATTAAAAATGTATCAACTATCATTTAAATGACTCTCTACAAATTCAAATCAAAACCTTTTATTTTTAACAATTTTAAATTGATAAATTTTCAAAACAAAAAAAAGTCGATAATTTTTAATTTACAAGTGTAAATGTAGCTTTAGCAGTCGGCGCACAGTGCGCACTACGGTGGACAAAAATCGAGAAAGTGAGTGTGAACTTTTAATGTTCTAATATTGCAAAACTATAGATAAAAGTCCAGTTTGTTCGTAATCATAAACTATTTTTTAGTCGCACTTCAAAAATGGACAAAATAATTAGTTTAAGTCGTAATGTAAATATTACGATAAAATCGTATAAAACACCTATTAGAAAATTAATTTTACTGGTTCTGCATTTTAATATAAAACATTTTTTACAAGAATTACAGTGGTACAGCTATTTGTTTGAATAAAATTTTGTAAAATTCAAATCCTGCTTCACTAAAGTTTTAAAAAATGCATAAATTTGCACAGATTGGCAACAACCCTAAATATTAGTCCAAAAGGTGGCATAAATATTTTTTGCTACTAGCTGCTACTAAGGATGCTGTTATTTTTTTAAATAAGTATTTTTCAGTCATAATATTTTTTTAAATTTATTTTTTGATTATTTTTGAGAGTGGTCAATTTATAGAGTGGTTAATTTTAAGTGTAGTCCATAGTCGGTGAAACGTACAAAGCGCGAAGTCTGCAGTGTATTTAGTTAGCTAAAGCAGCGTTTACGCTATAAAAATGTTTGTGCTAAAAATGTATCAATTTAAATTTGTTAAAAATAAAAGTTTTTGGTTTAAGTTTCTTAAATGATGGTTAATAAATTTTTAATCCAAAAATTATCACTTTAAAATTTAAAACAAACATTTAATGTGAGAATTTTTGCATTAAAAATTGATACCATCATTTAAATGACTACAAATTTAAACCAATAATTTTGTAGAATAAAATATTAAAATTTTAAATTTTTACATTTGCATTTTATTTTTAAAATATTTTGGTAGAAAATGTTTTGTGTTTTTATTTTAAAGGTCTTGAAAGTATTTTTAAATACTAAAAAATTTCTTTAGGATTTACAAAATTCTGCCCAAATAAATTTTACTTGGGAAATTATTTTTATTAAATAATGATAGTTAGAAATTTTTGCTAAAATTGATTGGAAATAATATTGTTTAATTAAGAAGTAAACTGTTAGTTAGTAAATTATGTCTTCCAATACATGATGAGTTGAAAATATTTTAAATTTATAAATGTAAACCTAAAAATTTTTAATTGTGAAAATTTTAAATTAAGAAATTAGGTATTTAATAAATGTTAAAACGGAGTTAAATTAAAATCATTTATTATTATTAGGTATTTAAATCTGTGTTAATAAACTAAAACCAGATTTTATAATTGGAGCAGATTTTTTAAATAAAAAAAATAGTAAATCATCGTCGGAATATTCGGTTAAAAACGTCTTCAAAATTATTTTAACACTTAACACTTTTTTGGGATTTCCAACCGCCAAAGTGTTTAAATTTTAACTTTTTCTTCATGGAAAATCATGGAAATAATTGTGTTGTGTATGAAAATATATCGTTTTGCCCCGAGATAAATTTTTATGTTACCTATTATAAATAAACCTACACGGAGAAAAATGTATGTTAAAAACGCAAATATAGATAGTAAAATACATTATTATATTAATTAAAATACTGGAAATAAAAATATTATAATCGTCTTATGATTGAACTTATGATACTGTTGATTAAATACTATTATATCATTTATTAATTTTTCACTTTTAACTTAGAATTTTGTACAAATTAAGTAATATGTTAAATCGGTTTAATATAAAATATTATTATATTTCTAATATGATTTATTATATTTTTTCTCCGTGTAGGCACTAAAAACAAAAAATTGAAACTTACGGTTATCCATTCCGTCAGGTTTCAAACTGACTCTCTGAGGTAGTTTGGCGGTTCCCGAAAACCATTCGGCACTGGTCATCGTGGGACTCCAGGTTACCCTCGTGGGCGGGAAGAGGTCGTCTTGGAAGAGGTCCGTCTAAAGAAAAACAGTGTAATCACGATGGCGAGGGGGATGACAAAACCCACCTTGATCCTCGGCACGGCGAACGACAGCGGCTCGATGGCGTTGTTGGTGAGCCTGAGCGCTTTGGCGAACTCCACGTTCGACACGTCGCAAGAGTTCTTGCTCAGGAACGAGAGCCCTTGGTGCAGCGTGTTGCAGCGGTGGTGGCTCAGCGGGCAGATGTACGGCGCCTCCTCCGTTATTTCGAACGCGTAGATGGTCGAATCGCCCTGCAAAATTGTCTTGGTCGTAACTTTTCCAAGGGAAACTTGGACTAAATTCGCACAGTAGTACAAGTTTAAAAATGTTGCGACAAATTTTTAAAATGTCCAAAATATTCGGACAAAATTCGCACAGAAGCATAAATTTAAAAATAAATGGGAAGCAAATTCGCACAGCGCTTCAAAATTAAAAAATAGTAGGGCAAATTTTGAATGTACTTAAAAATTAAAAAATTGTGGGTAAAATTTGAACAGTAGTATAAATATAAAGAATTTAAGACAGATTTACAAAATATTCGGACAAAATTCGCAGTGGTACAAAATTAAAAAATAATGACAAATTCGCACAGTAGGTACTAGGACACATATTTAAAATTTCCAAAATCCTCGATATTGGTTCAAAATTTAAAAAAAATTCGCAACGTATAAAAATAAAAAATGTTGGACAAATTTTCAAAATTTCCAAAATATTCAAGCAAAATTTGCAAAATATAGGAAAAGTTTGCAAAGTAGTTAAAAATTTCCAAAATATTTTAACACAATTTTAACAGTAGTTCAAAAGTTACAGCAGTATAAATATAAAAAATGTTGATCAAAATATTTCAATAAATTTTAAAAATGGTAGGACAAATTCGCACAGTGGTTAAAAATTCAAATTTAGTAGGAAAATTTTGCAAATTTGCACCGTTTTTTAATTGAACAAATTTTCAAAATTTCCAAAATATTCAAGCAAAATTTGCACAGTGGTTCAAAATATAGGAAAAATTTGCAAAATAGTTTAAAATTAAAAATTTGTGGGAAAATTCGCACAGTAGTATAAATCCAAATAAATATAAAAAATGTTGATCAAAATATTTCAATAAAATTCGCACGGTAGCATAAATTTTTAAAATGGTAGGACAAATTCGCACAGTGGTTAAAAATTCGAATTTAGTAGGAAAAATTTGCAAATTGGCACAATTTTTTAATTGTACAAATTTTCAAAATTTACAAAATATTCAAGCAAAATTTGCACATTGGTTCAAAATTAAAACATTGTGGGAAAATTCGCACAGTAGTATAAATATAAAAAATGTAAGACAAATTTTCAAATTTTACAAAATTCACACAGTAGTTCAAAAGTTGCACAGTAGTATAAATATAAAAAAGGTTGAACAAATTTTCAAAATATTCAAATAAAATTCGCACAGTAGAATAAATTTTTATAAATGGTAGGAAAAATTTGCAAAGTGGTTATAAATTAATAAATTGTGGGGAAAATTCGCTCAGTGGTATAAATATAAAAAATGTTGGAAAAACTTTTAAAATTACCAAAATGTTCGAAAAAAAATTGTAGCGTAAATTGAAAGAAATGGTAGGACAAATTCCCACAGTAGTTTACAATTAAAACATTGTGGGAAAAATTCGCTAGTAGTAATATAAAAAATGTGACAAAATTTCCAAAACATTTGAACAAAATTCGCACGGTAGCATAAATATAAAAAATGGTAAGACAAATTTTGTAAATTCCTAAAAATTAAAAAAAAAATCTAAAACATTTAAAATTAAATATTTAAAAAAACTCCAAAAAGCATAGAAGCTCAAAATCTCAAGACTTTAAAAAATAGAATTCAGGAAATTTTGAAAAGCATAAAAATATAAAAATCTTGTTAATTTAGAAAATATAGGAAATTTTAAAAAATTTGGAAATTTAAAAAAACTAGTAAATTTTATAAATTTCCCCACCATTTTTTAATTTTGAACAATTGGTTTGAGGATTTGGAAATTTAAAACATTTGTCCAACATTTTTATCATTTAACTACTGTGCAAATATTTGAAAATTTGTCTTACGTTTTATATTTATAAATTTTATACTACTGTGCGAATTTTCCCCACAATTTTTTAATTTTGAACTACTTTGCAGTTTTTTTCTACTAGTTTTTTATTTTGAACTACTGTGCGAATTTGTCCTACCTTTTTTATATTTATACTACTGTGCAACTTTTGAACTACTTTGTGAAAATTCCTTTAGAAAATTTTAAAAATTTTTCTTATATTTTTTATATTTATAGTACACTTTGCAATATTTTCCTACTTTTTGAACCACTGTGCAAATTTTGTTTGAATATTTTGGAAATTTTGAAAGTTTGTCTTACATTTTTTATATTTATATTATTTTGCGAATTTTCCCCACAATGTTTTAATTCTGAACTACTTTGCAAATTTTTCTTACTATATCGAACCACTGTGCGAATTTGTACTACCATTTTTTAAATTTATGCTACTGTGCGAATTTTATTCGAATAATTGTTCAACTTTTTTTAATTGTGTTGGAATATTTTGTAAATTTTGATAATTTGTCTTACATTTTGCAGTTTTTTCCCACTATTTTTTTATTTTTAACCACTGTGCGAATTTAATACATTTAAATTTGTCCAACATTTTTTTAATTTATTCTACTGCGCGAATTTTGAACCAAAGTTCAAAATATAGTATACTGTGCGAATTTGTCCTACCTTTATTATATTTACACTACTGTGCAACTTTTTAACTAATTTGTGAAAATGCTGTGCAAATTTTCCCACAATTTTTTAATTCTAACCACGTTGCAAATTTTTCCTACATTTCGAACCACTGTGTAATTTTGCTTAAATATTTTGTATTTTTCCTACTATTTGTTTTATTTTTAACTACTGTGCGAATTTGTCCTACCATTTTTTTAAAACTTATGCTACTGTAAAATTTTGTCCAACATTTTTTAAATGTATTCTAGTATACTTTGCGAATTTGTCCTACTTTTTTAAATTTTAAACTACTGTGCAAATTTTCATTGAATATTTTGTAATTTTGAAAATTTGTACCATTGAAAAATTGTAGAAATTTTCTTAAGTTACAAAATATTCAAACAAATTCGCACAGTAGTTCAAAAATAAATGAATTAAAAAATTAACACTACCACTAACTAGATAAAGAGTATAAAAAAATTCCTACCTTTCCCGTCAAAAACAGAGTGGAACTGTCCTCGTCGTAGTACGTCATCAGAATGGCCGGGGACACGTCCAACCCGACGGTGTTCAAGGCGGACAAATCGCTCGACTTGTACGCAGTGATCTGCCGCTCGGAAACCTTGTCGAAGCCCGTTGTCACTATGAAGCTGCCGTCCAGAGCCCAGAGGATGCGCGCGCCGCGGCTGCCCACCGGGCCCTTGCCCTCTTTTATAGGCTTGTCGCTCTTGCGCGGGCTGTACACGCGGATCCTGGCGTCCTTGCTGACGGTGGCGCAGCGGTCGCCGCACGGCGACCACGCGAAGCTGAACATCTGGTCGGCGTGGCCGCGCAGGGTTATCCGCTCGGTCTGCGTGGCCAGGTCCCAGATTTTTATCGTCATGTCGTACGAGCCTGACAAACAACAAATTATATATTTTTCTTACTTACTGTTATATAAAACAAAAATCTTGCTTGAAAATGTAATAAATTAATTAAGCTTATTGTGCACAACAAAGCGAATTTTTTTTATAACAAAATCAAGGTTTTAAAATAAAAAGCAAAGTTATATTTTTAAGCCTACTTAAAAAATAAAAACGATGATTGGTAGGGCAATGTTTTCTTTAATTGAAAAGTTTTTTATAATGAAAACAAGGTTTTTATAATCAAGACGAGGTTTTATGATAAAAACGTGGTTTTATTTATTTTATTATACAAGGTTTCGTGATATGACATTAGTGGTGTATAGAAACAAGGTTTTTATAACAAAAACCGAAGTGTCATTTTTAATACTAAAAATACGAGGTTTTTTAAATGAAAACAAGGTTTCGTGATATGGAATTAGTGGTGTATAAAACGAGGTTTTTATAACAAAAACTGAGGTAACATTTTTTATATTAAAAATAACTCTCTCGTTGGTGCTCTATGAAAACGAGGATTTTGTGATGAAAAGGGAATTTTACAAAAAAAGGACGTTTTATTAAAAATACGAGGTTTTTTTAATGAAAACAAGGTTTCATGACATGGAATTAGTGGTGCTGTATGAAAACGAAGTTTTTATAACAATAAAAAAGGTTTTTGTAAACAAAAACGAGGTTATTGTAACAAAAACGAGGTTATTGTAACAAAAACGAGGTTTTTAAAATAAAACCGAGGCCTCGCAAGGTGACATTTTTAATGCTAAAAATAACTTCCCTCGTTGGTGCTGTATGAAAACGAGGTTTTAATGACGATAATTTTGTGATAAAAAGGGAGATATATAATAAAAATGAAGTTTTATTAAAAAAAAGGTTTCTTAAATGAATACTTACAAAGTTTCGTACAAAAACGAGGGTTGGGTTTTTATGGCAAAAACTGGTTTTTTGTAACAAAACGAGGTTTTTGTGACAAAAACGAGGTTTTATAATAAAAACGAGTTTTTAAATCAAAAATGAGGTTTTTATAGCATAAAAGATTTTTTATAACAAAGACCTGGTTTGTATAATAAAAACGAGAGTTTTTATTAAAAATACGAGGTTTTTAAAAAGTAAACAAGGTTTTTATAACAAAAACAAATAATTCCCCTTTATAAGATAAACCAGCTTTTTATAATAAAAAAATGGTTTGTATGGTATTAAAAAGGTTTTTATGACAAAAACAAGTTATATCAAAAAACAAGGTTTTTATAATAAAAACCAGGTTTTTACAACAAAAACGAAAGTTTTACGTTTTATGATAAAAAGGGGACTTTTATAATAATTATAATATAAAGGAGGTTTATGTAATAAAAGTTTTTTTTTATTTAAAAACGAGGTTTTGTAACAAAAACGAGTTTTTGTAACAAAAACGAGGTTTTGTAACAAAAACGAGGTTTTGTAACAAAAACAGTTTTAATAACAAAACGAGATTTTTTATAACAAATACGTGGCTTTTATAACAAAAATACGATTTTCAAAACAAAAACAAGGTTTTTATAACCGACGAGATTTTTACGACAAAAATGGAATTATATTAAAAATACGAGGCTTTCATAACAAAAACGAGGTTATTACAATAAAAACTGAATTTTTATATTTAAATTTGAAATTACTCCCTCCAACCAGCTTTTTATAATAAAAAATGGCTTGTATGGTAAAGAGGGGTTTTTTTTAAAAATGGGAGGTTTTTATAAAGAAAAGGTTTTTATAACAAAAGCAAGGTTTTTATAATAAAAACCGGGTTTTTATAACAAAACCGAAAGTTTTATGTGACTTTTTTAATAAAAACGATTACGAGTTTTTTGTAACAAATACGAGGTTTTTGTAACCAAAACAACGTTTTTAAAATAAAAACGATTTTTTTATAACAAGAACGAGGTTTTCATAACAAAAACAAGGTTTTTATAACAAAACAAGGTTTTCATAACAAAAACAAGGTTTTTATAATAAAAATGGAATTTTATTAAAATACGAGGCTTTCTTAATAAAAATGAGGTTATTACATAAAAAACGGAGGTTATATATCTTTAAGATTCTTATATCTTTGCTTTGGTAATGCAGTTTTATAATAAAAAATTGTTTGTATGGAAAAAGGGGGATTTTATTAAAAACCGGGTTTTTATAACAAAAACGAGAATTGTATGATAAAAAATGGGGCTTTTGTAATAATTTTGTAATAAAAGGTTTTTTTTTATTTACAAACGAGATTTTTATAACAAATACGATATTTTTGTAACAAGTTTTATGCATTTCTTTTCAAAACCAGACTTTCTAATGAAATCAAGTCTCTCTGTATGTAAAAATTGTTTTTTTATGTAAAAAAGCAAAACATAAGGCAAAATCTTTTATGACTGCTACCTGCGCAAAAAATAAAAGAACAAAAAATATCAATTTCTTCACTTACCGGTAGCCAAGACGTCCTTGGCGCTGGGATGCCACTTGACGAAGTAAATCTTGTCGGGGTGCGCCGACAGGCAGTGCTCGGGCTCGTTGGTGGGCTCTTGGAGGCCCTCTTCCGGCACGCGCCACAACTTCACCACGCCGTCGTCGCACGCCACCGCGAGGCGCGAGTCGTCGAACGGGTCCCAAGCGAAGTCCATCACGTTGTTGCCGTGCACCAGGGCGGGAATCACGCCGTCGGGCAGCTTCCCGGTCTTGGCCAGCTCGAAGATGGCGATGCGCCCCCCGGGCCCGCTCAGCGGAACCGCCACCCGCTTCGGGTTCGCTGGAAGGACAATAGAGTCAAAACTTCCCGAAAGTTTCAACAACGGAATTATTGCGGAAATGAGTTTCTCTACGACTACTTAAGAATAGTAACATTCTAGTGTAATTTTTGATCATAGAAAGGATGTTTTTCTGCAATACTGTGCGAGAATATTCCTACTCTTGTTTAAGAATGGTCACAAGTAACGACATCTCCTGGCTGTTTACTAAACGTAAAAAATTAAAAGATATTTAAATATTACTGTATTATTTATTAATTAAAAAATAATAGCAGTTGTATAATTAAGGTTTAGGCACAAAAAATTAGTTATATTTATTGTTTTTCAAATATACAAATCGAAATTATCTTAAATTTGATATTAAAATGATAAACCAGTTACCTACTATACCGGCTTTGAAGTTTTGACAGATTCAAAAAGTTTAAAAAAAGACCTTTAAAATGTAGAAAAAGAATAGATGTTGACATAGATTACTTGAAAAATTATAATTATATATATATTATATAAAAATTATAATTATATATATATATATATATATTATATAAAATTATAATAAAAACTATAGTTTTGTATTTGTTACAATGTTATTTTTTTATTAGTTAGTGTAAATAACTATTTTTAATTATAATAAAGATTTAGGCATACCATTTGTTTAAATTTATTATAATTTACATTATAAAATTGTGATGGCACAAAATGGTTTGACAATACAAAAAACTTAAATGTCAAAAACTGCTTCTTTTCTTTTCTCTGTTTAAAATTATATAAGCGCTACTATTCTTACGTAGTCGTAGAGAAAATAATGTCTGAAACACGTTTGGAATAGCATATTCCACTCTCGTAAAACCGTCACACTCGCCTTCGGCTCGTGTGTCAAATTTTTCCTCGAGCGGAATATGCAGTATTCCAAACTTGTTACAGAATGTACTATTTTTGTGCCAGGAAAATGTTTAATAATGCATCGTATGCTGAAATTCACTACTAGTAAATCACTAGTTATTACTTAAAAAAATATAAAGGACAAAGTAACTATACGCTAAAGAAGTATCGGGTTTTCGCAACGCGCGCGCCATCTGGTGGACTCCGAATGCGTGAATTTAAGAATTGTCAACAATACATTTAAAGCACAGATTATACATCATTTCAAAAAAAATCGTTTTAAATGTTTTGTTTCTTACAGAGGCACTTGTAAGCCGCTAATGGCAACCATTTCGTATCACTCTTATTTTGTAAAAAATAAACCTTATTCTCAGGGGGTGTCAAACTGTCAATTTTTAGGTTAATTCACCATAACCCACAAATTAACCTTGAAATTGACATTGGAGAACAAAGCAGGAGGAGATACACAATTACAAAACTAGAAGTAAGGAAAAAATAAGAATACACAGAACAAAAACAAGAACTAGTCAAGAACAGCTAATGCATGAGAGAATAAGCAAATATAACGAGTTACCAGCAAAAATAAAGGAACAAAGAACCAAAGATTTTAAAAAAATTATTGAATATATAATTAATTTAAGAGACTATAATATTAAGTTAAATTTTTATTTGTAAAAAGACTGAAAATAGGCATAGACAAATTATTTAAATTCCAAATTTTATTTAGGATTTTTTTTTGTGAATTTTAGAGGAAAAAAGTATGCAAATGAATTTATGTAATTAAATAAAAATAACTCTACACTATACCTACTTAAAAAAATAATTCTTTTTAACAAAAATAGGTATAAATAAACATTACTTCTTTTGTACAAATAGGCTAGTTTTTTTAGCCAAATCGCTCGACTAGTTTTTTTTTTAATAAAATTTAAAGTAAGGTAAAATTACAACTTATGCATAGACAAGTAGAAATTTCACCACACTTTTAATTTTATTTAAAAAAACGCGTCGATAGATATGGCTAAAAAACTAGGCCAATGTTAAATGATGTTAAATTTATATTTTAAGAAAAAAAAAGTTAACCTTTTAGTTAATAACTAACAATAATTGTAATGTGGATCTTTTACTCAAAAATCTCGTAATAGAAAAAATATAAAGTTTGTGTAATACAGCAAAACAATCTTTAGATTGTTTACTATTTTAGCTATCATTTAAAAGAAAATTAAAAATCCTTTTGTTTGATACAGAACACGGTACATTTTTGTCGAAAACAAACGAAATATGGCTAAAAATGACAATTTTGTAGGATTTTGTTTTTTAGGTATATTTTGTTGTCTTTTAAGAAAAATATAGGTTGTGATACCTATCATTTTAAAAAGAATTTAATAAATATCATTTTAAAAAGAATTTAATAAACTAGAACCTAAAAATATAAAGTTTTAGGAGATTGGTGACAATTTTAGGAGTTTTCAAGATTTAAGCCAAATTTGGGAATGTTTTAGGAAAGTTTAGGAGGTGTGGGAGCCTTGTATTTATATAATTTATCTGTAATGGCACTTACCGTGAAAACCGTCGCACTCCCCTGACATCTGGCGGCTCAAATTCCTGATGTTCTCAATGTGCAGAGATTTGTGCGCAGGCGTGCCCTTCAAATGCCTAAACTTGGAAACCCTCCCTGCAAAAAAACACAGTTTTTTTACTCGAGGAGTCGAGAATTGTTTCTAGAGACTTACCGAACACGGTGGAGGTTCTCTTGGGCGTGGGGACCGCTTCGCTCTTCCTGGCCGCTTGCGGATCGAAGGACTGCTGCTTTGGCATCGGCACGCTCTTCCTGTTGTTGTCGTCCTTGAGGACGTCCTCGGCGTTCTTGCGGTTCTTCAGCGAGTCCTTCCTGCGCAGCATCACCGGCGACCCGCCGGCCGGCTTTTCCGCTATTAAAGTGGGCGGATCTTGCGCAGAAGCGGAACGCGACTCGTACATGCGCCTGCGCTCGGCGATGGAACTTCTTTGCAACGAGGATCTTTCGAAATTCGTCTGGTCGGTCGCGTCGAAGCCGTCTTCCGGCTCGTTCTCCTTCGAGCTGCCCCTCACCTAGAGGTTTCAAAATTCACTTTTGCATTTTTTCATTTTATTCAAAGGGTAATACGAAAAAATGCAAAAGTCAATTTTTTTTTTAATTTACAAATTTTTGCGGATACTATCCACAACGTTTTTGTTAAGTTTTTACTGCATTTATTGAACAGCAATAACTATTTACAAGGCCACGCACGGGTGTTTTATACCAAAAATATTTTTTTTCTGAAAAATATTAATTTTATGATAATAAATGAGACTTTACTTTAACTTTTTTTGTTGTAAAGTGTTTTTCTCGTTCTGAAAAGCAATTTTATTCCAATTCTATATATTATATCAAGTTTATAGTCAATTTACAAAATTTATATATTTTTATGGAAATTTAAGTGTTATTGCAAAAACTCATTTTTTTGAGAAATATATTAATTTTATGACCTAAAATAAGAATTAAAAAAGAAAAACACTAACTTTTTTGTTAAATTTTATTGAAAAATATTAATTTTATGACATAAAATAAGAGTTAAAATAAAATCTTCACTTTTATTGTTGTAAAGTGTTTTTCTCGTTCTGAAAAGCAATTTTATTCCAATTCTATATATTTTATCAAGTTTATAGTCAATTTACAAAATTTAATTATTTTTATGGAAATTTAAGTTTTAATGCAGAATTTTTTTTTAAATATTAATTTTAAGACATAAATAAGAATTAAAAAAAAAACACTTTTTTTGTTTAATTTTATTGTAAAAAGTGTTTTTCTAGTTCTGAAAAGCAATTTTATTTCAATTCTATTTATTATATCAAGTTTATACTTAATTTACAAAATTTAATTATTTTTTATGGAAACTTTGATTTCATTGCAAAAAACATTTTTTATGAAAAATATTAATTTTATGACATAAAAAATAACTTAAAAAAAATAATGTTGACCTTTTTTGTTTAATTTTATTGTAAAAAGTGTTTTTCTTGTTCTGAAAAGCAATTTGATTCCAATTATATTTATTATATCAGGTTTATAGTTAATTTACAAAATTTAATTATTTTTATGGAAATTTTTATTTTATTGCAAAAAATCATTTTTTTTTTATGAAAAATATTAATTTTAAAAATGTTCACTTTAAGTATTTTTATTTATTTTTATTGTAAAAAGTTTCTCATTCTGAAAAGCAATTTTATTCCAATTCCATTAATTATATCAAGTCAATTTACAAAATTTAATTATTTATAAGTAAATTTAAGTTTTATAGCAAAAACTAATTTTTTTCAGAAAAATATTAATTTTATGACAAAATAAGAATTAAAAAAAGCTTCACATTAATTTTTTATTGTATAATTTAATTGTAAAAAATGTTTTTCTCGTTTTGAAAACCAATTTTATTCCAACTGAATACATTGGTAATAAATTGGTATTATATCAAGTTTATAGTTAATTTACAAAATTTAATTATTTTTATGGAAATTTAAAAATATTAATTTTATGACAAAATAAGAATTAAAAAGAACACTTTACTTCAAGTTTATAGTTAATATGCGAAATTAATTTTTTTTATCGAAATTTTAGTTTTATTATTAATATTATGAAAAACAAGAATTAAAAAAAACTTCACTTACCTCGAACAGCTTCCTACGTTCGGCGGTGCTGGGTGTTTTGGGGATGTACCCGGAGTCGGAGTTGGTCTCCTCCTCGCCCGACGATCCGGACTTGCCGTTCTCGGTCTCGATCTTCGCGTCCGCGTCGCTGCTCGGCGATTTTTCCTTTTCAACGGCCTCTTCCGGCGTTTTGGGTTGTTGCTCTTGCTCGTGCACGCCGTTACTGGGTGGCGAAGCTGGGGCAACGAATTTGAACTCGGCGTTGGTCAGATTCGGCGGTGTGAAAGGTTTCGGGCCCAAGCGAGGCTTCAAAGAATAAACACGAAACGTTCAAATATGTTTTGGACACTGCTAATAAAATACACAGAGAAAATTAACCAACTACAAAAAAACGCAATTAAAACAACAAAATTATTATTATTATAATATATTTTATACGAAAATATTTTTTTTACAAGTAATAATGAAATTATAGGTCAGTAAAAGCGTATGTTGAGTATAAAAGTATTAGGTCAACAATGTTGTTAAAAGAGTACTCTATTATTAATTCAATGGGTCTGAATTTTTTTATATTTCTCTACACCACCAAAAATATTTCTCAGAATTTCTTCAATTTTTTTTACCCAACCAAAAAAAATTAAAATTGTCAAAAAAATGTCTTTCTTTAAATAGGTACCCATAACATTTTTAAAAATTGAGTGGGACGTTTTTGTTAATTTTTGAGTTTTTGAATGTACTTAAATTTACTCAATACATTTATACCTTAAGAGCATAAATTCACGCCAAATCGACACCTTTCCATTTGGCTAATTTTTTTTTTATTTTTCTACGCCACTAAAAATGTTTCTTACAATTTCTTCAAATTTTCTTACCCAACTGAAAAAAGTTGCTTTAAAAAAAAATGGCTTTTTTCAGATACCCACAACTTTTTTAAAAATTGACAAAATGGAATTTTTTTTAATTTTTTGATTTTTAAATGTACTTTCCAGAAAAAAATACAAAAAAATTTACCCAAAACCTAAATAGCATAAATAAATAAAATAAATAAAATAAATTTCGATTTAGCTAAACTTTTTTTATATTTTTCTATACCACTTAAAATGTTTCTCAAATTTTCTTTAAATTTTTTTAACCAACCAAAAAAAAAGTTTAAAATTTTCCAAAAATGGATTTTTTCAAATAGTACCTATATGTATACTGCCGTGCTAAGCAAAACCCCTGTATATGCAATATTAACAATTTCAATAAAAATGATCTTTTCTACACTACTAAAATGTTTCTTACAATTTCTTCAAATTTTTTTACCCAACCTAAAAAGTTAAAAATTTTCAAAAAATTGCTGTGTAATTCAAATACCCATAACTTTTTTAAAAACTGACTAAATGAAGTTTTTTTTATTTCTTGAATGTAAATGTTCTTTTTAGAATAATAATAATATTATTATTATAAAAAATTTCGATGTCAAGTTCTATACAAAATTTCCGTTTTTTAGGAAAACTAAAGCCGCTTTTCCCAAAGTATTTTTTTCATTGAAAAACTTTTTTATTTAATAATAATAATAATAATATCAATTTAAATCCATGTTAAGTACATTAATTCTTGATAATTGATATGAAATTGATTTTATTATAAAAGTTTTAATAAAAAAACAAAATAAATTTTTAATGAAAAAAAAAATTAAAGAAAAGTGGGCCACATTAGCAGTATTATTCGCAGAATAAATCGAAATTTTTTTTAAAGTTGAAAAAAAAGACACAAAAACAACGATAAATTCTCAAAAAACTGAAAAATTGTAAAGAATTTGACTTCAAAAATTTAAAAAAAAAACGTCCTAAATATATTTAGTCAATTTTTAAAAAGTTATGGATATTTAAAAAAAAAAATTTTTGAAAATTTTTTATGCTCTATAAAATTCAAATCGGCAAGTATTGAATTTCCTATAAAAAAACTTTTACTGGCCTATAATGGTTTTCTTGAAAAACAAGGTCATAGAAAATAAATTGAGGTATTTACCTAATATTTTAAAACCAGTTTTTATAAAACCAAATGTTTTTTATACAAAAACAAGGTTCTCTTGACATTAGTTCTCAAAATAACAACAGTAAAACAAGTGTTTCTTACAAAAAAAACGAGGTAAATTTGCAATAAAACGTTTTGGGTATCTTGAAAAATACTAAAAAAACAAAAAATACCTAAAAAACAAAGTGCACCTAACAAAAAAAATCACAACGTTGAAAAAAAATAAAACAAAAACAAACCAGAAAACACCAAGTGCAATAAAGCACAAAAACCTACTTAAAAAAACAAAAAAAAATGTTGAAAAAAACGCAAACCGAAAAACAACAACAAAACAATGCAACAACCTTGTATCCGCCCGCTATCGGCACGTTGGGATTGACGGAGGTGACGACGGGCGCGCAACTGTTAGTTCGCGGCCTCGCCACCGGCTTGGGGGCGCCGTCGTCGATCTGATCGCCGCACACCGAGTTAGTCCTCGACGCCCTCGGCAGAGGTTTAGGCGGCGAGTTCTGACAGTTCTGCTGCAAAGTTAGTAGCACTTATACCCAGTGTTGTAACGTATCTAGTTACAAGTAACTAGATACAATATCTAGATACTTTTTATGTATCTGTTTGTGTAACTAGTTACTTATCCCAATCTAGTAACTATAACTGTAACTAGTTATACAAATTCTAAGTAACTAGCTGTGTTAAGATACAAAGATACATTAAAAATTAAATATAAAAAAAATAAAAATAACAAACATGTTTGTCACTTTAAAATTCCCTTTTATTTCTATTTTAAATTTTTTAAAGCAAAAAATAATTTGTATGTATCTAGATAGATCTACTTTTTGAAGTTAACTGTATCTGTAACTAGCTACTGCAATAAAATATGTATCTGTATCTAGTTACAAATTTTGGTAAGTAACTGTAACTGTAGCTAGATACTGAAAATATTGTAACTGTTACAACACTGCTTATACCTCACGAGTTTCGGTTAGTTTAGACGTTTGCGATACGCTAGCAAACCCTTTGGAAAACTCTGGACCTACCTTTTCGTTTTCTTCGGCGTTGATTTTGTTGTTTTCCGAGACGATGCTTTCCAGGGTTTTTTCAGAGTCTTCGGGCAGGATGAGGTTGGTCTTTTCGATATCCTTGATTAGCGATCTGACGGGGTGAAAATCGGGTTTTTCGACGTTCTTGTTGATTTTCGGCACCTCGGCTTGTTTGTTGGCGTTATTTTTTTCGAATTCGGATTTTAACGTTTCCAAATTACCTCTGTGTATCTAAAATATGTATAAAATATTACAATTTGTTAAAAACAAGTTTATATATATATAAACATGCATATTAACAAAAATGTAATTTCTACATATGGATAAGTTTAAACAAAACAAATTCCTAACAAAATCTAAATTTATCTATCCTTTAAGGTTTATTACAACACGATTTTTAAGTAATATTGTTAAAACAAAACCTGAATTATCTAAAAAAGATAAAATTTCTTACAAAAACAAGTTTTAATGCCTTGGCTATTCGTAAAAATTAAGTATTTTTAGATAACAAAGTTTTCTTATAAAAACAAGGTTTTAAGTCATTTTTTGTCAACAAAGGACGTTATTGAACATTATTATAAAGGCAGGGCAATTCTCAAGAAAACCAAGATTCTTCTAAAAAAGAGTATTATCCTTTAAGGTTTCTTACAACAAGATTTGTGAGTAATTTTTTTAAACAAAACCAGGATTTATCTAACAAAAGATAAGGTTTCTTATAAAAACAAAGGTTTAATGCTTGTACCTTGGTTATTTGTAAAATGTAAGTGTTTTATATGAGAACAAGGATTTCTTACAAAAAACAAGTTTTAAGTCATTTTTTGACAACATAAAGGCAGGTTAATTTTCAAGAAAACCAAGATTTATCTTAAAATGGATACTATCCTTTAAGGTTTCTTACAACAAGATTTGTGAGTAATTTTTTTAAACAAAACCAGGATTTATCTAAATATTTGGCAATTTGTAAAAATGAAGTATTTTTAAACGGAAATTTTGTAAACAAAGTTTTCTTATAAAAAACAGTTTTTTTAGAAATACAAAGTTTTGTAAAAAACAGTTTTTTAGGAAGTTATCTTATAAAAACAGTTTTTTTTTAACATTGATAAATTATTTTTTTTAAGTTTTTGTTAAAAAATGGCATTTTTTAAAACAAAACTCATTAGGGCATTAATAAACTGTCACCTAGTGTAAAAAGGCATTTCTTATGACAAAACCAAGATTTAATTTTTTAAACAAGTAGTTTTTTACATGAAACTAGATTTTATTTTTTAACGCAGTTTTTTTATTAAAAAAACTGTATATTTTCTTATAAAAAACAGTTTTTTTTTAGATAAACAAAGTTTTCTTATTAAAACAGTTTTTTAGGAAAACAAAGTTTACTTATAAATAAACAGTTTTTTTGACATTGATAAACTATTTTTTTAAGTTTTTGTTAAAAAATGGCATTTTTTAAAACAAAACTCATTAGGGCATTAATAAACTATCACCTAGTGTAAAAAGGCAATTCTTATAACAAAACCAAGATTTAATTTTTCTTTTAAATAAGTAGTTTTTTACATGAAACTAGATTTTATTTTTTAACGCAGTTTTTTTATTAAAAAAAAACTGTATATTTTGGAAAAAAGTGTTTTTTTAAACTGGACATTGCTAAACCAGTTTTAGGGTAAAAAGGCAATTCTCATAAAAAAACAAGTGTTTGTGTAAAAAGTTCTTTCTACAAAATATAGTTAATAAAAAATACGTTGGTCCGAAAAGTAGGGTTTTAAAATTGAGTCCGGTAAAAAACAACAAAATTGGGAAATTTTCAGAAAAATTGACTTTTGCTTTTTTTTCATTTTATTTAAAGTTACTATGAAAAAATGCAAAAGTCAATTTTTCTTAAGATTTCCAAATGTTTACGGATGCTAGGGAGAAAAAAGTGAATTTTCGACGCTGAATATAAATAATCATAATATTATGATTATAATAATTACCCCTATTCCTTTTATTTTAATTCAGTAAGAATTTCTACCGGGTCACAAAAATCAATTTAATTTAATTCAATGTTTAGTTTTGTTTATTTTTTTCTTGTTGATTGCTACTTTTTTCAAATGTGTAATTTTCCACAAAAAAAACAGGTTTTTTCCACAATTTTTCCGGTTTTCTTTCGACACTTTAAAACCCTGTCAAAAAGTAAAAATGTACATAATATAAAAAAGAAAACTTACAATTATAGGCTCCTCTCCGTTCTCCCTCTTGCTGGGATCCAAACTGATCTTCTCCAGCTCGACGTTCTTCCCCTCGATCCACTTATCGGCGGTCAAGTCCGTCTTGAACCCGGGCGTGTCGGGGTAAATGTCGGCGTGGAAGTCCCTGTACGTCTTCCTCGGCACCTGGTACGTAATCGGCACCACCGACGAACTGGTCAGCTGAAGAACCCTGTTGACCTCGCCCTGCATCACGTTGAGGCACCTCTTCGGCACCAAGCACGCGCCCTTGGTCTGCTCGCCGGAATGTCGAATACCCTCGATGAGGTACGGCTCCTTGTCGGTCACCTCCATGTACCCGACGGTCGTGTCGCCTTTGCCGGCCAGCAGAAGCATGTTAGTGTCCGGATCGTATAAAGGTATCAAAATGCCCGTGGAGCAGTCCAGCTCCAACGCCTTCTCGGCCTCGTTAAAATTACGCAAATCACGGATGAAAATCTGCCGCAGCCGTTGAGAATCGAATCCCGTCGTTAAAATCCTGTTCTGATCCCCCAGAAACACCACCCTGCTGTCCTTGATGCTCTGATGGCTGTTGGCGGTCTTCACGCACGACTTTTCCACCCTAGGGTCTAAAATCCTCACCATCTTGTCTTTGCACGACGTGGCCAATAGGCTGCCGTCCCTCTTCCAGCTCACCGATTGGATCACTTCGCTGTGGTCGGCGTTCGAGAACAATTCCTGCTCGGACATCAGGTCCCACAGGGTTAAAGTCGTGTACGAGGTCGAGTGCAGCAGGTGGTCTGCGCACGGGTGGAAACCCACCGTTTCCACGCGACGTTGCTTGTGGGAGAATGTGCATTCCGAGTTGCTTAGCGATTCCTGTGTGGAATATTATTTATTATTAGCTATGCCATCACAGACGCACATCTCCATCTGATACTATTAACCTATCGGTATATATACTTATCAAGCGTGCGTAAGCAACGGTGAGAGGTATTGCAACTAAACTATAGAACGTGAATCTCGCGAAATGTTCCCCGTGATATTTAATAAAACTAAATGACTTTTATTGTGTTTTGATCTTTCATAATTAAGCAGATATTACAGCTCAATTCCAGATTTTTAACCGCAATTAATTAGTAGTAAAAGCATACCAAAAATATCAGTACACTAAGTAAATTAAACACATCCAAAGCAATCGAATCAAACATGAAATATTATTAAAAATTAAAAGAAATAATTTTTATAACCATTTATGTAGGCGTTACAAAATTTGATTATATCATCCGTGAATCTGTTTTTGCTTTAAATTTTATGCAACGGATGGCGCTTTAATCATTTAAATAAGCAAAAACCTCTGCTTACGACATTATGGATGCATGTGATTCCTGAAGGTCAGTTAGAATTTATATGCAGATGAGAGTGTTGCTGTTTTATAATTCAAAAGTTTAAGTTCGTTAATTTGCTATTTAAAAACCTATCCACCGTGAAGTGTAATATCTCAGTAGGTAGATTTTTTTTATAAATATTTCATGTAATACATACTATGTACAATTGTATTTTTAAAAAATAGACTTAAATGCTTAATATATTAAAAACTGCTTGTCAACAATTTTTTTATACTTAAATTTAAATGACCCCTGGTAAACCGTACCCTGTATATGTATATTTCATTAAACATAAGTTTGTAGATATTTGGTATTCTATTCATTAATATATTAATAATATGTATATGTATATTTAGTATTTATATAATAATATATAAAAAATAAGTATTTTTAGATTCTTAAATATGCGTGATTTTAAAATTATTATTGTTTTAATTTTTTAAAGGTTTGGCATTCTAAAATAATTCACATTTTTAAATATATTTTAAAATGTGATTTGACATTTAAAATTAAATTATAAAAATTATTTTCTTTTTACTTAAAAAAAAGATTTGGAAAATTTCTGAGAAATATTTTATATTCTTTTTATCTAAGAATTTTTAAAACACATGGCAACAAAGCATTTTTAAAGATATTTCTTTATTTTGAATCCTGGAAATTTTGACATATCTGACTTAATGATTGAGCATTATTAAATTTGTTTAATAAACTAAATTTACTTGAATTAGACAAATTTGATTAAATGTTACTGTTTTTTTAAGTTTTTTATAAAATTAAATATTTTCTGATAAAGGTAAATGTTGTCTAATCTTTTCCTACATGCATATTAGATTGGAAAAAGTAAGGTTAAAACCGTTTGACAGATGTCAGATTGGTAAAAAGTGAGGTTAAAACCGATTAACACTTTCAGAGATTAGTTAATAACAAAGTTATGAAGTTTTATAAAAATGTTCATAGAAACTGTCAACCATCTTAACTAAAGTATGTAGCGTTTTTGTAATTTTTTTACATAAACAAACTTTTTTAGCCCTTAAAGGCTTTTAAAAAAAAATTTAAAGCCTTTCTTTTAAGTTACTGTAATAATAATATAAACTTTACAATTGGTTAAGGAAAGCATTTTCCTGCATAAAATGATAAAGAATTGCTAATTAATTTGATAAGCAAAACTACATTAATTGTTTAATCTTGCCAATAATATCTAATATTGTTTAGACAATTATAAAATAATTTAATGTTAAATAGAAATAATTAAAAATAAATGAGATAATACCATTACAAATAAATCATGAATCATTCATGGAATTTTTATTGTATAGCCACATTCTCCCAATTATTTATTTAATATTTCAATACAAACACAAAAATTATTTAATTAAACATACTATTAAAAACCACATCATGTTTTAATGTTTTAAAAAGTTAACCAAACCATAAAAAGAAACTTCCTGTCTATGCAACAATATTGGAATAATAATAATAAATTAATTTTTAATGTCCAATTTACTGTAGCTAAACTTTAATAAACATACCTGTAAACCTTCAGGAGGAATGTGCCATATTTTGACCAAACAATCCTGCGAGCCTGTGGCCAGCAACCCATCATGAAACGGAGAAAATTCCATATCAGTCACAGTATCAGAATGAGCGTGCAGCAAAGGCATTAGTTTGCTTTTTCTACCGCAGTCATCTATGGGTAGTACAGCCAAACTGGAACCAGCATGGTCCCAGTTAAAGGCCATAAACCTAGCAGAAGCAGCAATGTTGTTGCCATAAGTCTGATACGACCCCACACATATGTCCCTTATGTATGTCTCGGGTTTGGGCACTATGGGGGCTGCGTTCTTGTACTTTGAAGCTTTAAATCTCCAAGCCATTTCAATGCATAAAATTCAAGTCTTCAAGCTAAAACCACTGTTAGTCCAGTTATATGTATATTAAGTGCAGAAGTATATTAGTTTATTAGTACAAAAATTTAAAAACATTATACCAAAGTAACTTGGAAAAATGGGTTATGGATGTTGAATTTAAAAATAAAATTCTGTTGTTAATTATTTAGTTAATACTAGTTTTTTAAGCTTAAATTAAATTTTTCGAAAGTAATATAATAATAATAATATTTTTTTTTGGTACATATTAAATCTTTAAAAGTTGATGACGTACGCGCTACTTTGTTTGATTATAACTTTATGTATTGTTAGGTAAATAAAATTGTTTTAGGCTTTGTTCTAGCTTTAATATAAATTAGTTTAACAATAATATTTTAAAGAGGGTTTTATCTAGCTCAACATTGTCATGATAATAATGGTACAAACTATAGTTCAAACTCTCGAAGGATGTAAAGTTATAATTAAAAACTCTATGCACTGAACATTTGTTATAAAAAAGTTATCAGTTTTTTATTGTTGTTAAGATATTCAATAATATTATGAATTTTAAAGTTAGTATTGGGTTTTTGGCGATATTTCCTTAACACATTTTACATAAAAAATACATTCCACCTTTTTGTTAAGACTTTAAAATCTACATTTTTAGGTACCTATATAATAAACTTTTACATACAATTAGTAGAAAGCAAGATATTTGCAAAAAACGATTATAATAACAAACACCCTGTAGGTACATGGCCCAACAAAACTCTTAAATAATAAACTAACTATGTGGAAAGTTATAAAATACTAGTTTTAACAAAAAAACACCCAATGGTTATTTTTCTGCACATACCTAAGTCAACTGGGCTGTATACAAACAATCTTCACACCCTAAATAAAACACTCAACAAAAGAATTCGCTACTCACTTAATTCGAACGTTAGTAATATCAATTACGTGTTAATGCCGGTTTTTCGTGGATTTGTATGCACTTTGTCGCGCATTTATCCTCAAAACACTTTCAAAAATACGCCCACAAATACACAGTTTTCACCCCTAGCTTCCCATACGAATGACAGCAATCGCGGAAAACAACTAAACACAAGAGTCTAGAGACCCAACGTCCACTTTGGCTCCCGAGCTTTCGAATGCGTCTTATGCAACCAAACATACTTTTCGAGTTAACCTAACTTTCTTTTGTGCTTTTGTGATAATACCTATTTCATTTTATTACAAATACAAATTTTACAGTTAAGTCAGCACCTTCATCAAGTAATACAAAAATTGTACCACAACGTCTTTTCACAACAAGAAAAGATAAAAAGAAGAGAGAATCTTATAATAATCTTACAAAGCCTGATAATATTGAAATTGACAAATTGAGCATTCATTTATTAAATAATAATGAATTGCATAACATTTAAGGTATTAATACTAAATTTAGTTGAATTGTGAAACGCGATATAAAATAATTATTATAATATAAATAACTAACTTTTTTTAAGTAGTATTATGACGTTGACAATGCGTTTTAAATGTATAATTATGTACAGGGTGATCCCGTGTAGATGTTTTATATAATTATAAATAAACATACGTTTTTGCAAATCCATGTTTTTTTTTAATTCCAATTACACCTAGTTGTATATTATAAACTATGGTAGGTATCAGTGGCGTATTTAGGATTTAGCTCCGGGGGGGGTCCAAAAAAACTAACTAAATATGTACTATGCTATGCATTAATACGTAAGTAGTTGATTTTTGATTTTAATGATTTTATATTTAAATATAATTAATAAATAATAAAGTACGTTGACAGTCTTGAGATTTTTATTTTTTTTAAACTTTTTTTTGTAATAAAAATAATAAAATATGTGCGCCCGGGGGGGGTCCGGACCCGGCGGACCCCCCCCCTAAATACGCCACTGGTAGGTATGTCTATTAATAATGTAATTTAAAGGGCCTTAAAATGAAATTAATACACCTCAAACTGTTTTATATATATTTTTTACTTTAAATATCTCAGAATCATTTAATGTTCACTTATATCCCTTTTATTCTAAGTCGCTAATTAATAATTATTATAATGTCTACTTGTCAAACCTAATAAAAATTCACATTTAAAATTTCTTTTCGAATAGTCAAGCAACCAAAGGACCACCAGTGTATGCTTGGTTGCATAATTAGGCTTTAAGCGCATCCGGAAGCTTGGGAGCCAAAGTGGACGTTGGGTCTCTAGACTCTTGTCAACTAAACCGGCTGGATGCGTTCCGCAATGATGACAGGTATACTGGGTTGCATAACATGCAGGTGAAAATTAGTTGCATACCCACATTTTATTAGATACCCAATTCTGCCCTACAGTTCTTTTGTCCTTTATTACATGTACCTAAATTGGATATAAGTACTGCATTTTAGCGCTGTATGGCAATATTGTAAATAGGATTTCAGGTGTAAATAAAGATTTACGACCTATCAAACAATAACAAATTTTATTATATGTATTCATAAATTCCAGGTAGGTATAAAGGATTTTAAAAATTAATAATTTCATCAAAATGAAGTTTTGTCCTCAAAAGGGCTTTTACATTCAAATTCGCGTTGCTATTATTTTTGGCATATTTATCTATTTATTTATAATTGACAAGTAAATTATCAATAATAAATATTATTGTCAATTTGACAGTGTCAAAGTATTTAATTAAATTCTTTAGCAGAAGTACCATTTTTAAATACTAAAATTACTAAGTCAAACTGGCATAAGCCACCAACCTAACAAAAAAACACGAGTCCAGATAAAAAAAATTAACTGTACAATCTTTTACAACTGGCAGTACAATGTACGACTATTTTAAGGTTAAATTACGTCGCAATTAAGCTATTTGACTTCAGATATAGTTTTTATTTTGTTAAAATTGAACACATCTGATTTTTTTTCAAGGTGGGGTAAGGTTTCGCGGAAAAATCCTTTGACAATTTAAATGTCAAAAAATTAAATTGCATATTTTACATGTCAAAGAGATTGGATATTTTAAAATGTCAAAAATCAACATTTTATGAATTTCCAAAATAGAGTTGTAAAATTAAGAAAATGTTTTTTTTTTTAATATCAATATAGGTAATTAAAATAAAACTTAAGTATTTGTGGGAAAAAAATAATGGAAAAATAATAATTATTATTATTACCCATCTACTGGTTCTAGAATGAAAACAATTGAAATTTGACAATTTAAATGTCAAAAAATGAATTTCCATCTTTTAAATGTCAAAAAATGAATTTGCATCTAAAAATGTAAAAAAATGGATATTTTAAAATGTCAAAAATTAAGATTTGACGTTTTAAAATAATAAAGTGAAGAAAATGTTTTTTCGACACCATTAAAATAAAACTTATTTGTTTGAAAATAATGGAATAATAATAATTATTATTATTACCCATCTACTGGTTCTGGAATGAAAACAATTGAAATTTGACAATTTAAATGTCAAAAAATGAATTTGCATCTTTTAAATGTCAAAAAAATTGGATATTTTAAAATGTCAAAAATTAAGATTTGACGTTCTTTAAAAATTATAAAGTGAAGAAAATGATTTTTTTTCGACACCATTACAATTAAAATAAAACTCCTTTGTATCCTATAATTTATTTAAATAAATTAATCACATAAATCTATCACTCGACCGTCACACGACATTCACGTGTTGATGAGCAACCCTAACCTCAAACACAAATCCACGATGCCCCTGGTGGCGGACGCCTGAACCAGCGACACGACGACGGCCGCCAACGTGACCGCGCCCTCCAGATAGACGGCGTACGCTATCCGCAGGTGTCCTTGCACTTGGGCCACGCCCCCCACCGTCGTGAAGTCCAGCGGAAACATGAGGCAGTCGACGGGCGAGCGCAGTCTGGCAACGCCGAACACCAGCACGCCCAAGGCGTAGAAGGTCACCATGGCGACCAGCGGGAACCACTTCAACCAAAGCGGCGGCTTTTTCAGCGGGATATCGGAGGGGTGGCACTTGTACGCCAGCGTTTGCAGCTTGACGGCCATCAGGTTGCCGAAGTTCAGGATTAAAAGGAAGTGGAGGGGGATGCCGACGGCGGCGAATAGGATGGCTGCGCCGCGACCTTCGACTGTTCTAGGAACCGGGGCACCAAAACCTACAAAAGTGTTTTATGTTTGAACTGTCAAATGTCTATTTTAAGGTTAAATTATAACCCACAAATTAACCTTCAAATTGTCATTTGACAGCCCTGATAGAATAAGGTATATTTATTATAAAAGAGGAGTAAAATGGTTGTCCTTAATATAATAGATAAATTGTAAAACATTTTTGTTTTTATAGTGTTTACTATAAATGTTATATTACCCAAATTATAAAACCTTTATTTCTTAATTTCGTTACAGAAATATTTATATAACTCTTAAATACCCCTTAAAGAGCTTATGTGAGGAGTTTATAAAGGTTAACTTTTATAAACATAAACATAAGTAACAATAATTATTGTTACTTATGTTTAGTCCATTTTAGACATCTTTGTGCACCTATAATTACATATGTCATAAATGACATATGTAGAAAATGACAGACGTCAAAGATGACAGATGTTAAAAATGATTATTTTGGATAGTTCCTGTATCCTGTTTTGAACTTTAAATATAAATATTAAAATCTTACCTAGAGTGGTAAGCAGTGAAACGGAAAAGAGTATGCACCCAGGGTAGGTCCATATGCTGCCACTTCGGCTTTCGCCGTAACCTTCGCTCACGGCGTCTAAAATAAGCGTTTTGTGCTTTTCCAAGTATCTATTGACTGTCGCCGGCCAACTTCCGGTATCTTTGTCTTTCTGCAACGTCGCAGACAGTTCCTGCGATATCTCGTTCTGAATTTTCTGGATGTCCTTGGACTTCTGCAACTCTCTGGGTCCTAAAAAAAAGTATTGAAACAATTGTGATAGGTACTAACAACTTAAGTAAATCACCTTCCGTGATGTGAAACCCATAGGCGCCCACCAAAGCCCAGAACACCAAGAGGACCGTCAGGCCGACCTGCGAGAGCAGCCACTGGCTCAGGATCCTGCAGATGCAGGCGACGCGCAGCTTCGTGCAGCTGCTCTCCGACGGGCCCAGCTTCACGGCGTGGTGCAGCTTGGGCCAGAAGCGCAGCCTGTACGGCACCAGGTGGCTAGTTTGCGCGGATTTTTCCGCGAACTTGTTCCGCGGCAGGCCATTTTCCAGGTTGATTTGGTCCACGTCCACGCAGCTGGCTTCGTTGCTAGGCAGCGAGTCCGGACTTCGCATGCTCAAATTAGTTTTTGCTGAAAAAGTTATCGTAAAGGTCACGAAGTTAGGCAACCATCTGCACAGACTCTAACGGGATAGAACCGAGGGGTCAACCACCCAAAAGAAAAACGTCAAGGGATTCCCATGTATTCCCATTATATTTTATTGTATTCCTATGTATTTCCATTGTATTCCTATGGTATTCCCCCTCTAAAATGTCCAGGGATTCCCAGGTGTGGGTGACCCCTCGGATAGAACAGACCTTGTTGTGTGGATTGTGGTAAAAATAACGTTTTTAATAAATATTCAAATTTGCACAATTTGGCAAAATTGTAGTATTTTTTATAATAGTTATTTATGTATCAAGGCAGTAGATTCATATTTTTGTATCACGAATGTGGAAATTATAACCACGTGAGTGATAAAAAATGACTTTAACGCCGAGGTGCATATTAAATTTTATCCGAAATCACATTTAATAATACTAATAATTAATATTGATGATCAAATCAAATGTCATTTGAATGTAGGAAGTGTCTATATATACTGTTTGTTGCGACGGTTATTATATATTTGCCCGCCGCGGCGATTTTTTAATCTAATTAATAAAATTAACTTATTATTTTTATTAAACAACATTTTATGAAAAGGTCTAATTGACCTCCGCGACGGTGCTTTTTTTAAATATTATTTAGTTGCCGCTGAGGAGCAGTAGACACATCTTAAAATGTATAATGGGTTGCATACAATACTCGTATTAGTGAGTAGAACTTTACTGCCGATTTCTTTTACTTTACTGCCGATTGTTGACTACTTTACTGCCGATTTCGGATAAAAACATCTTTTTTTGCTTGAAATGTAAAAAGTACATTGACACATTTATTGTAACATGGTAGTATTTTTGTATATACACAATGAAAAAAATTTGTACCTACCTACAAAAATAAGATTGTTTTTTAGCAAAAATTTAAAAAATTGTCAATTTGGCAACATTGTAGATACTATTTTTTAGTTTTTTTCTTAAATGTCAAACATTTTGAATAAATTACATAACTTCATAACACTTGAACGTAATAAAATGATACGCAATTTTTTTTATTTTTTAGTTAAATGTCTGAATATTGAATAGTATATTAAAGAACTAATGTCATAAGACGTCATTTTGTCACACGCGGACAATTTATATAATGGACGAATGCGACAAAAGGTCTTATGACATGAGTTTTTTATAATATTTTATCTATTTTGCAAAAATTCTATAAAAAAAATGAATTTTATAACTTAAATTTAATTTGGTCGAATTTTACTTTAGACAGTTGGTATCACAGTAATTGGTTTGACAGTTAATGTCAAAATCGATTCGCCATGCCGTCCTTAATTTCCTTATTTTCAATAAGCGGCTGTTATCGTTAAAGAAGAAAAAAAGGATTTTCTTTGGTGTTAAACAAAATTTATTGCTAGAAAAGTCTCGTAAGTACTAGAAAAATCATAAAAATATTATAACCAATATGCAAAATATTATGCTGTTTAAAGTGTAGCCAATCTATAAAATAAAAATTTTGGGTGGGATAAAGCATCTCATTACAGCACCGAAAGCGGTGTTATAATGAAGTCATTATGAACGCAAAATAGATAAAAATTGATGTATGTTAAATTTTACATATTAGGACCAAAAAAATAAACCAATTGTTTTTAATTGTTTGACAACATTGCAAAAAAAATTATTGTTTTACTTTGGTTTCTTGAATATTTTGAAAGTTTACATTGTTTTATAGACAAAAAACTGTTGTTTTTTGCATAATATTTTTTTCTTGAATAATGATAAACATTAAAAATTCTCTGCCTAACAACGGGAATAATGACTCATTATTCACGTTGCTAAGCATCAGTGATTGGCCCATTTCAATATTCACTGTGATTTGGACCAATGGGGTTTTAAATTGGTATGATAACATTTTAAATTGTTATAAAGTGAGGTTAACCATTTAACAGTTGTCATATTTTATTTATTTATTTTTGAAAATCATATAATTATAATATATCTACTTATTGGAGTAGATAAAGCATAGTATTACACTCTAGATTATGTGCATTATCCCTCGTATAATAATATACTAGTAAAGGTCAACTTTTAATGACAGTTTTCGAAAAAAGGATTTTTTTAAATGTAATTTTCTTAGATTATAATAATTATAATATGGTGTCTCTGATCGATTTTTAATGATACATAGGAATATTAAATTCTATTTTAATTTTTTGCGATTTTTTTAATTGTCCTCTATATTTTATAATCCTGTTGATAAAATTATCCTAAAAATGATTCCTTAATTTTAAGATATCCATAAATTCACAAATATAATCGCCAATCCAAAAATACAATTTTAAAAATAAAACAAAGATCAATAAAATCACAAATTGCTTTACAATTTTTATAAACAAAAATTGTTTTTCTATATTAAATTTGGCAAAAACGCAATTTCAATGCCTCATAAAAATTAAATTTAGAACGAAAATATCAAATATTAAATTAATAAACGAAACGTAAAATAAATATTTAGAAAGCGCGTGCCTTTTAATTAAAAAAATTCCCAATTTAATTACGAAATTGTTACGCTTTTGTGATACATATGTATGTGTTTTAGAAAAGACTGTAATAAATTAAATTATTTGTTTTGTGTAGGTACAATTTTAGTAACTATTGTATTATTTGCCTATAGACAAAATCAATAAACTGTATTTAATAAATTTACAAGTATAAAAATAAACTTACATTTCATAATACATTTTCACAACCGAAAATTCGCTAATATCAACGAAAATGTGGTAATAATAAAAGTTAACTAACTAAAATTTAAACCATAATATTATTTAAAACATATGTTTAACTTTTTTAATTTAAAGTAGGTATCTATGGAAGTGTAACTAATTTTTTAAGGTTAGCATGTGTTCCCATTCAATGCATAATCACAACTGAACATTATATAACGAGTATTTTCTATGTAATTGTTATTATTTTAATTAGCGTATCTCATGTTTAAAAAAACTGTACCGGTAAATTGTACGTTTGTAATGATCGCCGGTAATACAGATCCCCATTCTTACGGTTACTCTTTTTTCGTATAGGTGTCACTCCATACAAATATTTAATTTAAATCATTGTTTAGATAATATTAAGTATTTATATTATGCAACTTGTTTATACATTTTTCTAGACACTCATTTAATGAAGCACTCGCTCGTGCCTAAATTAAATTGTTGCGTAGGTCATATTATTATTTAAACAGTAAATATTCATTTACCTTTTTTATACTTAATTTCGCCAATCATCAAAACAGGTGCCACAATGTTGGTCATTGGTCTCTTTTTTGACATTTTACACTGCGTGTGTTTTCTACAGACATTAATATTGTTTTTCCCTTAAAAAGGCGGACTTACATTTTTGCAAACAAACAGCATTATAAACAATTTGACAGTGCCATTTGACAGTTTAGACCTTTGAAGGTTAGAATTTGACGTATTTTTAAATGAAGTTGTCAAATTGGTAATTTTGAACATAGAGGTTAAAAAAATGTTTTTCATAAAAAATTATAACTAAAGTTCATTTTTTTATCTGGACTGCGGCAACGTTGCAAATTTAATAAATCTCAATTTTTATTTTTTTGACAATTGAACTTTTTTATATCTTTTTTTATCAAAAATGACTTCGAAAAACCAAAAATAAAAAAATTCCCTCTTGTTTACTTATCCGGGGACATACTGTATACTTATGGAAAGGTTCTGGTATATATTCGTTTATACTTTTGTTCTTGGTACACCCTTTTAGATATAATAAGGTAATTATAATTATAATTAAAAACTAAGCCCGGAGCATTAACCATTTTTGCAACAAACCAATTTTCATTAAATTTTTTGTAGATTTCAAAACAGCTTGTTGGTTTTACGACTTTAAAATTATATTGTAATATGCAAAATAAACTGTCAGTTAATTTTTGTTGGAATTTTTTTGTATACAAAACTTTTTTGCTGCATTTTCTGAACACTCTGTATAACTTTTTAATTGTGCCATATTTTTGTGAACTTTATTGATTTTCTTTCAAACTTAATTTATCCTAATTATGGTTGATAAACCTCAAAACTAAAATTAACATTTTTATGTTTTCTATAATTATCTTCATGAGAAACACATGTTTTGTTTATTGGACTTTTATCTTTTATAGATTCTACACGATTTGATAAACTTTTTATTGCTTTATAAAATTCCGATTATGAATTTGCTAAAGTTCGCGATTTTTTATTTTTTATGAATTTTGAATCTTATTTCTTATTTTTTTTTAAAGTTTCTGTAAATTTTAAAATTTACAGATTTTTTTTGTACACCCAATATGACTGCTATTGATTAGAAATACGACTTTAAAATACAATACAAAATAATATACAGGGTGATTCATCTAACTGATTTATTAGAGGTTTATGGAGAACTATTTTTAGTTAGATATCAATCTAAAATTTTGTGATCTATAGATATATAAATATAAATATATTTTTCTAAAATATTTTTTACAGATGAAACCTTATACATATTATTGCTTTTTTGAATTCTACAATTGTTTTTGAGACATAATTTTTTCAAAAAAAATTGACAGATGCAGTGACCAACTAAAATGTCTGTATTACCAACAATTGTGACGTTGAAGAGTTAATTCTTGGTATAAACGTTAACAAAGGAGTGTTCTATCAGGATCCTGGCTCCTGGCTCCTGGCTCGAGCCATTAATAGTTTTCCAAAATGTTAGACAGGGTGTTTGGTATTTCCGTTTCGCTTTAAAAGTATACAAAAAATGAAACTTCCTGTATATTGGAATGGCTGAATGCAAATCTGCATGACGCAGTGAGGGAAATGACTCACCCACTACACAATACAAAACAATTCAATAAACAAAAATGGTTCATGTTTTATTAAGTTATTTTTCACATATTTTCAAATATTTTTTGTTGGGGGCGCTATATCGTTATTATATATAAGTATCTTTTTCATACGAACCTTCCGGATAGTCTTCATGGTTTCTCCTGTGGGTTCCATTCAAGCTGAGCACCTTCCTCGGCGGTTTGGCAGGCACACGTGACCTGACGTCGTGCGGGTTGCGTGCCTCTTCTGCTGGCCGTGCGACGTTGCAAAGCTCGAAGTGGCAACTGTTAATCCTGCCCATGGGCTGCGGGACGAAAGTCAACTCGGCGACCGGCTCGTACATGTTCGATTTTGCGTGCGTTTGGGGCTATCGGTTAAGTAACGCTGCCCGACAAAATGTTTTTTTTTACTTTGCTGCAAAAATCAACTGATGTTGCCGGAATTTAATTCCAAGCACAATTTTATTTGTTAAATGATAATAAAAATAATAATAATAATTTTTTAAAGTATAAAGTGGGGTTAGGTAGACCTGACAGAAGTCGAAGTTTTTGATTGGTCTAAAGTTAATTTTAAAAATTATAATTTAGATTAAGTATTTTGTGTCATAATAATAATAATAATGGCTTTCTACGTAGTCCTCATCAGTGCTGGGTAGCCATGGTGTTAAACCACAAGTGACTTTTGTCGTTTTATTGTTTTAATGCTTTACTTGAAAGTGTCAAATTTTAACTTTTTTACAGTTGGATATTTTTTTTAAATATCATTTAATTTTAATTTCTAATATTCTTATTTTAATTTTAAAAACTTACATAAAAATTAATAAATCTATAAACCTTAGTTTTGATAGTGAAATTTTATATTAATTTGAGTAAAAATTTTTTAAGTTTATGAACATCCCAATTTGGGGTTTTGGCATTGTAAAAGTTTTGTATTATCAAACTTATATGAAAATATATTAAAAAACAAAATCAAATAAACAAAATATAATAATTTGTAATTTTAAAATTATAATTTAGATTATTTAGTGTACGTAGCTACATCATATTATTATTTAAAAAGTAAATATTCATTTACCTTTTTTATACTTAATTTCGCCAATCATCAAAACGGGTGCCACAATGTTGGTCATTGGTCTCTTTTTTGACATTTTACACTGCGTGTATTTTCTACAGACATTAATATTGTTTTTTCCCTTAAAAAGTCGGACTTACATTTTTGCAAACAAACAGCATTATAAACAATTGACAGTGCCATTTGACAGTTTAGACCTTTGAAGGTTAGAATTTGACGTATTTTTAAATGAAGTTGTCAAATTGGTATATTTGAACATGGTGGTTAAAAAAATGTTTTTCATACAAAATTATAACTAAAGTTCATTTTTTTTATCTGGAATGCGGCAACGTTGCAAATTTAATAAATCTCAATTTTTATATGACAATGTTTTCTTTTGACACTTAAACTTTTTTATATCTATTTTTATCAAAAATGACTTCGAAAAACCAAAAATAAAAAAATTCCCTCTTGTTTACTTATCCAAGGAAATATATATATATACTTATGAGAAGGTTCTAGTATATATTCGTTTATACTTTTGTTCTTGGGTTTATAGTTATAAATAATTATAATTATAATTACAAATTATTGCCGGAGCATTCACCATTTTTGCAACAAAATTCCCGATCAGTGCCGGGTAGCCGTGGTTTGCAAGCACAAGTGACTTTACTTGAAAGTGACAAATTTTGGATATTTCAAATTCGACTTTTTTTTAGAATGTTATTTAATTTAAATTCCTAATATTCTTACTTTAATTTTAAAACCTAACATAAAAATTAAAAAATCTATAAACCTTAATTTTGATAGTTTAAAATTTTATATTAATTTAAATCAACATTTTTTAATTTTATGAAAATAACAATTTGGAATTTGAGGCATTGTAAAAGTTTTGTATCATCGAATTTATATGGAAATATATTGAAAAAATCAAATGAAAAAATAATTTTTTAGTCCATTGTAGGTACCAATAAAATCCAGTTAAAAGTAGTGGGGAAAGAATCGATTATTTTACTCTGAATATTAATCCATGTTTATAACAATATTATGTTATTGTGAATTGGAGCTTTAAAACAAATTAATATTAATAATATATTAACGATAGACGTATAATGTTTATTTTTTAATTTTAAACTTATTTCTTTACTAGCAGCTTAACATTACCTTTGTTATTTAGGAATGAGTTGTTAAAGGTAATGACCCATATAAATCGATAACAACCTACTGCAATGCTTAAAAATAACTTTAATATTAAATCACATTCCCATAAAATAAAATCGTAAAAAATGGCGGATGCGCCGGTATCAAAACATTTAAAAACCAAGTATCTTACCTTAAAATTCTTCTTAAAAGCGTAGATAAAAAATAATGTATTTTTAGTAACTTTTTATTTATGTATACATACCTACTAAAGAATATTTATGTGTTTCTATTGGTTTCTTAATGAGGACTAGTCAGTGTTCGGGTCGGGGTTTGCCATGAATTAAATGGCACTCCTTCAGGTGGCGTGCCACCCTTATATCCGATGTCAGTTTGTTTATATAACACGAGGCGTGCTGATAAATTGTTCAATTAATTTAAATAAATTAGATAACAGAATGTACGTATGATTCACGAGCCAAAGGCAAGTGTTGTCGTTTTCAGCTTAACTGTGGTGTCCATTACATGTTGAACGTACTTCTTAGCTTCTTTAAGGAGTTTTTTAAATTACAAGTTGTATTACGCAATTATTGCGGAATGTCTGGTATAAAATAACAAGGTTTAAATCTATTTATTATGTTCTTAACTTAAAAGCACATTTCTTATGAACTACACAATTTAAAGCATACGTATATTGATATTGATATATTGATCACTTTGTTGACTTTTTTATTCGACACTTTTAAACACCGTAAAGTATGAAAAAGATCCACGAACAACCTAAAATCAGGTAACTTTTTAAAGTAATTTCTTTTCGTAAGATGGTAATAACGCCATTGGAACAGGCTTATAATATGGACAGGGTCCATTGGACTACTAAATTCAACATTTTATAATACCACAAATATACAAGCCAGGGTATAGTTTTGCGAAGAAGGGTTCCATATAATAAGTATGTTCCATATTACCAACTTCAGTGAATAAAAAAAACTTACAGAAACAAATGTTGCTACAGTCAAAGGAGTAAATTTTCCAATGGAAAAATAAATACTCTCCTGGGACCTCCTGATATTCATAATCATGGCCACCTTAAATCTATGGCTTGCAGCTGTCCAATCAGAATTATAAATCGAGTTGCCCACAGAATGACCCTTTGAAAATAAGTTTTAAGGTTGGTGAAATATTTTTTTTATTGTGGGAGCTTACAGCAAATATAACTTCGCTTCCGTACCAACTGAATGTGGAAAATTGAAACAAAACTGCAGTAAAGTATTCCAGTTGTGAAAAAAATTCCGGCGACAAGAGGGGGACCTAAAATTGCATTATTGCAGTTAAATGTAATTGATTTTACAACATATTTTGTCAAAGAATTTTGATCTGGTCTGGTTATATTAAATCGCCATCTAAAAAGTAATACTTTTGTGCTCATGACCTGTGACCTTTGACCTAACCTTATAGTTATATATTTTAAAATTACAATTATAACAATATCTCTCTTGTGTTTTTTTGTGGGTTTATTTTTTGTTCTCCACTGATGATGATTTTGTCTTACTTACCGTAGAAGCAATATACAAACAGGTAGCAAAAACAATTAAAGAAATTATAGACTGCGCTAAGATAACGTAAGTGAACAGTGCTTCAATGTTTCCGTGTGCCCTGAAAAAAAAATTAAAAACATTTTTTATTCATGTATAAATTGCAATAAGTACTCAATAAGTGTTTGCAAATGCAATGTGCAATGCTTCATTTCAAGATACATTTCCTCTTCCAATAGCGGATGTTCTTCATCTTTAAAATGTGTAACATCTTTGGGCAGCTTCATTTTGAAGTACGTTCTCTCCCTTATCGTTTGAAAGGCTCCCCCCACTATTTCAAGCTGGCATTGCAAGCAGTTTGCCAACGAACCAAATAAGGAATCGAAAGCTGAAAAGGACCTTTTTCTAATAGCGTGCGAAAAGTAACACTTATCCGAACACATTTGCACATTGCAGTAGCGTGCGGAAAAATCTGACTTTGCGCACTTGTTAGGAAAATAACAATACCATTACAAACACTAGTCAACAATTAAAAATTAAAATCATATTTCGAACAGTTAAAAATCAATTCCTATAGAAAATTTGTATGTTGTATAAAATTTATTTACTATATTTTCAGGGACTGTTACACAAAGTGCTGTTGACTATTATTACAATAGTGAAACATAACCTGCTATATTAGAGGCGAAAATTCCTAGGGGCCAGTCAAATAGGAAAAACAGGATATGGCATTTGAAAGTGGTGTTAAAATCATAGGGCCAGTAGCTAAAATAGGGCACAAACATTTGGCAATCTATATTTTCGGTGTATTCGTGGCCCAACATGTTTAGAACGGCTGAAATATGCGCTGAAACCCCAACACCAACATAACAAACCATCAGTACTGTTACAATTTTTGAGGATCTCTTTTTGGCAGTGTTAAACTTCTCGTAGGGTTTGAAATTTCCGAGTGAGACGTATTTAAACTTGTCACTCTGCAGACTGTCCATTATTTTCTGAATTTTTTTTCTTTGGGTGGTTAGGATGAGGAACTTCGAGACACCTACAAAATGCGTGGCAAACATGCCGATGTTCCCCAAGAACTTAAACAAATCTTTTATTGTTTCCTTCATCACCATCAATTCGAAAACAAAGTATACGGTGGCCACTGAAAATATTACCACCCTGTATAGGTTATACAACACCCCTTTAAACGATTTTCTCGGCCATGGGTTTGTTATCCCCACACCTTTAACTGCCAATTCGCTGGCACTGAAAAAATCGTCTTCGTACCCCAACATTTTTATTAATTGTGGGGTGTTTTAAAAAAAATCGTTTTAGATATAGTTTTTTGGGTCCATAAAGTATTTATAACGTTTTCGTAATAGGGAAAGAATAATTGTTTTTAATTGTGGGTAATTTTGTGTTTGTTATTTTTTTAATTATGGGTTCTATGAGATATTGCAAAATAATTACCTGGGTACTAAATGTATTTTTAAAACCATACTTCAAGATATAATAATTATTTTTTTTCATATTTATATTGATTTTTTATCCTTTCTACAAATATTCTAGAAAAAAAATTGAAAAAGACAGAGGTTCATTTATTTTATGACTTGTACAATACAAATAATAAACTAAATATTATTTTAAAAAATGTTTTATGGAAATTAAAGGCGATGTAGGTAATTTTTTGACCATTGAGGCATTTGGCATATTTTCATCGAAATTAAGTTTTGCCCTTAAAAGTTCTTATACTTTAGAATCTGATAATATTTTTGGCATAGTTATCTTTTTTTATCGTTATTTTATAACAATTAATAAGTAAGTTGTCAATACTAAATATTACTGTCAATTTGACAGTATCACAGTATTTAATTAACCATTTTACAATACACACTCTGTATACTGCCGCGTACCGTCGTCATACAAACACTTGGTATTACATAGCATGTTTTAAATTATTGATCGGAGCGGAAAAGCGCTTTCCACACCGCATTGGGTAGATTTTCCTGCCAATTTTCACCGGGAGTTGGCGCAAGTTAAAAGGTATGAAAACCTTTAACCTCAACATGTGCTCCAATATTTACAAAGAATAAAAATAATAACAATAATATTGCTATTATTAGCTTTCAAGTCAAATAATATGGAACTGAGAAAAACATAATTGAATTGGTAAGTTTTTTTACCTTTTTGCGTAATAAAAATATTGCTTTATTGTTTGTATTTTTATCTAAAAAAACCATATAAAAATATACAGCACAAAATTATTTTATTTTAGATTTAATACGGCAATGCAATGGTCACTTTCCTACAAAAAGTAAAGCAACTGTTCCTCCTAACCATAATCTTCACATGTATAATTTTATCCATAATTTTTATCCACAAAAACCCTTTAAACCTCAGCATACTAAATCTAGCCAAATTCACAAAAAACACCGACTCAAAATACCCCTCAAGTTTCGTATGGAAACTGACTGCATACCCGGAAAATATAAGTTACTGCAACTTCAATTACGGACTGCCAGAAAAACTGACTTTCAACGAAAGCGATTTGAGTTTTTCCCCGGAATCAGAGAAGCCCGGGAAGTACCGAGTACTCTATGACGTCATCAGAAACAAACACACGCCGGAAGTGCCAGAAGTCACGTATGCAACACACGTTACGGCCGATTTTACCAGCTATGTTGCAGAAATCGCCAGGTAACCAATTTAACAATTATATACATTGGGGTTTCACTTTATTAATTATTTTGTTATCTAACACATCAATCCCAAAGGTGATTTAACAAACCATGTAATTTTAATTATTTTTAGGGTGTGGGAAGGTCCCATAAGCGTTGCCGCTTTTACCCCACAAACCGACCTAATATTAACATTAAACATAATTAATCAATTATGCTATTGTCTTCCAGAAATGACCAGGGTGTCATTACATCTGATTTTTCCTGAAGAAAATGTACCCAGGGAAAATTTAGTGATAGCAAAACCTAAAAACTGCTTAGTTCCTAATTCAGAAAAACTTGAAACTATTAGATCAAGTAACAGAAGCGTTAAATATCCTATTAATGTTTGTAGAAATGTGGCTAGAGTTGCCAGTAGTACTAAATATGTCCTTGTGTCAGGTAAAGTAAAGATTTATAGATTGTCTTCCTTCCTCCTGTAGATGAACAATACAATCCCGTACGGGAATCTATAAACGGGTTTTGTATTGTTAATCTTTTACGGGAGGAAGGAAGACAATCTATAAATCAGGTTATGTCGGAATTCCCCCTTTTATGCTAAATTCCATTGTTCTCTTCCGCAAAAATCTATAGCAAAAATTTACCATCACTCAAGAAAACTATTAAATAGTGTTCTTGGCATCACTAATAATTTCTTAAAACGTATTTTTTTAGATATACAGTTGATTCCAAGCGACTTCTTGGCATCAAAGTTCATACACATGCTAGAAAAGCATCGCAAGCCCTTAAACAGCATGACAAAAGTAGTTTTTGTCATCCCCGTTTTTGAAGTAGAGTCAACAGTAGATATTCCAGGAAATAAATCGACTTTACTTCACCTCTTAAAGACTGAACGCGCTGTATATTTTCACAGATATGTTTGTTCACATTGCCAAAAATTCCCTGGGATTGAAAGGTGGTTAGAAAGTAATAATAGGGAGGAAATAACGGTGAGATATATGGCAAGTGTTTTTTGTTCTAATAAACTTTTTTTAGCCTTTTCTGACTGTAAAAAGAGAAATACCATATCAAAGATGGGAACCTATTTATATAGGAACACATTCAGAACCTTTATATAATGAAAACCTTTCATGGGAAGGTTTGCAGGATAAAATGTTACAAGTAAAAAAACAACACACTAAAACAATCATTTAAAAATTATTATTTTTTTCAGATGTTGGAAATGTGCCTTTTAGAATATAAATTCCTTATACTAGACAACGCTTTTTTAGTCCACTGGCCGGGAATAAAGCGCAAAAAAACCTACGAAGAATTTTGGAGAACTGATGCGCAAATTGAAAATTCGATTCAATACAAAAAAACGCTAAAAAAGTTCCTGAATAAATTCCGCAGCAAATCGAAATGTCAATTAAAATAAAAACTACACAATAAAATTTATATCAAATAATAAATATTAATTTTTATTGAAAACCTTACCAAAAAAACAATTAGAAGTATAAACATTTTATAATAAGTTTATTGTTATGAAATTACACAAAAATGGGTTGGACAACAAAAATTGCTTCTAATAGTAAATTAATGCCCATACCTGAAAATAAAAATAAATTAAAATTAGTCCAAAAAATAGGCTTGTAAAACAATAGACAAAATTTTTACGTACTTCTGAAATTCCCATTCTCTATTATCCAACGGGCAAACTTGCCGAGTCTTTAACCATCTTGAAATACAGTGAAAATGAAAGGCGTGCTAAAAAATCAACGATATAGACAAAAAAATAAAAAATATTTAAAAATTACATTACAAACGCCCCAAGCTACAGTGCATTCCTCTGAAGTGGCAGAGGCCTGATTTGCCTGACATTCTATACACAAATCCATTATATGATTGCGGCAAATAGCGCAATTATCCACAACAATGTCTAAAATCATCAAAAAACACAAAGAAATATGTCAGAAGAACCAATTTAGGACAATAGAATATTATAACAATAAATTCATAAAAAATCTATTTTAAATATATTTTCTGTATACTAAAACTAATATTTCTTACCCCAAGCCCATAAAGCAACGGCATTCCACTAAAATAAACAAATATTGTTAATTCATTGAACAATTGAGGTTATGTCACGCACCTTTTTGACTTCAAAACGCTTTTTTTCGCCTTTTGAGCTGCTGGTGGGCATTTCAACTTCATCAACGTCCACGTCCATCGCACTTGCCATCGTTTTAACTGTTTTTTGCTTGCAATCTAATTTTTTACCCCAAATTTCTTATTGTTAATCGATTTGATGTTAACAGTTCTACAAAAGTGTTGCCAACCCAAAGATATTTGGTTGTCAATATGTTATTTGCGAATTTTGTGAATTAAAAGGTGCAATTATTGAAGAATATTGTAGGGATTACTTAAAATTTAAATGGATAATAATTTAAAATGTGAATTTAAACAATTTAAAATGTTTTTTACAAAATAATTCAAAGAAATGTCAAAACACTTAAAATAATCATCAATAGATGGCGCAATAAAAAGACAAAAAATTTAAAAAATAACCAGTTAACAGATAAAACCCTAAAAAACATTAAATATTTTATCATAATTCGTAAAAATTGATTAATTTAAAGCGTAATAACCACAAAATATTAATATTACAATAAATTAATCCAAATAACTGTCAAGAAGCTTTGCTAATTTGTGTATAGATGGCGTTCCATGCAAATGACAGAATCCTTGAAATATGTAAAATTTCGGGATCAATTTTTGATTAATGTGACATATGGGGAATATTTATCTACAGGTGTAAAAATAAATAAAAAAATGTTGATAATAATGCGATAACTAAACGGTTTAAAAATGTACAATAAATAAGTAGAAAACAAATTATATTATAGCAAAGGTAACGGTATTTATTAAAGCTAAAATGTTCACTATTTTTAAGTTTTATAGGATGAATACGTATGTATATTTAATATCGGCATTAATAGGGCTTCTAGGCAGTGTTTTTATTTATCCATTGTTCATAAAAATAGTGTTTTACGTCCTTTTGATTGTATTAAGTTTAGTGTTGGGAGTAATATGTGCATTATGGATAAATCTTGTTTTATCTTCACCCCACAAAAGTACAGTTGGGGCTGATAACACTTTAAGACAGCTGGAGTATTTTAGAAATAAATTAATGGTGAATACATAAATATACAGGGTTTTACCATGCAAAATAAAATAAATTGTTTTTTTTACAGAAAGACTATGATTCCTATGTAACAGCAAAAAATAGTACTCAACTTGTATCTGTGTTTGGTAGAACAGTTGATAGTTTATTACAGCAACTATTAGATTTCATTTTAAGGGATTACGTTTCAGTATACATTAAAGAATATGCGTATGATGCCGAAAACTTGGAATACACAATCAAGTAATAGCTAAATATGATAAAAATGAAATATTTTATGTTGAAAAATATTTTTTAGAGAGGACATGTGGGGAGCCATACAAATCCTTCATGAAAGATTTGCCAGAATTGACGAGGCCAAACTTATTGCTATCGATATGGTTACAAAGTTAACAGAACATTTTGAAAACATAAGGGAGGCAAAAACGCAAATGTAAATATAGTTTAATTTAAAATATTTTTATTATTTATTATTCCTATTTCTTTACAGGATAGAAAATGTAAGACCACCGGAGTTTCGACTATCAAACTATGTGCTATCAGAACAAAAAGAGTATGAATATTTAAGGAATATGAGTGAGCTTTTTATTATGTTTTTACTGCCAAGAAGTTACTCCCTGTCCCCTACAAAGCATTTTATTCGTGAAATATTAACTTGCAAAGGTAAAAAAACAACAAAAATAAACAAATATACATGTTAATAATGGTTTGTAGTATTTAAGCCATTCATTGAAAATATAACAGACCCAGATTTTTTTAACCGCAATGTAATTATTTACATTGAAGCTCAAGAAAATGAATCTAGAATACATGTTAAAGGCATTGAAAATGCACATACTTTTGGTGATGTCATAAAAATTATACACAATACCAACGAAATAGAAGCTTTGAAATCATTAAGGTAAGGAATTCTGTCCTTTTTGAAAAATAAGTTCGGTATGACCCCTTAAGTCATTCCGGTATACGAAAAATAGCATGTTTTGAGGTTAACTTTCACTTTTTTTTGTGTAATTGTGTTTGATAAGGGTGATAATGTAATGTTCTGTAATTATTTTTAATTTAAAACGGTAAAATCGCAGTATTTACGGGTGGTTCATTTGAACTACTGATAAAATCCTTAAGGGGCCATACCGAACATTTTAAAAACAACGACATGCAAATGTTTTTATGATTTTCAGATACAATATCGTCACAAAATTAATGCAAGCAACCACGTTACAAAATTTAAACCGCGCCAAAGGCGTAGATCTGGACAACGATAAAAACACCCTGTCCTCGGCTGGAGTTCAAAAATCTGACATTAACGAAGCCAAAAAACTCAGGAAATTAATAAATCAAATGACTTACGCAAAAAAAGAATGCGAAAAAAAATTAACAATGCTAGGTTGGGATTTAGGATACCAGTTTAACGATGAAGTCAAAAAAGTATGTCAATAGCATTGTTTTGGTGTTTTTTGATGTTTCTTTTTTAGATTTTACCTTTGGCCACTATAATGGAACATGTTTTGGGGAGGAAATATTTAACGCAGTTTTTAGAAACACTAGCCAGTCAAGATTTAGTAAGGTAATGTTTTTTTACAACAATTTTTTACAAGTTCTCTGGAAATTTTCTAAATTGGGTTGAAATTTTTTAAAAGTTAAATCTATTCAAATTTTTATTTAAATTTTATAATATAAGCTAAAAAAGTATCGCTAGTAGCGCCACCACTCGGCTGTTTTATCGGTTTTCCAATAAACAGTGTTAATCTGAATGAAGAAATAAATTGCATACAGTCTCTGTAAATATAAATTGTACCTATTAGATACAATAAATACACATTTTAGTAGTGATTGACGTGAAAAGTGGAAACATTTCAATTCAGTAAAAATCGTCAAACAAATAAGTCGTCTAAATTTAAACAGCATTTAGCATTATTAAAAGCGTTGATTAAGAAAGTCTCCACTCAACGGTAAAATACCATTATATTATGTATTATATATAATATTATATTGCCATGAATCCGTATGTATATTTTGTTGTTTAAAATGCAGTTGTCGGCGTTTTTTAGAGAACTCAAATATAAAAATGGTTGATTTTAAGGTTATGTTTGTGCAAAAATTATTTTTTACTAATTTCTTAAAAATACCCAAACTTAAATATAAATTATATTAGGTAAAGTTATCATTAGTTAATTCTGCACCAAGAAATGTACTTACCGAATTGGATCCTTTGGCAAAACATGAAAATGCAACGATTTAGTTCTTGAATTTTATTTACAATTAAAAACACCATGATCCCTTAGATAAAATACACACACTAACGTAACTATGTAAGCATTTAAGCGTTGAGTTTCTTAATGAATGATATAAGGAATAATCAATCGAAATCGAGTACTAAAAAAGTTTTTTAATTTTTTCCTCTGCGAAAACCCGATACTTATTATTTAAATGTCAAAATCGCATTTAAGAATCTCAAAATTATATTTTAGAATGTCATTTTGAATGTCAAGATATACTTAAAAATGTGAAAAACACACCTTAAAATATTAAAAATACATTTTAGGGGCCGTCCATAAATCTCGTGACGCAAAAATTGTCAAAATTGACCCCTCCAGCGAAAAAATATTTATTTCTATTCTTTTTAAAAATGCAACAAATTAGCAATTTCATTCGATTTATATCGTCACGAGACGTTTACAAAACCCTCGCTACCTTCTCCAGCGTCAGGAGATTTATGGACGGCCAAAATCACATGATCTGTGATATTGTATATATTGTTAAGATACTGGATCTCCGTGGAAGAACTTAGAACAGCCCAACGCAAGAACTGGCATCAGCTGGGCGCGGAAATCTTCTACACGTTTATAAGAAACCCGACCTCGGAAATCAAAGTGGATAAAAACACCAGGAAGCGCATGGAGGCGTTTTTACTGGGCGACAAAGGCCCCGACGTGTTCTACGAGGTGCAATGCCAGGTAGTGCAAACCTTAGAAGACAAATATTACCAACCGTTCTTGATCAGTGATTACTACAAAGAAATGATCATAGCAATTGAGAAAGAGGATGACGTTTCCATGTCGGAGCGAAAGACATCGCTGGATGAGAAAAATGTTTCACTGGAAACAGTGGGGGTTGATAGCGGACTAAACGTGGGGGATCATTCGAATTACGCCAAAAGAAAGTTGTACCAACTGCAGGAAAAGTATATGAACAAATCTCAGGCTCTATCGGCGCTGAGGAACTCTTTGAGACCCGAGTCGAAAATATTGAACAAGCTCGAGAAGGAGGTGGAGTGGTTGCAGGGGGAGCAAAGGCAGCTGGAGGCCCACTTAAATAGGACCGAAGTTTGGGGGGAGAACTTGGGGAAATGGAGGGCCAACGTGCAAAGTGCAGAGGTGAGTTATCAACATATTTAGTCAACTATTACTATTGACAAAATTGTAGATTCCTGATGAGAAAGAACCCCCTCAATTCGTGTTGGTGGTGCAGATGGAGAACGATACGGGAGAGGGGGAGGAATGCATTAGCACGGGGTGGGTGGTGTGTCGCAGCTTGGGTCAGTTTCAGGAGTTGCACAAAAAGTTGCGACCGATGTGCTCCGACATGAGAAATCTCGAGCTTCCCTCCAACACGTTTAAGTTTTTGTTCGGGAAGATCGACAAGGCGACTTTAGAAAGGGCCAAGCAACAAATACAGAAATATTTAGATGTAAGTTTAATTGTTCTTTTGTACAAAAAAATCAAAATTGTTTTTAGTTCGTTTTGAAAGATGAGCGGTTGAATCAAAGTGAAGCAATTTATTCTTTTTTGAGTCCCAGTTCAGAGCACTTGAAACAATCATCGCCGAACCCCAAAAAATCGAGATTCTTCTTTTCCACGTTATTTAAGAGGTAACATCCTAGCGACTGCGCCATAAACACACCTAAACGCTTTTTTCAGCACAAGTGAGCAAAGTAAAGACAATTTTTCGATTCTCAAAGAAGTCGATGAAGACGACATTTCTCAGAGTCTGGAATCTACCAGTCCAGACACTGTGGATTTTTGTAGAGGAAATGGAAATTCGAACAAAATTTTCGACGACACCAAAGACACGATCGCCGAACCTTTATACGCCCTTCTAAGCGAACTTTTCGACATGAAAGGGTTCTTTAAGTATCTCAGAAAAACGCTCATAGGTAAAGCAGATTTCTATAGATTTTTTTTCGGTTAAATGATTTCTTTTAGGCTTCGTACAAGTAACTTACGGCAAAAACATAAACAAACAAATCCACGAGACTATTAACTGGTATTTCAGCGAACAAATGTTGCACTATTATATAACTTTAATACTGAAATCCTATTGGCCAGGGGGGGCGCTTGTTGGGCCAGAACCAATAAGGTAATAATGGAAAACAAAAAATTGTTTTTTGATAAAAATTTTTAGATCCGACGAAGAAAAGTTGAAGGCGGCAAAGCGCGCACAAGAATTATTCGTTAATAACGTACCTGAGCTGTTGACAACTTTGGTTGGTAACAATGCGGCCAAAAATGGAGCCAGAAAAGTTTTCGAGGCCCTGCAAGACAAAAAAATGAACAAACAACTATTTTATGTGAGTATAAAGTAATTATATTTGTTTAATTGATTGTGAGTATTTTTTAGGAATTATTTGAAGTAGCTATGGATTCAATATTCCCAGAATTAAATTGAGGTGTTTTTCACATCAGTATTCCATTATGTTAACTGTTAATTTTCTTGTTATTTTTTTGTTTAAATTTTAAACCAAAGACTTATTTAATAAATAGACCCATATACTTTTTATATAAAATGTAAATTATATACTCCATGTAAAGATATAAAAATAATAAAATGTATACTATACGTTTATTGACTAAAAAATTACAAAACTAATCCTTATATAAAATCACAGTGCAGAGGTGGGTCGTATGTCGTAGCTTGGGTCAGTTTCAGGAGTTGCATAAAAAGTTACGACCGATGAAAAAAATCTCGAACTTCCAACACATTTAAGTTTTTGTTTGGGAAGATTGATAAGGCTACTTTAGAAAGTGCCAAGCAACAAATACAGAAATATTTAGATGCGCGTTTATTTGTTCTTTTGTAAAAAAAATCAAAATTGTTTTTAGTTCGTTTTGAAAGATGAGCGGTTCAATCAAAGTGAAGCAATTTATTCTTTTTTGAGTCCCAGTTCAGAGCACTTGAAACAATCATCGCCGAATCCCAAAATATCTTTTCTACGTTATTTAAGAGGTAATATCCTAGCGACTGCGCCATACATATCTAAACATTTTTTTCGGCACAAGTGAGCAAAGTAAAAACAATTTTTCGATTTTAAAAGAAGTCCCAAATACTTTTTTATATAAAATGTAAATAATATGTTCTAAGTTCAGTTCGGTTCCGGCGCTCGAGTAGACGGGTCGCGTGCGGGCGAGCTCTTGAAACGTAAAGGTTTAAAGATGAAACCAACAATAATTAAAAAAATAAAGTGAAACAAACATTTTCATGGAGTGCAAGCTGGAGTGGTGTAGTGGTGTAGCGGTCATTGAGGAGTGGAGGGTTGGTGATATGAGTGACTTGGGTGCCACCTGTCATTGGAGGCTTTTCACTGGACGGACGGGGGAGGTCGGAGAAGAGGGGAGGTGGTCATCCGCAAGGGGAAAAATCTGATAAGTTTTACTTTAAGAGTATGCATGACCTGATACAAATCTGCAATATAAATACGGCAGATCCCGGCAAGCATTTTCCGTTACTTGTCTCCATTAACATTGCCCGTATTCATTTCATTAAACATAACATTTATTTTACTTGGAAATGTTAAAATAACTTTAAAATATGATTATGTTAAGAACATATTTTACTCTTTAAACAATTGTTTTGTTTTTAATTACTATCATTGCAAAATTGTATTAAAAAGTGTTAAAAATTCTTACACGGGCAATGCTAATGGTGTTAGGCATCGTTAAAGTGTTTATTGGGATATCTTTATAATCTATGAAGGGCGCGCGGCGTGGGGCAATAAGTCTGTCAACGGCAAGTGCGTAAAGCGGTCCCAATCGAGACCGAAATAAACACTGGACTGACAGAGTAAACTAACATTGATCACATAATTCTAACACATTAAAAAAAAGGGCCTAATAGCCAAACTCGAGATTTGTAAACATTAGACGACAGAATGATCGCGCTTGTGATTTGTTGGACTAGTGAATAAATGCAATGCCTTGGAATTTGATAAACAAAGACGGAACTCTACCACAAAACGTGCTTGGGACAAAAATTATTAAAAACAACTGACACACTTTACCAAGGGCAGGAGCTATCTGACCAGGACACGGACAACGACAATAACGAACAAGACAAAGACCTCGACTACACCCCTGCAGCGAAATAACAACTCCCCAACTCCAAATAGTAATCCCAAATGTTTGGAGTAAAACTAATCGACTGGTCTAGGGGGATTCCGCGTCGTACTTAGTTTTAAGTCGGCGTAATTGTCCCCCAAAAACCAACTCCCTCCCGTCCCTCATCCACACCCCACCGAGCGTATAGCATAGGCTCGGCGAACCCGGGAATGGCTATTATAACTATTCGCCTCTCGCTCTCGAGCCCCAAATAGGGGACAGTACGAAACGCAATGGACATTCGCACCCAGCAAACACGGGTGAAGCCGTGCAGTTGCTGGGGAAGAACAAAAATCGGCGCAAGTAAACATAGGCCTGTACGGGGTTCGCGAGTCAAGAGGAAATGGGGCTGGTTATACGTCTCTTATACTCATACTCATACTCATGTAAATAATATGTTCTAAGTAAAGAGGTATACTATACGTTTATTGACTATTGAAATAACAAAATTAATCCTTATATAAAATCATTCTGTGATGTTTTCTTAGGGCCCTCTTATCGTCCACCTTGTCCACGTTGCTGCTAGCTTCGCCAGCTGCTTTTCTGGACTCGTCCACCGATTTTTGGACCTCCTGCATTTCCTTTTCGACGCTGCTGAGGTTCGCTTTCAGTTCCGACTCTTTAGTCTTGCTCATGTCGACGAAAGCTTCCTGGGAGGATATCTCCCTCTCGACACCCTGTATAGTGTTTTGCGCGTCGGTGTCGATTTGCTTGGCCTTCTGCAGAGCTTGCTTGAGCACGCCGAGCAGCTTCTGCTTTTCAGCTTCGCTATCGCCGTGCGTGGTATTTTCCGTGGTGGTTTCCGTGCAGAAAGCTGTGGACGTTTCCGTGTCGGTGCAAGCAGTCGTCACACATCGGGTCAACGGAATGTATATTAGTAAAATAATAAATAGAAACAACCACAAACCATACATTAGTATAAAAAATATAGCTTGACATAGACAAAATTTATGACATTTTAATTAATTAATAACGTCACTTTATATTTCATATACACATGTCATTTTAGAACCTTTTACATCGATGTACAAAACAACTCTACTCTTTATTATATTTATTATACAAATAGCATTGTTACGTGCTACGGAACTGGAGGACGAGAATGCGCCTCTCAAGAACCGGGACGATATCGCTTGCGTTAACGGGGACAGCAGCTGCAAGAACGGCGGGCAGGGCGACCAGGCAGCTTCGGCCGCCAATATAGCGCAAAAAGCTGCGCAAGAAGCCAAAGCAGCTGAGGACGCGCAGCAGCAGGCCGGTCAGCAAGCTGCCCACCAAGTAAGTGAAAACTTTTGCAAAAATATTGTTTAAAAAAATACTTCCGATATTTTATTGATTATAAACGATGAATGCACCCCCTAAAAACGTTTTAAGAAGAGTATTTTGAAGCTAAGAAGCACAAAAGGTAAGTAAAAACCATTATATTTTTATATTTAAGCCTATTTTACGTAGGGGGTGCATTATTTCTATAGAAAATCTGACACTATAATTTTTCCTAGGTAAAAGAGCAGCTGGCAGAAAAAGCGATCGAAGCTGCCAAGGCGGCCGGCGCTGCCTTGGCCGGCAAGCAAGAACTCGTCAGTCAGCTTCAACAGGAAATAAGAGAGGCTGAAATCGTTGTCCAAGAGGAAACGGCCAGCTTGCAAAAGCTTCAGCAAACAGTGCAAGCTGCCAACAAAGCCGCGCAGGAAGCTAAAGCCGAGGTGAAGTTGCTGCAAACCGCGTTGCAGCTGGCGCAAGGGAACGCAGCTAATAGCGCTCAAACTCTAGAGGGAGATCAGAAGGAGTTGAGTGAGAAAGAGCAGGTTATCGAAGCAGCCAAGTCGAGGTTGGATCAGCTGACCAAGCAGCTAAACATAGCCAAAGCTGAGCTTCAATCGACCAGAGAATCGGCGAGGAAAGCCGAAACAGCTGCGCAAGAAGCCAAACAAAATTCCATGAGAAATAAGCGAAGAGCTAGAAGATAGATTGTAAAATAATAAATTACTATTTATTTATTTATAAGTTTATACTTTATGTAATACAGCTTCAACAGTAAAATATCGGAAGTAGTTTTGCTAAGTAGCACACGTAAATTAACACTTTTATCGTTTAGGTTAAAGAACAACTGGCGGAAAAAGCGATCGAAGCTGCCAAGGCGGCTGAAGCTGCGTTAGCTGGCAAAGACGACCTAGTAAAACAGATTAAGCAGGAAATCAAAGAAGCTGAAGTGGTTGTGCAAGAAGAAAATGGCAGCGTAGCGCAGCTTCAACAAACAGTCGCAGCTTCAGTAAAAGCTGCGCAAGAGGCAAAATCTTTAGTAAAGCTATTGCAAACCACTTTGCAGCTGGCACAAGCCAATGCTGTGAACTCTGCTCAAGCACAAGAAGGTACGCAAGCGCAGCTAACTGAAAAAGAGCAGCTGAGCGAATCTGCCAAAACTCGTTTGGACGCGTTAAATAAGCAGCTGAATATTGCAAAGGCTGAGCTGCAAAGTACCAGAGATTCAGCTAGAAAGGCTGAGAATTCAGCAGCTGAAGCTAAGCAAAATGCCATGAGGAATAGGAGGGGGGCAGGGAATAATTCAAAAAAAAGGAGGAAGAAATAAATTTTGGAAAAAGTCTATAGTTTTATGTTTAAAGTTTTTTATTATACCCTTTCATTTATGTGATTTTACTTGGTTTATAAAATATCGGAAGTATTTGGAGTTTAACGGAATAATTTGTATAATTATTGCATTTCTATTTGTACAGGCAAAAGAGGTGTTTGCAGTGAAAGCAAAACAAGCTGATAAAGTAGCTGAAGCTGCGCTAGCTGGCGAACAAGTTTTGGCCGCGTTCATGAAAAACGAGATGACGGAAATAGATAGTTTAGCGGACACTGCCAATTCTAATGCGGCCGAACTAAAAAAAACCATAGAAAAAGCTCAAAAAGTCGATCAAGAAGCAAAACAAGAAATTAATATTTTGCAAAAGGCGATTAACATGGTTGAACCAAATCACGTGGAATGCCGAAGGGCCAAAAATAAGAAAAGGAGGGTGCCCAAGAAGTGTAAGAAGAAAGTCAAGAGGCATAAAATGTATAAACCCAAAATGCACAATTAAAGTTAATATTTTATAGAAACTGTTTTTTTATTATCAACACCATGTTTAAATTATTTATTAAAATAATAACAGATATTCATAAATTATTAATAATTATACATTTATTATAGAAAGATGTGCAGCTGCTGCAAGGTGCCTTGCAGCTGGCGCAGGGTTACGCAGCTAACAGCGCTCTAAATTTAGAGGTGGGCCAGAAGGAATTGTACCAAAGAAAAGAAATTATTGAAGCTGCCAAATTGAGGTTGGCTGAGCTGAGCAAGCAGCTGAAAAAAGCCAAGGCTGAGCTTCAAACGGCCGAAAAATCGGCGAAAATTGCGGAAAAAGCTGCAAAAGAAGCCAATGACATTATGTAGTTTATATAAGTTTTTTAACTGTAATATATAGCTTCAACAGTAAAATATCGGAAGTGTTATTTCAGAAACCCACGCATAAACTAACAATTCTAACGTTTAGATTAAAGAGCAGCTGGCAGAAAAAGCGGTCGAAGCTGCCAAGGCCGCTGAAGCTGCCTTAGCCGGCAAAGAGGCGCTTGTAAAACAAATCCATCAGGAAATTAGAGAAGCCGAAATCATCGTCCAAGAGGAAAAAGTCAGCGTTTCGCAGCTGCAACAGACCGTCGCAGCTTCGGAAAAAGCGGCGCAAGAAGCCCAATCGGAAGTGAAGCTGTTGGAAACCACGTTGAAGCTGGCTAATGCGAACGCCGCAAACTCCGCCAAAGCCATGGAGGGGAGTCGAGCGCAGCTGAGCGAGAAGGAGCAGCTGAGCGCGTCGGCGCAAAGTCGCCTCGACGTGTTGAATAAGCAGCTGAGCATTGCAAAGGACGAGCTGACATGCACAAGGGATTCAGCCAGGAAAGCTGAGAATGCAGCTGCCGAAGCTAAGCAAAACGCCATGAGGAATACGAGGAGGTCCGCGAAGCAAACAAAAAATAAATAAATTTGGGTTTATTATTATTATCATTAAAAACTCCGTATGTTGAATGTTTTTTATTTTTTACGAAAATATCGGAAGTATTTTTATAGGTTGCATAAATCTTATTATTAAATTTCTATTCGTATAGGCAGAAGAGGTGCTGGCAGCTAAGGCAAAAGAAGCGAATTTGGCAGCTGAAGCTGCTCTAAGTGGAGAGAAAACTTTGGAAGCTTTTATGAAAAACGAGATATCAGAATCGGGCTATTTTACGAACAAAGCGAATGGTATTGTAGCTGAATTAAAGAACACTGATAAGGAAGCCCAAAAAATTGATCAAGACGCGAAGGAGGAAATTAAAATGTTGGAAAACGCAATAGACATGGTGGGGGGAGATAGAAAAAAAGAATGCAAGCGGTCCAAGAAAAAGTTTAGGAGGCACAAAGGGTGCAAAGCTAAGATACACGAATAAGTTTAATTTTTTATAAACATAATTTTGAATTAAATAAAAAGTCGTATGAATGGGGTGGTTGCTAAATATATATATATACAAACAATAATTGTCTGTCGTATTGATTAGTTCTATTTCAGTATAAAACATAATAATAGTTTACTGATCGAAACGAAATCGTGGTAAAAGAATCGATTGAACTTGACAGCAAACCAACTAAGTATATCCAGTGAGTAATTCTGTTCAGGCTGTAAAGAAGAATCGAAATGTTGACGGTAACATCTTCAAAAACGAAAAGTTCGGAAAGATTAAAGTACTCGAGACTTAATAATAATAATAATAATAGTGATATTTTTCGCCCTTTTGACAAAATAGGTAAGTTATAAAATGCACTGAATTTAATTACTTTTTTAATTATTTTTTACAATGTTTTAAAAGTCTAAAACCTATCCTCCGTGACAGTTACTCTTTCTTATATGTTTTCAAATCTCTGAGGTAGTAAAATCATACGAAAATATCAGTTCACTAAGTAAATTAAACACATCCAAAGCAATCGAATCAAATATAAAATATTATTAAAAATTAAAAGAAATAATTTTCATAACAATTTATGTAGGTGTTACAAAAATTGATTCTATCCTCCGTGAATCTGTTTTTGCTTTAAATTTTATGCAACGGATGGCGCTTTAATCATTTTAAATAAGCAAAAACCTCTGTTTACGACATTATAGATGCATGTCATTCATGAAGGTCAGTTAAAATTTATATGCGGATGACAGTGTTGCTGTTTTATAATTCAAAAGTTTAAGTTCATTAATTTGCTATTTAAGAACCTATCCACCGTAAAGTGTAATATCTCAGTAAGTGGATTTTTTTTATAAATATTTTTTGTATGTACAATTGTATTTTTAAAAAATATTAAGGTGTCAAAAGGTTTAAAAAAATATACGAAATCCTAACCTCCGTGAAGCTATCTTCCGTGAAGCTCTAATATTCAAAATGCATGATTTCTTAAAATTCTTGCATTAGTGCAGAACCATTTATGTTTTATTACTACTAGACCTGGTGGCTTCCTAAAAATCCCATTCTAGACTAACAGTAAAACAACCAAAAATAAAAAATAATTATTTTCACTTCTCAATATTATAAAAAGTTCATGAAATACAAACTTAAAAAAATAAAATCCATCTTTGAAAATGTTTTTATTTTATTTATTTCAATTCATATTAAAAAAACAGTTTTTCCCATAAAAACCGTTTATTTCGTAAAAACCATTTTTTTTACTTTAACTTAGACTCATAGCACAACTGGTTAAATAACTAGCATTCATACTTACTAGAATTACTTCTAAAAATCAACAAATGCAAAACCTTTAAGGTTTAGGGACCAAACTTTGGTCCCTTCAACAAAACAGTCGTTAAATTATAATATTAATACGGGAATTGTTTCTGTCAGGTCCAGTGTCCATCAATCATTTGCATATGGGTTTGAGTTATTTATAGTTATTTTGGGGTGATTTATCTGAGTGTGCTGGGATAGTTAGTAGTTATAATGACATGTCCTTTTGATTTATAAATTCTGAATTCAATTGCCTCTACTGTTTTCAAAGATAATACAAAATTTAATTACACCGCACACAACCTTACAAAATAATAGAAAGAATGAAAAAGTTATTGCACTTATCAGCAGCAACCTTGTTTTGCAAAAAAAAAATATCCACTGGTTTTATATTTGCGTCAGCACTATTGAGGGTGAATGAGAATTATACAATTTAGTTGAGTGTTTAAGAGGCTTGCAATTGTTCAATCTAATCGGTAATAACGATTCGTTATGAAATATAATTGGTTCAATTCCTGGTTTTGTTAAACTGTTAAACGCAGTGTGATTGTGTCTATTTTAGGAATCAGTAATCCATTGGAGATGTTACAGAGATGGGGAACTGGAAGGATTAGACTTAAGTACACCTTACTTCCTACTGAAGGTGAGTGAAACGAATAAGATTAGTGTTAGATTATATAAGATTACGTAAAATAATAGTATTATAACAAAAAGTTATATTCTATTATAATTTCATTCAGCGTAAACTATTAAAAAAAAAATAAGTAAAGATAGTTTCTGATTTAGATTAAGAAACATAGCTCTTGGCCCTATTCAAAAGCACTGTCAGCGTAAATATCATATATGACGAAATTGACACAAGATGATTTTTAAATCAAATGCGCATCAAATCACCGTCTGCGGAGACAACACGTTGACAGGCAGGAAAATTTCCTGCCACACAAACCTACGAGTTTGCTCATACATAAATAGATGGATAGATGATAGATCAGCAATGTTACGATCGAAAGCCTTATTACTTATGTATGCATATAACATTGCCTTAGAAGAAGCCAACACCAGACCGAGAAAGACAGCTCTAGAGAAAGGCACACAGTAGGAAATATATGACAAATTAAAAAAAAAATTGTTGTGCTTTACATTGCACCATGTACCTTAGGGTGGCCCAAAAAAAAAGAATATTTTTTTTCTTCTCGTCTCTTGTAAAAATATGTTAGTTTATCATGCTGTAAGAGCCCTTTCAAAATATCAGCTCGATTAAAAATTTTGTAGGGGTCGCTCAAGATTTTTAAAAATTTTCAAAATCGTCAAAAATTGAATTTTTGTTTTATTTTAATTCTTTTTCTCGTCTCATTATTATTTTTTAGCTTGAAAATAATAAAAATTCTGTAAATTTCAAAGCAATATTTTGATTTCTAAAGGTCGCTAAAAGTTCGTTGATATTTATATTCAGAGGTCGCTCGAAAACATTCAAAATACTCTACTTTAAAAGTTAAAATAATCTTGAGCGACCTTTAGAAATTAAAATATCGATTTGAAATTTTCAGAATCATTATTATTTTTAAATTAAAAAATAATATCGAAACGAGAAAAAAAATTAAAATAAAAAAAAAATCCAATTTTTGACGATTTTGGTAATTTTTAAAAATCTTGAGCGACCACTAAAAAATTTTTAATGGTGCTGATCTTTTGACAGGGCTCTAAAAACATGACAAACCAACATATTTTTACAAGAGACGAGAAGAAAAAAAATATTCTTTTTTTTTGGGCCACCCTAATGTACCTACAATAAATTAAAACACACTGTATATTGGTTTTCTACCAATTATTAAATATATAAATAATATACGATTTTAACATTCTTATA